AGCTTCAGTCGGGGTGCATGCGGGAGGCAACCAATCGATGTGTCTCTCTGACATTGATGCCCCCCCACCCCCACCTTGCACTCTCTCTAAAAATCAATGGAAAAATATCCTCGGGTGAGGATTAACCAAAACAAAAAAGGGAAAGAACAAGTATCAGGCCTCTCCCCCACAGCTGCTGTTTCCATAGCAATGGTGACTCAGTTGCATTGTCTGTTAGCACCAGGTTTTTACAGGAATATAGAATCCAATCTCAGAAGTGTGGTAAAAGACTGGCTGCTTTGACATCGAAGCATTTGTAATTTCCTTGGCTGTGAGTTATTAGCATTTAGAACTGGCTGGTACTTGTGAAATCTGGTCTTGGATGTGGAAACTGAGGTCTAGAGAAGCCAGTAGTATGCCCAACTGGTGCAAAACTTGGTTAAAAAATGGGGAAAGGACACTCTAAGAAAATCACATGCACAGGTTCAGTGCAGATGTTAGTCCAGTATATTCGCCATCTGGCTTCACGAAGCTCTCTGAGTAAGCCTCTGGGGGAATGTATTTGAACTGAACACAGTAGGTGCTTAATTAGTGTTTGGAGAATGGTCGACTTTACTGGGAGAACAAAGTCCAGGCATCTAAATTCCCAGGCGACTGCCTCAGGTTCACCCAGGGCTTCTCTTCTTGTTACCAGGGGTGCCTGTGCAGGTGTGGTCAGGCTTCTGGTCTAGCGCCTCCTGAGGGTGGGGGTGGGGACTGGTTAGTTCTCACATACGGGTCGTGTCACCAGGAAGGCCCGGTGAGAGCTGCCTGTGTCCAGTCCAGCTTCTGCCCGCAGGCCCAGGCATAGGTACTGACTGCAGACTCCAGCAGGAGGCAGTGAACTGGCAGGAGTTTGGACTCAGATTTTAAGAATTTTTAGCAATGTCTATAGAAATAAGTAATTTCTAATCAAATTTCAGAATTAAAATACATTTTTAAAAAAATAATCAATCATAGTAACATTTAACGTGGAAATTTGATGGCCCCAAATGGCTGGTAAGTGATTTTTTTCTTCTCTTGCCTTTGCCAATTTGGCTTTTAATGTAATAAGAACTAGTTATGTGAATTTAAATTAGTGGTGCTAAATCTGTAGTCCTGCAAGGTGTGTGGTTGGGAGGGGCACCACTGGTTTCACTCAGATGTTTGTGTGGCCGGTGGCGGTGAAAGCTGTGACAGGGACAGTGTGGCGGAGCTGCAGTCGGCGTTTTCTTCCTGTGCTGCAGTGAAGGGCTCCGTGACCGGGGAGGGTCCCGTCGTCTCTGGGCCGGATGGCATGAGGTGGGGTTGTGTCCAGCTTGTCCTCTGTGGAGTCCAGGCCCATCTTAGTGCTGGGCACACGGTTGTGCCAAATGAGAGGATGTTGAATAAATGAGTGTGTTAGTTTGCTCTTGTTGCTGTAGGATATCACCACAAATTTGGTGACATAAACAGCACAAATGTGTTCTCTTGCAGTTCTGGGGGTCAGAAGTCTGAAATGAGTCCTGCTGAGGCAGAATCGAGGTGTCAGCAGGGTGGCATTCTTTCTGGAGGCTCCGGGGAGAACGTTTTCTTGCCTTTCCCAGCTCTTAGGGGCCGCCCCCCTTTCTCTGCTAGAGGCCCTTTTCCATCTTCAGAGAGCATCCCTCCAGTCATGCCCCTGACCCTGGGCCTCCCAAGCCTCCCTCTTCTCAGGACCCCGTGATGACATTGGGCCACCTGCACAGTCCGGGGTCATCTCCCCATCTCAGGACCCTTAATTTATTCACTGCAGAGTCACCTTTTGCCACGTAAGGCAACACGGTCACAGGTTCTGAGAATGAGAACACGAACACTGTCCCCACCCTGTCACGCGAGTTTGCAGAGTGTGCGGTGCCTCCTGAGCACCCGAGCGCAGTCGGGATAGCTCCTCTTGGCGAGCGGGACTGTTTCTGCCTCTGCCGGCCTCCCCGTTTGGTGGCTCCTGCTTGGAACCCTGCCAGAGCCTCTTCCCGGGGGTGTCCTCCGAGGCTGCCCGTCCGGTTCCCGCCCGGGACCTCTGACAGGGCGTCCTTTCAGACCCAGGCCAGCAAGCCTGGTCTCCGTGTGGCCTTGAGGCCTCGGGCAGTCTCTGTATTCTTTGTTTTTTTAGACAAATGTAAAAAATATTTTTAAAAATCGTGTTCTTAGCATGAGGGTCTTACAGAAACAGGCCGCTGGCTGGGGCCCTGTCTGGACTGTGATCTCCGAGAGGCAAGGCCCCGTGTTGCTGTCACCACGGCGCCGTGTTAGATGTGCTGCGTGCTCGTGTCTGCCTGTGCGTGGGGGGCTTGTTTCTGGTTCCTACCCAAGTGACTTTTTCTATGGGTTTGAGTTGAACAGAGTGTCTAAAAATGAGATCTAATCGAATCTAATTGGAGAGTTTCATGTTGTTTTACCTTCGATAGCCTATTAGACACGAGTCCTTCTGATGTAGATGAGGTCCAGTCCTGTCCTTGAGGAGCTGACTGTCCCGTCTGGGGGCAGGGTGCTGTTATTAGTTACAACTTTGGGGTGGGGCAGGGAACCCTTGGGCACCAAAGTCAGCATTTGGGCGCTTTGGGCCAATTCCCACCGAGTCATGGCTGATTTTCGCTCCTACACGTGGGGCAGACCCGGGCGGGGTGGGGGGCACTGGCTCTGACAGGCAACTCGGGCGCAGTGAGCACTTGGAAGCGTTTCTGCTGGTTCCTTTTCTTTTTTAAGATTTTTATTTTTAATATTTTATTGATTTTTAGGGGCGGGGAGAGAAACATTGATGTGAGACCGAAACATCGATCGGCTGCCTCCTGCACACCTTCCCCTGGGGATCAAGCCCACAACCTGGGCTTGGGCCCTCACTGGGAATCAAACCGCTGACCCTGCGGTGTACTGGATGACGCTGACCATGGAGCCGCACTGGCCGAGTGGTTTCTTTCTTGATCGCGTCTGTTCCCCGCATGTTGCAGTGACTTCCCGGGCTTGGCCACTCCCCCTGAGCCTCTCTCTGGGGTCTGCATGAGGAAGGAGGTTGAGGGTCCAACCAGGGTGGCTGACACCATGTGGGAAGTGACCCCCCCCCCCCACATACATGTCCAGCTTGTGACACTCACCCCTCAGTGTCCATCTGTGTTCATTCTTTTTTTTTTTTTTATCCTCACCCGAGGACATTTTTCCATTTTTTGTACAGACAGAGTGGGAGGGAGAGAGAGAGAGGGAAACATCGATGTGAAAGGGACACATCGAGTGGCTGCCACCCGCACGACCAACCAGGGCCGGGGACAAACTGCAACCAAGGTACATGCCCTTAGCGGGAACCGAACCCGGGTCTCTCCGGACCGCAGGCGGGCGCTCTAACCGCTGAGCCAAACCGGCCAGGGCTCTGTGTTCATTCTTGATGAGCATTTACGAAGTACGTGCTTCTCTGTTCCTGTGTCTGAGGCAGTGAGGTTGTGGGTATCAGTCAGGGTTTGTGGAATGAATGGAAGCATAGATACACCCGGTTCTGTGTAAGAACAAACTTCGTTCATGTTTGGCCTGCTTCCAGGCTCATCTGCATTGGGGGTGAAGTCAGTGTCCCCTTTCTCACTTTTTGGGAGCCCCGGTTTGTAACTGGTCTTTGTTTTCTGTGCTTTACAGTCTTAGATCCTAATATATAGAGTTTTATCTTAAAATCATCTTTGAGGGTGTAAAAGGCTGCCCAGCACACCGGATGTGTTCCTTCTGGCCTGTGGGCCTAGAGTAGGAAGAGATGGCGAAGCTCACTGCAGCACGGCTGCCTCTCTATTCCCAGTGGGTGTTTTCACAGCTACCTCCGTTTTGTCATCACAGACATACCAATGTGCCTAACTTGATGCTTCAGCTTTCTTTGCCGCACATTAATTCCAGTGGGAAGTAGTGATCACTCACACAAGTGTTTATTTATTTCATGACCAAGTTTAGAACCTATAGCCAAGGTTGAGTGTAGAATAAAAGGCTTTGAAGCTCTTTGTCCTTGGTGCCTGGCACATGGCACTCACTGGCTCTTGGTGGGCACTCACTATTTGAATGAATGAGTGAATGAATGAGCAAGATGGTGAACTAATGGGGAGAGTGCTACTAGACTTAAAGATGCCTGTAGAAAGTTAGTGGCAGAGGGCAGCTTTTTCATGGAGGGGGCATGAGTAGCTGGTACGGCCCCTGTGAGGCCATCCGTGGGGTGCACTTGTTTCTGTTTTCCACGCCTGCATCTCAGAGAGCCCGCTCTTGTTGCCTAAGAACGTGTTTTCTCCTGATTATGCTGGTTCTTTATTTTGAAAAGTGCACACCCCTGACCCCAAATGATTTACTGACTTTGGTTGCTTCCCTTGCATTTGGGTTTGCTTGTCCTTGAAGTGAACAGCCTTCCATAGTGGGTTGTGTACCGACCTCCTTGTCCTGGCTGCCTTGTTTATTATTATTTATTTTGTCCTCACCCGAGGACATTTTTGCATTTATCTTCAGATAGAGCGGGAGGGATAGATAAAGAGAGAAAGAGAAACATTGATGTGAGAGAGACACATTGACTGGTTGCCACCCACATGATCCCAACCAGGGCCGGGGACAAAGTGCAACTGAGGTACGTGCCCTTAGCGGGAACCGAACCCGGGTCTCTCTGGTCCTGGGGCTGGCACTCTAACCGCTGAGCCAAATTGGCCAGGGCTGCCTGCCTTGTTTTTGCCGTTATATGGAGGTGCTGCAAGGGATGCGTGTTTGTTTTTCATCTTGAGGAGAGGTCGAGGCACAGAGAGGACTCTGTGAAAGTTGACATTTCAGTGTAGCTGATAGCAGTCGCTTCCAGCCACTTCAGAGGTGAGGGTGAGCATGAAGGGGAGTGTGAGCTGGTGGCCGGGATCCGGCAAGTCTACAAAATGCTCTTTTCAGTGTGAGCAAAGCTACCTGTGCATGGTAAGGGCAGTTCCTAGGGGCAAAGTCCAAAGCTTTGTTTAGATCTTCAAGGAGATTCATGATCCCTGAAGGATTTATTCACTGGATCACAGATTCTGGTGGATTGACACACTCTTTTTTTCCATTTCAAAGGCAGATCGGGGGCGGTGCCGAGAAAAATTTCCTTACTAGATGACATTTCATCGCAATGTCCGATCGTTTGGGGCAAATAACCAAGGGCAAGGATGGGAAAAGCAAGTATTCGACTCTCAGCCTGTTTGATAAGTATAAAGGAAAATCAGTAGACACAGTCAGATCCTCAGGTAAGAACTGGGTTTGGAAGCCAGGCCTTTCCACTTTTCCTTTAGTGAGAAACACCAGGTCGAGGGATTCGGAACCCAGAGTTCCCCATGTGGTCAGACCGTGGTCCATGCCAATCAGTCCCCTGGCAGGTAGTGGTCACCGGTCGTTCTGGGAAGCAGACTTCCCCTGCTCCTATTTGAGGTCTGGTGTCAGAGCCTAGAACACCCTGACTGCCGTAGTGGGGTTATTTCTCCTCTATCTTATCTTATTGAAACTATGGATATTTTTAGCCAAATGGTTAGAATGGAGCTTAATTTGCATTCGAGTTACCCGGATTCGATTTCATGGTTCCAGTATTCTGGGACTTGGTGGGAAAAATTCCTGCTGATACTATCCACACCCCAGGAGGGTTTTATGAATGCCCGGGCTTGGCTTGGGTCCAGGCAAAGACTGTCCTTTCAGCCTGCTGTAATGAGGCCAGAGCGGTCTCAACTTGCAGAGAGCGGTTACCGTGTGGGACGGAGGTTTTGGGGGCCTGGCTCCTCATCACGCTGTAAACGACTGAGCCTTCTCCTGCCCACTAGTAAGATGGACGCCTCTGCTCAGATCCCGCAGCTCTGGCCTCCGAAGGCCTGGAGGGGCTTGCGAAGTGACTCAGGTGTCCGCCTGGCACTGCTGGTGTGCTTCCGTGCGGGGCCCCCCTCGCTTGTGTGCAGTTGCCTTTGTCATTATCACCTGGGGTTGGAAAGAGCAGCTGGATGGTTCTGGCCTCTTTCTTTCTGTAACTCCCCTGTGCGATGTCTGTTTCCACCCTGCCTTCCTGCAGTTATTCCTAGACATGGCCTACAGAGTCTTGGGAAAGTTGCCACAGCCCGGCGTATGCCACCACCTGCAAACCTGCCAAGCTTGAAGTCTGAGAACAAAGGAAACGACCCCAACATCGTTATTGTACCCAAGGACGGAACGGGATGGGCAAACAAGCAGGATCAGCAAGACCCAAAGAGGTGAGAGCAGAGGGGCAGGTGGCTCTAGCAGCTGCCGGAGCACCGCACACTCCCAAGCATCTTCTGCCTGGGCCCCTGCCGCCTCGTTGTTTCTCGCTCCCTGCCTGCATTCTCCCTGGCTCTTGGAGCCAGGGCAGCGGCAGCTCTGTGGCCGTCTGGTCCCCAGTGCCCAGTGTCCCCTGTGCCTCATCAGAGAGACCTCATCAGCCCAGAGGAGCTTATGCGGTGACTCAGAGCCAGTTTTGTAGGAACCATGTGGGCAGAGCTGGCTCTTGCCCGCTTCATGCCAGTGAGTCCCTGTGTGCTGGCTCCAAGCTGAGGAGGCAGACTTCCCACCTGTGGGCCAGCTGCCTGCCTCCCTCAGAACAGACTGCTGCAGGGCCCCAGACAGACCAGGCATGAAGGAGAACGGCCCAGCGTCCTTATGACCCAAGGTCTGGCACAAAAGTCGATGTTAGGGAAACAGCAACTGTTAGTGGTGCTGCTGCGCCGTGGGGTGCACTGCACTGCCTGGGCCCTTCCCTCCGGTGCCTGGGCCTCCAGCAGTCTCCTCTCTGCGTGTCTCCTCTGGTGGGCTCTGGCCAGTGATAAAGGTGTCCAGGAGAGAGGACTTGGGGTTTGTGCTGGGAGGACAGAAATTCACAGCTGGGGTAGCCCACTCAGGGATGAAAGCTCCCAGCCCCGTCTTGGCGCCTCTTGCCCTGCATCTCAGGGCCTGGCCTCTTGCTCAGGGTCCGGAGCACAGCTGCTGACCGGCGTCCTTTCCTCTCACTGGGAAGGGCCGCGAGCTTTGGTAAAATTTCCCTGTGGGTACTTCCGACGGGGTAGAGTGAGCAGCTGATTCGGTCAGATGATCATAGAGGAGCAGTAACCGCAGTAGGGGCTTAAGCGCTTTTTAAATCTTTTCTGCCCGTGCGTTTAGGGTCATACTGGTCCATGATACAGTGTGACTCTGGAGGTGACGGATGTGTGTGAGGCCCAGCCAGCTGTTCATTAGCGTTACGGCGCTTGGAGAACCATTTGGCTTCTGAGCTTCACTGTCCTATGAAGTAAGAATAATACCTGAGAGAGCACAAGCCAGGTACTTCACACAGAGCCTGGCCTGGAAGAAGTGCATGCAGATGTCATTCTAGTCAGATGGTGGACGCTACAGACTTAGTGAAATGGAAAGTGAAATGGAAAGTTCTAGAGAGAGAGGCCACAGCATTGCTCCCTCCCTGTATCCATTCTCACCGAGCACTAGCACAGAGAGGGTCGCAGCTTTCACGAGGCCAGTCGTGCTGAGACGAGTCTGCTGGGCGCGGGGGTGGGGGCGTGCGGGAGGAGGAAGGCGGAAGGCCGCAGGCCGGCCCTGGCTCTCTGCTGCCACTGGGCTGTGCCCTCCTTGGTGGTATCAGAGGTGGCAGAGTGGGGAGGGGACATAATTGCTCAGTGAGAGAACATATGTGTCACTCCCTGGAAGCTCCTGTTTTGGTAGAATGTCATATGAGGGGCATCAGTGGCCTTCAGTTCATGATGGTCACGATGCTGACAACTTCCTTGGGGTGAGTGGCCTTGGAAGAGTGTCACATGGGACTTCAGCTCGCAGAGGGGCCACCAGCAGTGGTGGGCTGTGGCCAGGAGGGTGGCTGCCCAGTCTGCAGACGTCTTCCTTCAGGACCCTTTCTTGTTCTTTTCTCAAAAGATTGTCGGTGGGGTGCAAACTGGTGCAGCCCTTTTTCTGGAGGGCGGCTGGCAATATCTTTTAAATTTCAACACATCTTTTGATCCAGCAATTCCATTTCTAAGAACTTACACTATTGAATTATACAAAAGTGTGCAAAGATATTTATACAAAAATGCTTGTTGCAGTCCGGCCAGTTTGGCTTTGTGGTTGAGTGTTGACCCAGGCCAAGAGGTCGCCAGTTTGATTCCCGGTCAGGGCACGGGCCCAGTTGTGGGCCCGATCCCCAGTGCGGGGGGGCATGCAGGAGGCGGCCAGTCAATATTCTCTCACATTGATGTTTCTCTCTCTCTCTCTGTCTTCTTTCCTCTCTAAAATTTAATAAAGAAAAAAAATTTTTTTAAATTAAAAAAATGCCCGTTGCAGTCGTATCTGTAATAGAAAAAAATGGAGATTGGTAAATTAAGGCCCATCTAGTTGTATCATGTCATTAAAAGAAAGAGGTGGGGCCTGGCCGGTTTGGCTCAGCAGTTAGAGCGTCGGCCTGCGGTCCAGAGAGACCCGGGTTCGGTTCCCGCTCAGGGTGCGTACCTTGGTTGCAGTTTGTCCCCGGCCCTGGTTGGTCGTGCGGGTGGCGGCCGCTCGATGTGTCCCTTTCACGTCAATGTTTCTCTCTCTCTCTTTCTTCCTCTCTCTCCCTCTCACTCTATCTGAACAAAAAATGGAAAAAAATGTCCTCAGGTGAGGATAAAAAAGAAAGAAAGAAAGGGGTGGGGCCCTGTGTGTCGTTATGAAAAGATGTTAGATTAAGTAAAAAACAAGTTATAGAAGTATATGCATGGTGCTCTTCCACTTGTGTTAAAAAGTACTGGTATGTAGAGAAAGGTTTGCTTAGTTTCTCTCTGGAGGACGAGATATAGACAAATTCTGCGTTATTTATGTTGATATTATTTTTACTAGGAGCATCTGTTTATTTTACAAGCCAAGAGAAGGTAAAACATTTTAAAAACCTGCTGTTTCAAAGCAGGCAGTCCCCCGAATAGCTACGAGCTCTTGGTCAGGAGGAAGGGGCTCAGAGAGCCTTCCCTGTGGTGACTCAGTTTCCCCATTGGCAGACCCTCCATTCCCTCATTGTTTACAGTGGGCTTCCAGTTTTTGCAGGCAGAGGCTCTCCAGGAAGGCCTGTTCTCTGTGAGATGCCAGTGAGTAGACCTCATGCATGTTGTTTCCCATTAGTCTTTACCAATATAAGTGTCTCTCGGGGAAGGTACTGCTTCTGTTGGCCAGAAGAAGTCTTGCTCCCAGTGAGCAGCTGTGGCTCTTGGAAATGCAGAGGGACCTGGTGAGCATGGCCTGTGCCACATTGAACCCTCACTTGTGTGTCCTGCCTCTGTCTAGTTCCAGTGCGACGGCCTCTCAGCCGCCGGAGTCGCTGCCGCAGCCGGGTTTGCAGAAATCTGTCTCCAATTTACAGAAACCGACACCGTCGATCAGTCAGGAGGTAGGTGCTGGGGACCCCATCCTAATTTTGTCCAGGTGTTGGGGCCACCTAACACCCCTGTTGTCAGGGTAGGAATGTCACCGTGAGGGTGGTTTTGCATGACTTGCTTATACCAAAGGCAAACCTGGTAAGTGGCTTTGGAAAATGAACACAAGAAGTAGTCCTGGTCACTGATGAGATTTAATCTGCAACTTGCGGAGAAGACCCCAGGTAGAGTGGAGTACATATACCCAATTTGAGTCTGTTGACTTGTGTTGAGGTGAGGTCACTCAGGTAGGTCCGGGCTGGATCAGGGCCCCCAGTTGTGCTCCAGGGGAACTAGTGCCGTGAGCAGACAGGGCAGGTCAGGCCTCAGAAAGGCGAGCTGGGGAGCAGTGAAGTACGGCCTCGGTCTCCTGAGTGTCTGGTTTGCCGGCGTGCGCTCGCTCCGGCTCTGGGGGACGCGAAGGACAGCCCCCAGGCTGACGTCCTGGGAACCCTTTTTAAACAAGGCCTCTGGGGAGCGTGGTGTCTGAGAGCCATGTTGGGAGCTACCTAGCTATGAGCCTTCGTTTGTTGATCCATTTAAAATGCTTTTTCTAAACAGAAAGGCATGATTTAACTTAGCAAGAGCTCATGATATACTGATTCCATCAGAGATGCGGGTCACAGAGATCAGTAGGAGCTCATACTTAGCTGAGAATCTTCAGTCTTTTAGATCAAAAGAAATCTAGACAGATCCCTAGCATTCACCAGTCTTCTCGAAAAAAACTCGAGTTACTGTACTTTAGTTTTATTTTGCTGCCTGTACAGTAGGAGGTCTTGGGTCACCCCCCTTCTGTGGGGGAAGTTTATAGCTTTGCCAGAAGGACCCTCCCAATACTAATCTGTACTTTTGAAATTAAAGGGAAAAAATCATAATTGTGTGAGGCTCCATATTGGCCTAAGTCCAGTGGGGTGTGCTGAGTATGTCCAGTTGAATTCATGTGCTTCTCAGCATTTGAAACGAAATAAGATTGAAATGAGATTGTGGAGCCACAGTTTTTCAGCCCTGGATGCACAGCAAACTCACCCTTGGGGCTTGTTGAAAGAAAATACACGTTCCTGGACCCCACCACTGGAGAGCCTGCGTCAGGGCCTGGGCATCTGTGGAAAGAAATTGCTTCGGGAATCATCTAAGAACCCCACCCTGGAGTAGCACAGGTCATCTGCCCAGTGCTCAGCTCTTTTCGGCTGTCACCTGGTTTTCTCTCATATGCAGAGGTGGTAAGACGAGACTCCCTGTTCTAAACCCTCACCTCAGAGGTTGTACGGGAGCTCTACTTTTGGGATGAGGTTCACCAGCAATAATAGGATCCCTCCTTGGCCCTGTAGGTACTCCCTTCCAGTTTAGTGCCTTGGTGGGTGAGGGCAGGGGCGTCATCCCTGTGCGTAACACACACCAAGTGGGAGGCTGTCGGTTGGCCCTGGGGCTCCTCCTCTTGCTGCTGGGTCTGGAGGTGCGCCTCTCCTTGAGGGACTGTTCACCCCAGCTGCACAGCCTCTTCTGTGTCTCCTCTTATGGGGAGACCCTGGGGCATTCTGGCCACCATGTCAAGCATTCATGGCAATTCCCGACAAATGAGTGGGTTGTTGGACCAGGTCAACTCTGCACTGAAGGTGGGAGACAGTTGGCTGCCTTCAGCATGTGTGCTGGTGGCCATGGCAGGGTTGGACTGGAGAAGGAGGGGTTGTGGGAAAGGGCAGTTCAGTCTGGCACCTAGCCCAGTAAGGGCAGACACTCGGCCACATCAAGCCCTGCTTTTGTAGCTTTATCTTCAGTTGGAAGGGAAGTCTGGTAAGTTGGATGTTATTGAGAAAGGCAGATGAACTCAGTTGGCAGGGACCCAAAGGGTCTTTGGACACAGGCAGGATGGGACAAGTCCTGGCTGCCTCTCCAGCTGGTGTCCCAGTCAAGTTTCTCCTTCCTAAGCCTCAGAGATGTGACTAGAGCCCTCCCCCGGTGTGGGAGGCTTTGGTTAGGCAGGGTGTGCCTAGCACAGTGCCCAGCCCTGGTGCGCTTTCAGCAGAGGTTATCAGGTAGGACTGAGCGTGAAGCAGGCAAGTCCTGGTGAGTGGGGAGGAAGGCCTGTTGGAGCTGGGCCTTGGAGAAGGGTGGTAGTTGTGGGGCGGGGTGCAGCGGCCCCTCCAGCTGAGAGTCAGACACCTTGGCTTTCCTGTGCTTACGTTCTGTTAGCGGCATGCAGTTTTTGAGACATGTGCTGGGATTGGGACTTGCTCTTTGTCTTTGGAGCAAGACAGTAGCTCTGTGTGGGCAGGAGAGGCGACCTGCCAGAATGTTCCGGACTGCAGCATGAAGGTAGATGTGGGCTCGAGACCTGGCTCGGCCTTAACTTACTGTGTGACTAAGCCGATCGCTTCCCCACATCCTCATCCGTCACATGGCCCGACAGTTCCTGACCTGGCCACTGAACGCGCCGTGGCTGGTACCTCTCAGCACATGGTAGTGACTTGGCGCAGTGGTGGGACCTGAGGGGCGGCCGTGAACACCGTAGTCTCGTCGCTGGGGAGCGGGGGGAGGCTGCGGTGCTAACTCTCTTCTAATTCTCTCCTTTTTCAGAATACACATTCAGTGCCAGGTGGACCAAAGTCATGGGCACAGCTGAATGGAAAGCCAGTAGGACACGAAGGTGGTAAGTTGGGTGGGCAGCAGCGATGCATACCTTTCCTGGACTGTTTGGTTGGGTCTAGGTTGTCTTTGGCCTAAGCTTCGTGGGGTGTCTCACCTGAGAGTCACTGCTCTGTGGGGCCCTTGACTGTGCCCCGGGAGGAAGTGTGGTTCTGAAAGCCTGTCAGCTCTTGGATGTCAGAGCAGCGTGGCCGAGCCTTTCCTCCGGAGGCTGGAATCACCGTGTGGTCGAAGGCTCTCCCCTCAGTCTCCAGTGGGTGTGCCAGAGGTGCTGGGGGCAGAGCCCCAATGCTCCTGACTTCACGGGGGAAGGGTGCGCAGTCCCCCCCATGGGTTCCCCAGCCAGGAGGGTGGGGAAGCGGGGACAAGGTGAGCAGGGAGCAGGAGGGGCTGGGACAAGCCTTTCGCACTCTCCAGTTAGGTCTCTAAATAGGCTTTTTAATGAGCAGTCACTGGACTGTTGATAGTGGTTGTTTGACTTTTGTAGTCCATCTTTCTGCAAAGATTGTGAATTTAAGTAAATCAGATGTATGAATTTGTATTTAAAAGCATCTATAGAGACTAAACACAAATAATATAATGGGTACACCCTGTGGAGGCAGCTTGACGCTGCTTCTCAGGACCTCGGTCCGTCTCCCCTAGGAGCTCACCCTCTGAGTTACGTAGCCTGTGTATGCAGTGACACAGGTCATTTGCTACAGCATTGTGATAGCGAAAGATTGGACATAGTCACTGGAAACACCCATCAAATTATGACACTTTAATGAAATGCTATTTATCTGTAAGGGGGAAAAAGTTTTCCACTGGCATAGCAAGATCCACAGGACATATTCTTAAATGAAAAAAAGTGCAGAATAGTATGTAGAGTTTGTTATATTCACGCAGAGATTCGGGGTGACGGACAGTACACTTTAACAAATATGTTTTAAAAAACATCTGGAAGGAAACACAAGAGGGAGGGAGGGAGGGAGCACCGACTTCTCAAGGCACCAGGAGTGTCGGGTAGGACGCCAGGCTGGGAGGAAGGCTTCAGTGTTGACCTTTTGATGGCTTTTTCCTTTTGAACCTTGTGGTTGTTATTACCTATCAAAAATAAAGTTATTTATAAAACAATTCGAAAGCAATCAGGCACTCTGCACATGTGTGACAGCTTGTTTGGGAGGTGGCAGAGCCTAGAATCTCAAGAGGAGAGAACAGACACATGCTGGGCCCAGATGGGGCTGGGGTGGGAATCAGGCTTCTGGGTCCCCTCTTGTGCTGGGCTCACAGGTCCATGATGCCATCAGGGCTGTGGGGACTTGGGAGTGTGTCATCCACAGACATTTTCAAAAGGACTCTTTCTGAGTTGATGGACTCTCCACATAGAAGGTGGTTGATTTTCATCTGAAAAGCTCAGGAGGTCCGACCATCTGATTGGGGCAGAGGCCAGAGGCTCAGTGTGTGGGTCTGGCGCCGGCAGCATCACCAATGGCTTGATCTGGGGCCTTAGAAGAAGCCCCTGATTTTACTCTCTGAGTTTCTTATGGACAAGCAGATGGCACAAGGGATTGGTGGGTGAATGTTATAGAGCATTGAGACCTTAGCAATGATACCACTTTGGTTTGAGATTTGAGTTCTGCTTGATACCTTTTCATCTGTGGAGGGTAAGTTTAATTTATGCTTACAATACCTTCATGACTGGCGAGGCAGGAAAAGGTACTGGGCATTTGCTGTTTTGTTTTTCTTCGATTAATGTACCAGAAATCAATAATAACATGTCCTTGAATGAAGACATACTTGATTTTTAGAGAGCAAGGGAGAAGGGGGGAGAGAGATAGAAACGTCACTATGAGAGAGAGGAGACACACACACATCGATCGGCTGTCTTCCGCAAAACCCAGATTGGTCTGGGGATCGAACCTCCAACCCAGGTTGCCCTTAACTGGAATCGAACCCTCAGCCCTTCAGGCTGGCACTCCAACTGCTGAGCCAAACCGGCCAGGGCTCTACCATATTTTTAAAGCTTGACTTTCATATTTCATCTTGCCAGTTCTTAACATAAGGAAGCGAGTATGTGAGTCAGAGCCCCTGGGCAGAGCAGGGGGCGTCTTTGCGACCCTTGGAGACTCTCTCAGGTTCATCCCTGGTGAGTGACGCCCAGTTATCATCCTGGCAGGTTGATCTGACCCTGGATCTCTTACCACGGGGATGGTGAGTGAGTTGCTGCCTGTGCTTCTGCACTGACCCCTTCATCTTTCTGCAAAGTCTGCCTGAGCTGACAGGCCTGTGAGTCAGTGGTGCCAAGAATAATACCGAGGGGGAGAATCGGCTTTATTTCTAGGGAGCAGGGCTCGCCACGTTGTGCTGTTAGATACACTGTTGGTCACGTGGCATTGGACACGCGCTGCGTGGTCCAGACAGAGGGACGAGCTCCCACTCCAGACGCGTGAACGTGTCGCTTGCTGCCATGTCCTCACCCAGAAGATGACTGCCAGCCCCCGTGCTGAGAGCCGCGCGAGGGCAAGATGAGGGAGCGGCTTCTCTGGGGCTGCAGTGTTGGCGAGGGAGTGGAAGGAGGAGGACAGATTGTTCACAGCAGCCAAGCGGGTAGCCTTGCAGGGCCGGAGGACCTTTGTAGAAAATGGTAAAACTGGGAAGGACAGACCGATGAGGAGGCACTCGTGGTGTAGATGTGGGGCTGAGGCCTTTGGGGAGAGTGGGGGACACCTTCTCTTGGCACTACTCCATATGAAAGCACTTGACTTCCTTGGACTGGTTTTGCCAAAGACTGCGCTCATCTGCCTCCTGGGCCACCAGAAGGACCTTACTGCCATTTCGAGGAGCCGGGAAGGGTCCTGGCTGGAACTGCGCCTTCTTACCCACACCCTCTGTGACTGGCCCCTGACAGTTGGCATCTGGGGACTCTCGGGGAGCCCACTTCCGGCCAGCGTGGCTGTCAGTGCGTGGAATTGCTGCAGCTGAGACCCATCGGTGCCGATCTCACTTGCTCCATAAGTCTTTCCGGTTTTCTCGACAGGTTCAAGGGCCTCAAGCCGACTGTTATCCTTCTCTCCCGAGGAATTTCCGACGCTGAGAGCAGCTGGAGGGCAGGACAAGGCTGGCAAGGAAAAGGGCGTCTCAGATCTGTCGTATGGGCCAGGACCAAGCCTCCGCCCTCAGAGTAAGTGGGCCGAAGCCCTGTCTGGCACAGCTGAGCCCCCTCATCTCCCGTCCTCTTGGACAGGGTCGTGCGGCTCTCAGAGAGCCATCACTCCCTTGGCCGGGTCCCTTCCTGGACAGCGTGGTCAGTGACCCTTTGCCTGACCTCTGCTCTGCTGGACTCACTCCCTAGGCTGGTCTGGAGCCACCCCTTCCTTCTTGTCTGCTGGGTTGGGTCAGACCTGCCTGCCTTCCTACCTGTCATCAGCTAGTTCTGCTCTGCTTCGGTGGTCATGGCAGGGGTCAGCTACCTTGGGCTCTGATTCAGGAGCTTGTCTTCTAAACCAGCGGTTCCCAAAGCTCGCCGATGCTTTCGGGATCACTGGGGGTGTGTGTGAAGAAGTCTGATTTCCAGGCCTCCTGATCCCCAGCCAACTTAGAATCTGTTTTTCAACGTGTTCCCTTATGTGGCCCGCTCAGCGGGTCTCTGTGGCCCCTCCTCTGGGGTCTGGCTAGGAGTGGGCAGGTGTGTGTAGTGATACTTTCTCATAATTTCTTTTAGAGGCCTTGGGTGGTTACAGTTTAATGTTGTTTAGCAATGGGACTTCCTGTCTGTTCTAACCAGAGATTCTGAAATGGCTCTTGTTTTTTGGGTGTGTGTTGGGGGTGCTTGATCAGGTTCTGAAATATGGAGGACTTTTATTTGCTTGTGTTGATTAACCCCCAAGGTGTCCAGTGACAGACCTGACATCTGTGAATGGAGTGGTCACTCTGCAACGGCATGACACACCTGACCTGTCCAGTGGCCTGGCTGGCTGTCTCCTCCAGACATAGCCCAAGTCCTTAGGCCAAGAATTGTAACTTTCTGGGTTTACTTAAGATGAGTTGCTTTATAGGAATATAAAAGTTTAGAACTAGGAGGAGCTTCTGGGATCAGTTTCATTTCATTTGAGAAGACGAAGAAGCAGATGGCCAGAGGGGTGACCACAGCAGAGCTCCCGTCCCTCAGGCTCTTTCTCTCAGGGGTCACGTACTAAGGGACCTTTCATGTCTGAACCCCGAACCCATAGGTGGCTGGAAAGAGCAGCCACTTATTTGGCTCATGCAGTTTCGCCTCGGCCTACAATTCTACCAGATCTTGCTATGTTAGGCGGTGGAAAGCATCTTCTAAAAAAATAGATAGGTCAACAGGTTTCCACCTGTGCCCTGCAGGAGGGCCCCCGGCTGGTGCAGGACAGGTGGGGGCCAAGGCTTTGTGGCAGGCCCCACTGGGCGAGAGCAGCTCTGCTTTGTCTCATGAACGGGGAGATCTCTTTGACCAGAGATGCCACTGCTAAACAGTTTGAAAACACATCAGAACTCTCTTTGGTTTTAATGTCAAGTCGCGCTGAGCACAGGGCTGATCTTCCAGGGCTGGGCAGTGTCTGTGGGGAAATCACCCAAGGCTGTTTCCACTGGGGCCGCCCGATTCCTTGGCGCTGAGCTCTGTGGGTGATGGGGTTTCTGTTAATCAGTGAAGACCATGTCCTGCTCACACTTGCCTTCTCTGAGTGGACCTTGTTTTGTATTTCTTTTATAATCAGACTTCCCTCAGCAAGTTCATACTCATTGGAGGCGTCTGCCCCCCACCTTCCCTGACATACTTGACCAGTGGACTTGACTCTTCACTTGTGATTTTTTGTTTGTTTGTTTTTGTGAATGAGGGGGTCCCTTGACCTTCAGAACCTCATACAATCCCTCCTCCCCCCTCTTCTTTCCTTTCCCCTTTTGCCCTCTTTCAATTTCCAGATGTGACAAGCTGGAGGGAGGGCGGTGGGCGAAACATAATTTCTGCCACGTCTCTGAGCGCCTCCCCAACTGAGCTGGGCAGCAGGAACTCGAGTGCGGGAGATGGAGCCCCCTCCTCGGCATGCACCAGCGATTCTAAGGACCCCTCTCTCCGCCCGGCTCAGCCTGTCCGCAAAGGGGCTTCACAGTTCATGGGAAATGCATACCACCCACCTACATACCATGACATGCTTCCTGCTTTTGTAAGTCTTCAGAGTGTGCATTTTCCCCATGAAGTCGGCTTTTTCCTGTCCAGCAGAACCTACTTCACGTGGTCCACCTTAGGTTTTCCCTCCTGATGTCACGATTTGCCCTGATACCTGCCTTTCAGGTTTCCATTAGTTTTACACTTTTCTCTCCTCTTCAAATCCTAAGAGCCTCTGGCTTCGTTCCCTGCTGATGTGATATCATTTCAGCCTTGGTCCTTTAGAAAAAGGAGAGGCAGGTTCTCCCCGAGACACAAGGCCCAGGTTTACTAACAGGAAAGAAATGGGGAGACGGTGGCAGGTTACATGGGAAACGCTGAGACTTCTTGTTTCTTTTTCCCATTTTCCATTTTCTGAAACGAATTCTAATTCAAGTGGAACTTAGAGTGTGGGCAGTACCAGAAAGTCCTGTCCATTGGTGTTGTGTTGCAGATGTGCTCGCCTCAGTCGTCAGAGAACCAGGGCCCAGTGGAACGAGGGTCTTTTCCCCTCCCCCAGCTCCGCCTGGAACCCCGTGTTCCTTTCAGGCAGTTCCAGATGAATGACCAGGACGGGTAAGGCTCTGTCACATGTATAGAGATCACCCTGGTGGTGACTGGACAGGATGACCGTGATGAGTGAAAGTGCTCTGTCTTCTGAAGACCGCAGGCCCCTAAGCCAGCTCGGCCCAGGGTGTGTGGGGCGGCAGGATGGGCTGGGTGAGAGGTTGGGTCATGACTTCAAGTGCCTGGCACAGTTTTTGGCACATGCCAGTTGCTGCTACCCTAGGCATTAGTACTGAGCAATAAAACTGCAGAATGAGGCAGGACTTCTCTCTGCGATGCAGTTGTTCATTGTGTATTTCTTTCCAAAGGAGATGACTTAAATGTTAAATGCAAACATGAACCTTTGCAATCTAGGACTTAGTTTTTGAAAAATGTTTGAGTTTTTTCCATATGTGTCCTTGGCATAAGTCCAGTGTCTTTAACTCTTTTCTCTCTCATCAGAAAAGAAAACAGGCTGGGAACGTCTCGCCCACCGCGCCCACTCCGACAGCTGGTGGAGCGGGCTCCTCGGCCCACCATCATCAATGCAGAAAACCTCAAGGGCCTCGATGACCTGGACACCGATGCCGACGATGGCTGGGCAGGTGGGTGCTTCTTGATGGGCTTACACCGGTGGTTTAGGGGGGCAGGAGTGAAGTCCATCTCTGCCTAGCCAGGATGAAAACCCCACTGTGTGGTTTCCCTGGGCGAGCAGGAAATGAAGACGTGGGGGCAGGGAGCAGCCTCGGTGCCCTGAGTAGGCCCTCGCTGGCATTCACAGCAGGGATTGCTTCCTGACCCATCTGTATCTCCTTTGGTCTTTGATCTTGAGCTTTGAGCTGTGGTAGATTTTGCTGTTAATATTCTTAGAGGCATTTTTCATGATGGAAAAGTTAAGCAAAATAGTGCAATAAACTTCCAGGTACCCATCACCCAGGTTCAGCAAGTTACCACCATTCTGCCCTTCTTGTTTCTTTCATTTCACCCACACTCTATTCCCCAGTCTGATTATATTCTCTTACAGTCCTTGATGTTGGTTTTCGAGTACATTGTAATTATATTGAAAGATACACATCTTAATTGTACAGTTTTGACACAGGGGTATATACCTGTGAGATCAAGAAGCATTTCCTCATCACCCCAGTCCCTTCCCATCAGCCTGCCTCCCCCTGCTGCCGGGCCCATTGGACAGTGCCGGCCGATGGAGCCGCAGTTTCCTCTGGTGCCACGTCTGCGAGTCATCGATGTTACATGTATCCGTGGTTGCGCTGTTATTGGGGTATATTCCGTTGTGTCAGTAGACTTTAATTTGTTTAGCCAGTCAGAAGTTTTATTGTGAACAGTATTCCATTTCTCTTGAGTGGAAGTGTTGGGTCAGAGGGTAGGCGTGAAATGAGGTTCACAAGGACCACCCCGGCCTTTCCACAGTGGCTGTGCCATGCTCCTTCCCAGCAGTGATCACCGCTCGCTAGTCTCTGTCGTTTTAGCCATTCTCGGGGTGTGTGGTGGTATCGCACTGTGCTTTAATTTATTTTATTTTTTTAGAGAGTGGGAGGAAGGGAGGGAGAGAGAGAGAAACATTTATGTGGGAGAAACACATCGACTGGTTGCCTCCTGCATGACCGGACCAGAGCCAGGGATGAACTGCAACCAAGGTACGTGCCCTTGACCAGAATCAAACTTGTGACTCATTGGTCTGTGGACCGATGCTCTAACCACTGAGAAAACTGGCCAGGGCTCATTGTGTTTGGTTCTTTTTTCTTTAATTTTTTTCCCCTTTATTGACTTTGAGAGACACAGAAACATCAATGAGAGAGAACATCGATTGGCCGCCCCCTGTATGCCCCCGACTGGATATCTGGCCCACAACCTGGGCATGTGCCCTGACCGGGGATAGAACCGGGACCTCTTGGTGCATGGGTCGATGCTCAGCCACTGAGCCACACCAGCCGGACTCATTGTGCTTTTAAATTTGCATTTTGTAGTGAGTGATGATGATGAATGCATTTTTATGTGCTGTTTGGCTACAGGTATATATATTTTTTTCTTTTTGAGTGTATGACAGAAGTCCTTGGTGACCTACATTTCACAAATATTTTTTCCTATAGTCTATTCATAGGTAAATCCTTGTCTATTCACATATAAATCCTCACCTGAGCATATGTTTTTTTCATTGATTCTAGAGAGAGAAAGAAAGGGAGAGACAGAGAGAAACATTGATCGGATGCCTCCCGTAAACAACCCGCCTGGGGCTTGAACCCACAGCCTGGGTATGTGCCCAGAAGAACAGAACTCGAGACCCATTGGTGCACTGCGTAATGCAGCCACGCCAGGGCGTCTGTTCATTTTTCCTAGCACGGTTTTGATGAACGGAAGTTTTTAATTTTGATGAAGTTTATAAATTTGTGTTTTTTATGTTTATTACTTTTGTGTCCTGTCTTAAGAAAAATCTTTGTCTCCCTTTGGTGGTAAAGATATGCCCTTATGTTTTATAGTTTTAACTCTTATTTTTGGGGCTCCGATCCATGTTGAATTAATTGATGTGTATGGTGTAAGGTAGGAGTTGAGGTTTATTGTTTTCGATGAGAATATACACTTGCTCCCCATCAAGTAAGACTTTTCTCCCCCTATTGAATTGTTTTGGCACCTTTGTCAAAAATCTGTTTCCAGACCTGTTTGTTTCATTGATCTTTTTATTCATCCTTATGCCCAAACCACACTGGAGCTTTTTATTTATAGGAAGTCTGAAATTCAGGTAATGAACAAAATAAACTGACAAATTTAAAAAATTCAGATAGTATAAATTTTCCAACTTTGTTTTTTGTTTTTGTTTTGTTTTTTTAATCCTCACCTGAGGACATGTTTTCATTGATTTTTAGACAGAGAAAAGGAGAAAGAGAAACATTTATGTGAGAGAGAAACATCGATTGATTGCTTCCTGTACATGCCTTGACTGGTATCAAACCTGAAACCCGGCATGTGCTCTGTCTGGGAATTGAACCAGCGACCTTGCGGTGCACAGGACGAGTCTCCAGCCAACTGAGCCACACTGGTCAGGGCTTGTTTTGTTTTTTTGATTGTTTGACTAGGCTAAGTGCTTTTCATTTCCATATAAATTTAGAATGCCTAGCAGTATTTACAAAAAGCCTGTGGGCATTTTGGTTGAGATTATGTTGAATTTGTTTCTGGATAAATGACATCTTAATGTTGAGTCTTCCATGTAGGAACCTGGTGAACCAAGTCTTCACCCCCCGTAGTGCTCTGTAGTTTTCAGGGTGGAGGCTGGTCCTCAGCATTCGATGGTCTTCGATGCTGTTATAAGTGACATTGTTTCTTCAAGTGTATGATGTTACTATGTAGAAATACAGTTGGTTTTTGTGAATTGACCTTTGCTGGATGCACTCACTAGTTTTACTAGTTCTTATTGATCTCTTGGCATTTCCACCTAACCCATCATATTGCCTATGTATAGGGACAGCTTTATGTCTTCCTTTTCAGATCATATGCTTTTTTTTTCTTCTCGCTTTATCGCACTGTGGTATTTACAAGACATACAATGTTGTATTCAAGTTCTTTGTTTCTGATCTTAGAGTTGAGATGTTCTTTATCAGATTGAGCAGGTTCCTTTCTATTTCTCGTTTGCTGAATTTTTTTTTTTTTTTTTGTCCTCACCCGAGGACACTTTTGCATTTATCTTCTGATAGAGTGGGAGGGAGAGAGGGAGGAAGAGAGAGAAACATCGATGTGAGAGAGACACATCGAGTGGCTGCCATCCATACAACCTCAACCAGGGCCGGGGACCAACTGCAACCGAGGTACGTGCCCTTAGCGGGAACTGAACCTGGGACTCTCCGGTCTGAGGGTCGGTGCTCTAACCGCTGAGCCAAACCGGCCAGGGTGAATGTTTTGTTTTTAAATTATGAATGGGTAACACATACTGAGTTTTGTTAAATATTTATCCTCACCCGAGGACATTTTTTCATGTTTTGTTCAGATAGAGCGGGAAGGAGAGAGAGGAAGAGACAGAGAGAGAAACATCGACGTGAAAGGGATACATCGAGTGGCTGCCACCCACACGGCCCAACTAGGGCCGGAGACAAACTGCAACCAAGGTACATGCCCTTAGCGGCAACTGAACCTGGGTCTCTCTGGACCGCAGGCCAACACTCTAACCACTGAGCAAAACCGGCCAGGGCTGTACACAATTCTTAACATATGCACCCAAAATGCAAAGTTACAGAGTTGTGATTTTTTTCTCAACAGTTATTCCAGTGACTTTCCAGCTTAAAATTTGTAAGTTGATTTTCCTTAATAGAGTATCAAGTACCAATATCTTCAACAGCAGAGTCCCACTAAATCACAATTTAATATCCTATGTATACATAGATCAAATTTTCAATCTTGCACAGCACATTAACAAATTTACTAGGAAAAGACTACCACACTGAAGATGTGACAGAGTGCATGAAGTTTTGACAGGGAGAGCCCAGATCAAGGAGTGGTTTTCTTTCGGAAGCAGTTCTACCAGAAACATGGGACTAGACGTAATTTAAAATGTTCAAGACATATTAAATGCACGACTGAATCCAAATTGCTGTTTAGTATGTATTGTATGATTGGACATGGCACGACCCCCATCTGTGGAATGTTAAGCTGACATCCAAGACAATCAAAGCCTCCCGTATTCAATATCCCACTATTTTCTGGTTATACCAAAAAAAATAACCAACAGATGATTTTACCTCTTGAAAAAAGCATTTACACTTAAAAAAATGGGATCAGGTGGAATTACCTCCTTCTTAAAAGTGTTTCTAGAGCTACTAAAAACGTTGCATTTACAAAATAATTGATAAAAATATTTCTCTGAATTGTATAAGAAGGGGGACAAGGACCAGTGATAAGACAGTGTACATGCTATTCATCAGACTTGGCTCCTCTCTTTCCTCCCTCTGAGGCTGGATTCGCCTCGTTTTCCGCTGGTACATCTTTAGGTGCCTGTTCAGCCGCTTTCGTTTTCCCTTTGCTCCCCTTTCCCTTCTGCTTGCACTATTTTGTCTGCGTATTTGTCCTTTCTTGCTGTCTTTTTTGGCTTTGTTTCTGCTCTTGCAGAAGGAGGCTTGGCTGACAACCTTGCTGACCTCCTCTTGGGCTCCACCTTTGCCACCCCCGGCAGAGCTGACCTTCCTCTTGGGTGTCGTGGCGGCAGGGCAGGCGTTTGCTGGTGCTTGAGGACTCGTTGCACCTGGAGCCTTCTTGAACCGGGGCTGCCTGGCCTTGCTGCTTCTCCAGCTGCCCTCGCTGCTCAGACCCTCGAAGGGCTGGCGGGAGAACCCTGATTTGTTTATTGAAGATTTTTTTTTTCTTTATTGATTTTAGAGAGAGAGGAAGGGAGAGGGAGTGGGAGAGGGAGACAGAAACATCGGTGAGAGAGAACATTGATTGGCTGCCTCCTGCATGGTCCCCGCTGGGGTTCGGGTCCACAACCTGGGCATGTGCCCTGACCAGGAATCGAACCAGTGACATTTTGGTGCATGGTATGACACCCAACCAGCTGAGCCACACCAGCGAGGGCGGATTGATACCTTTGAAAAAATATATGATTCAGTGATTATTTTTTTTATTATATTCACAATTTTATGCAACCGTCACCACTATCCATTTCCAGAACATTTCTGTCACTCACAAAAAAAACCCTTTGCCCATTAGCAGTCACCCCACTGCCCCTCTCCCCCATCCTCTGGCAACTAATCTTTCTGGTTTTTTTTTTAATATTTTAAAATTGATTTTTATAGAGAGAGAGGAAGGGAGGGGAGCGAGAGAGGGGAACAGTGATGTGAAAGGAAAACAACTGGCTGCCTCCTGCACGGCCCCTACAGGGGATCGAGCCTGCAGCCCGGGCACGTGCCCTGACTGGGAATTGAACAGGGACCTCTCAGTCCACGGGATGATGCTCAGTCCACTGAGCCACACTGGCCAGGTGTATTTTTTTTTTTTAATGGCCATGTGCTATTCCATTGTGTGGATCTGCCACAGTTTGGGTACCCACTCATCAGTTGATGGACTCTGTCTACCACCTGGTCCACTTGGTAGGGGAAGTAGTGCCCTGGGCCAACTCTCATGGGCAAGCCTCTGTACTTTAGAGTCAATGCCGATCTAGATTCTGCCTGCTTCTGCTCCGCTCCTGCATGTGCTAATACATTTTGTAAATTTTGCCCAGATTTAAGGACTGTTGTCTGGGGGAGGGCTAGTCTGACCAAGCCTCTTTGCTGTTACCCGAAACCCAAACTGTCCTTCACTTGTGTCTGCAGTGTGCTCTGGTGGTTGGTCTTCCCCTCGTTGGTTTGGCATAATTTCTGACTGAGGAAGCCCAGTGGCACTCGTAGTGGTTGAAATTCTCATCTTTGCTCGTTCTTCCTGGCCCTCCTATTAGGCCTCCATGAGGAAGTGGACTATTCTGAGAAGTTGAAGTTCAGTGATGACGAAGAGGAGGAAGACACTGTGAAGGATGGCAGGCCGCAGTGGTAAGGCTCTCCACCCCTGCTTGTGGCACGCTCCAGCGCAGCTTGGCTCAGCGGGACTGCCGTGTGCTGGTCCCATGCCAAGTGCGTTTCCTAGTTCACAGCGACCTCACAGGGCAGATTCCGTTTCATTTTGCAGATGAGAGAGCCAAGCTCCTGGGGACAGCCCTGGGAGAACGGGGCCAGGGTTTGCGCCCAGGCGTGGAAGGCTGGGTCCTCGCGATCGCAGCCACTGCTCAGCACCTTCCTGAGCATGTGGTGTGGGCCATGCGTCTAGCAGACTGATGATGAGTGTTAGGCCGCAGAAGCCTTCTGTGGCCAAGCAAGTTTGGGAAACTGCCTGGGTTCAGCTTACTCTTTTCCTCCAGGTTGCTCACAGCCAGGGATGTGCATGCCAAAGCATGTTGGGAGTCTGGGATGTGGGAGGAGCTGTCGGTAGGGTAGGCCAGATTTCCTGAGCTTTTTAGACCAATTTAATTTTTTCTCTTTTTGGGTAATTTTATTGGACTAATTTTATTCATAATGCCCTTTAGAAAAACTTCATTGTACTCCAACTCTTCTTGTTTTTATCATAATATTAATAGTATTGGCTGGTACTATTAAAATAGTACTTTTGGCCCTGGCCGGTGTGGCACAGTGGTTAGAGTGTCAGCCCTCGGACCAAAGGATCTCGGGATCAATTTCTGGTCAAGGACACATACCTGAGTTGCAGGTTCGATCCCTGGCCCTGGTCGGGAAGCAGCCAATCGATGTGTCTCTCTCACATTGATGTTTCTCTTTCTCCCTCCCTCTCTCCTTCCCTCCCTTCCTCTCTCTCTAAAAATCAATGGGGAACAAAATCCCCAGATGAGGAGTAAAAATAAAATTAATACCTTTGGTTGGAGTACTAGCAAACAGGAACATTTTCCTTTATGTGGAATTTCATGTTTTCTTTGTACATTACCTATTAGACTTATTATGCTTTCCTCAAAAATGTGGTTTTATATTGTTTAGGTATTAATGCTTTAATGTTTTCCCTTTGCTTTGTCACTGATTGAATGTTTGTATGGTCGAATCTCCAAGCTTTCTCTGTATTGTTGCATCTTGCACTTCAAAGCTCCTGTCGAAATTGCCCTCTTGTGGAGGAAGGTGGTAACTGGTCTGCCACTCTTCCTGAGACACACGGTTAACTAATGGAGGCTTCTGGTATTTGTTTTCACACTGCTTGCTGCACTTGGGAACTATCTGTGGGTCAGTTCTTGGAACATGGAGTTCAGAAGGAAATGTGACCAAGAATTCAAGTCAAAGGCAAAGACAAAATTTACACTTTGTTCTTGTCTCTTTCAGTTGATGTTAATTGAATATTCAACTGAAAGAATTGGGCATGGACCCAGCTTTGCTCCTGGCTATGACCAAGGACACCTCAAATAGAGGGCACCTCCTCCCTAACACTGCTCTCTTTATTTTTATTTTTTTTATTTATTTATTTTATTACTTTTTTTTTCCCCTCACCCGAGGACATTTTTCCATTTTTTGTTCAGATAGAGTAGGAGGGGGGGGGAGAGGAACAGAGAGAGAGAGAGAGAAACATCGCCGTGAAAGGGACACATCAAGTGGCTGCCACCCGCATGACCAACCAGGGCCGGGGACAAACCGCAACCGAGGTACGTGCCCTCAGCGGGAACCGAACCCGGGTCTCTCTGGACCACAGGTCGACGCTCTAACCGCTGAGCCAAACCGGCGAGGGCTCTGCTCTCTTTATATTCTCTGAGCTGGTTGATGAGGCCCAGCCCCCAGAGACTCCTACGATGAGCTCCAGGTCCCCTCTGACAGCTTCATTTCCCCATCCATGATGAGCCCTGAAACTCATCCCCTGACTCCATCCCTTCCTGTTCATTGTATCTGGGGCCGTGGGACCAGCATTTTTTTTTTTTCTGGACCATGCAGAGGTCAGCCAGTGTATCTCTCTCCTTCCATCTTACTTTCTTACCCTTCACACTGTGCTCATGTCTCCAAAAGACACAGCTCTTTGTTGGTGGGTCAGAAGCCTCATGTGGTGTCTCATGTCTCTCAAGGTGGAGTCAGGAGTCGCTAGTAGTTGTTGCCCGGCTGTGATCTCCTGACGTGCCTTCCCCACCTCGTCTTCCCCCACTCACACATGCATGTGCATGGACACAGGAGACAGGTCTGCCAGACCTGAGCCCCGCTGTTCCCGGGGCTCCTGCTGTGTGACTGGGCACTTCTTTCACATACAGGAGAGCTCCGCACATGCACAGGGCTTTGCCCCAGCGCCCGAGTGTACCTGTAGCATGTGAAGATGGGCGCTGCCAGCTCCCTTCTCTTCCAGCCTTCTTGCCACCTCCCTTGGACCCTCCTCCGGTCCACACTGTGTGCTTTGTTCCTCGTGCTCTTGGCTGTGGCCCTCCAGTGAGCCGTCTCGTGCTGTGTCGCGGAGCACTTTGAGCACCTTTTCTGCAAAGCACAGGGAAGGAGCTGTAGTATAAAGAGAAAGACCTTCATTTGGAGTCCTGGGTTCAGATCAGCTCCGTCAGGGAGAACAGCTGCCCAACCTCTCTGAGCTCAGTTTTCAACTCTTTAAAATGCGGGGAGTGCCCTGGCCGGTTTGGCTCAGCAGTCGGAGCGTCACCTGCAGACCAGAGAGTCCCGGGTTCGGTTCCCTCTAGGGGCACATACCAAAAAAATAAATAAAATAAAAACTGTGTGTGTGTGTGCGCGCGCGGGGAGTGAGGGCTATTTTTTTTTTTCCATCAGATGAAAAATGGGTGTTGAATATTCTGCCTGGAGCTTTGTGTGGTAGAGTGATTTAGTAAATGTTGTACTGAATTCTGGTGTTCTGGGCATGTCCTGTCACCTGTATGGTGGTGGGGAGGTAGGTCTGTTCTGACGAAGGATGTTGGTGCGTAGAGAGCTGGCTGAGGGCCCTCTGCCTAGTAAGACCAGACCATGTTGGGCTGACTGGGAAAACTGATGCTCAGCGTTTGTCCTAGGAGCAGCTGGGACCCGAGAAGGCAGCGGCAGCTGTCACTGAGTTCTGCAGACAGTGCCGATGCCAAGCGTGCGCACGAGGAAGGAAAGGACTGGTGTGAGGCAGCAGGCACGGTCCGGGTCGTCCGGAAGGTGCCGGAACCTCAGCCGCCTTCCAGGAAGCTTCACAGCTGGACGTCAGGCCCTGACTGCCAGGTACCCTGGGCACTGGAGGGGCTCCGCGCCGGTGATCAGCTGGGGCTCCTTCCCTCCCCACAGTCACCTAGTTGACTGTCCTGCACACTTGTGTTTTGCTGAGTAGTGCGGCTGGGTTTCTGGAAGTCCTAGGAGGATCTTTCTCGCTTTCCTTTTTTTAATTATAAAGTTTCTTTTGAAACAAGCATGAACTTACGAGAAAGTTGGAAGTACAATACAAAGAATAATCTTTTCTGAGCCATTTGAAGAGAAGGTTCCAGCCCGGTGGGCAGTCATCACAGAACACCTCAGTCCATGCTGCTTCCGGACAAGGGTGCTCCTTCCGGGGAGCCAGGCACCTTGCTGCCCTCGCCGGACCTGCTCCTGTCAGTGTCCTCCGCACACGGTCCTCCGGGCCAGGCACGGCCGGCCTCAGCTGTCCTGTCCCTCTCCCTCCTGCTTGGTACATCCTTCCCCTCAAACTGGGATTGTCAGGTCCTTCCTCAGGCTTAGGTTCCAGGTTTCCTTTTTGGGCTAGAATCTCAGAAACGACACTGCCTCTTCTCATCGCGTCCCACCGGGTGACCATGATTCCCCTTCGTCCTGCTGACAGCCTTCACGTGGGTCTCGAGTGAGGTGGTGTCTCAGGTTTAACACGGTGGAGTCACTCTTTCCCACGCTTGTCATGGATAAGAATTTTGTGGGGACATACTTTGAGACTAGGAATATCCTTTTTCTCATCAAACTTGGGAGTTTATCTATTTATAGCTATGAATTATCTGTTTTTTTTGTTGTTGTTTTTTTATCCTCACCCGAGGATATTTTTCCATTTTTTGTACAGATAGAGTGGGAGGGAGAGAGAGGAAGGGAGAGACAGACAGAAACATCGGCATGAAGGGACACATCGAGTGGCTGCCACCCGCACGACCAACCAGGGCCGGGGACAAACTGCAACCGAAGTACGTGCCCTTAGCGGGAACCGAACCCGGGTCTCTCAGGACTGCAGGCCGACGCTCTAACCGCTGAGCCAAACTGGCCAGGGCAATTATCTGTTTTTTTCAAAGATTTTTTAAAATTGATTTTCTGAGAGGATGGGAGAGGGAGAGAAAGAGAAACGTGGATCAGCTGCCCCTGCACACTCCCTGCAGGGCATTGAGCCCAAAACCCAGACTGTGCTCTGACTGGGAATCGAACTCGTGACCTTTTGGTGCACAGGATGATGCCCAGCTAACTGAGCCACACCAGCTGGGCAGGAGCTGTCCATTTTGATGGTCATGTCTCGCTGGGATTGTGTGGCTGGTGTGCGCTGTGCAGTTTCCCTTTGTCAACCAGTGAGGAAGCCGTGTCTGTTCACGCTGCATCTTCGGCCCCTGGTCGTCGTCCTGTGACTGCTAACCAGTGAGAGATGCAGGTGGATGAAATATCCACAGGGGGTGTTTTTAGAGATGCTTTTTTGTTCTTTATAAAGAATCACCTTGAAACCATACGTCCGACTGTGAATTTCTATTTGTCATGGCTCTTTATACCCAGAGGTATCTGTGTTTCCATGGGGGAAGCTGTAGAGCAGCGATCTGACTGAGAGATGGTGAATGTGTGCTTTCTGGCTTCTGTGTGCGAGGCCCCGGGAGCGGGGGCAATCCTTGCCCTGGGTGTCGTCCCAGCGTCGTCCAGCCGAGGGCTCTGCAGGCATCTCCACCACCCCAAGGGCTTCCTGTATTGTCCCCAGTTTGCAGATGAGGAGCTAAGGTCCAGAAGGTTGGCACTTGCCCAAACCCCATCCCACTCTTCATCCAGGGCAGAGCAGGATGAAAACTCTGTCCTCCTAGCGTGGGACCCAGCGGCCTCCTGCAGGTGCTCAGGGGTCTGGAGCAGGAGAACTGACCCTGTGGCGGGACTGGCCTTGTCTCCTGGTTTCATCAGAGACTTTCTTCTCTTGGCAGAAGTCCTCAGTGGGCAGCATGTTCCGCCAACAGTCTGTTGAGGACAAAGAGGACAAGCCACCCCCGCGGCAGAAGTTCATCCAGTCAGAGATGTCCGAAGCCGTGGAACGTGCCCGCAAGCGCCGGGAGGAGGAGGAGCGCCGCGCTCGGGAAGAGAGGTTGGCTGCCTGTGCTGCCAAACTCAAACAGCTGGACCAAAAGTGCAAGCAGGCTCAGAAGGCCAGCGAGGCCCAGAAGCAGGTGGAGAAGGAAGTGCCCCGGTCTCCAGGCACCGAGAAGGTGCCCCCACAGGAGAACGGCCCTGCTGTCCGCAAAGGTAAGCTGAGGGCTTTGTCCCCCGAACTGGCAACCCTGGGGGGCTGCGTGCACTGGCTTGTGTTTGCGTCTCCGTGGCTCCCCAGCACAACCTGTAGCTGACAGGATCCTGGGCAGCATCAGTCGTTAGAGTTCTGGCCTGGATTCACACCCTGTTCCAACCACTGACACTGGCCGGCTCTGTACCTCACGGCTCTGGAGCTTGTTGCTGCGTCTGTGAAGTGGGGTGCTCATGGCATGTCCCTGCCTGCGTGCCCAGGCCGCGTGAAGGAGAGGAGGTAGACGCGCATGGAGCACTTGGCGCAGTGTCTGGACAGCGCACGCACTTGCTGGCAGCGTTGCCGTTTTGTCCTTGTCGTCATGCTACCAGCGGAGATGCAGAGGGGCAGGACTTGACTGAGCCCAGGGTCCTTCTGCACGACGTGGAAGGGAGCCCACCTGCACGTTACCTACATTTTGAGCACTAATTCTGAAACATTGGAGCACACGGCTGCGTCAGAGACGTTGAGCAGCGTGTTGGAGGGTGTCTCTTGCAGCGGTTTTAAAGAATACAATTAGTTATGTTCTTTGTGATCTTTAAAAGTCAACTAAAACCAACTCTCCTTAGGCGAGAAGGGCCTGATGTTGGTTGCATTTCCTGAAAGCCTTTCAGAGGGCGTCTTACTGCTGGGCTGGCAGCCCTCCGTCCTTCTGTCCCTTTCCTCTCCCTGCAGTCTGTCTGCATGAAGCCCCTGCGGGCCTCAGCGTCCCTACTGAGGTGGGGAGTCCAGGAAGGAGACGGCTCTGGTGTGATGGGGCAGTGGACCCTGGTCTCCGAGGCGGCCGCAAGGCCTGGGGCTGAGGACGCTGCCCCCGCAGTGACCCTCGGAAGCGCATCGGGCCCCTGAGCCTTCACAGTGGACTTGAGAATGCAAGTTTCAATTATTTTTCAGTAAAGCTGAACAAAAAAGTGCAAAGCTGAGGTGGGGCAAGAAAAAGAGTTTCAGAGAGCATAACAATGGGAAATTGTGTTGAGCATTTACTGTTTTAAGTACATTACATGGATCATCTCGTGTGATTTTCACGAGCCCCGGAGGGAGAGGAGGTAGGCGCAGCTGCTGTCCTCATTGTACAGAGGAAGAAATGGGCCAGGAGAGGCTGACTTCTCCAGGCACACAGCCGCTGGGCATGTGGAGTCCTGCTCTTGGGGTGATGGGTGTGTGGGCTGTCGAGCTTGTGGCTGCTCTGATTTACCAGGGTCCTTTTCAGTGAAACCTCCCACCTCAACCCAAGTCACACTCCACCACCGATGCTGGGGCCTCAGGCAGCTCCCCTGAGCGCGGGACCCGTTGTCTTCTCTGAAGTGGGGGCGATGTGGGAACCTGGGTGCTCGTGGCCGTGAAGCGTGCGCACAGCGCCAGGGACCCAGGATGCGACCAGCCAGCAGTGGCGGCAGCGCCAGCAAGAAGCAGCGTTTGATCGCCAAGCTTTTGTGCGCTCACTGCAGCCGCTTCTCTGGTTATTTGTCCTCTAGGCTCCCCCGAGTTCTCTGCCCAGGAAGTCCCCAACACGTTTTCAGAAGAGGCCCCCGCAGCTCCTGCTGCTGTGGCTCAGAGTGGCAGTGAGGAGGGACCCAGGGAGGCTGGGTCCCCTGCACAGGAGTTCAGCAAGTATCAGAAGTCACTTCCTCCCAGGTTCCAGCGCCAGCAGCAGCAGCAGCAGCAGCAGCAGCAGCAGCAGCAGGTAAGTGGAGAAGGCATTGAGAAGGGCCTGGCAAACAGGCCTGACTGCTGAGTGACGCCCCTTCCCCTGCCTCCGCTAAAACACCAGGTGTCCACCTCCTGGTCCCAGTCACACTGGTAGGTCAGCTCTGACCACTTCTCCAGGTTGCTCTTGCTGGCAGTTTGTTGACCGTGTGTACCATTGATACGGAAGAGTCATGCCGTGCGCCTTGGGCTTGGTGTAGGTGAGCTAGAAGAGTGGTCTTTTCATTCAGAGCAGTACCCCTGGCCACTCTCTACACTGGGGCCTTCCCAGGGAGTGAGGGCAGCCCGGAGTTTGCTTAGCAGGTCTGTTTGTGTGGAGCCAGAGAGCTGTGAACCCAGTCCTAACACTGCAGTGTGTCTGGTGAGGGGCCTGGGCAGGAATTGTCGACCAGGAATCAGGGATCCCTTCCAGCACCGTGGCAGTGAGGGTTCTATGACACCTGTAAACTGATCTGTCAGTATCGTCTTCGTTGGTGTTCATAAACCTTAAAGGAGACTTACCTTTGCCCTGAACAAGAGCATGTGGGTAATGGATGTAATCATACCCATGCTTATTGAGCCTGGTCATCTTGTCCAGCTGGAAGCACTCATTGGCAGTTACGTGTCTTACAGGAGTAATAAATGAGCAACTTTATTACCGATGAGCAGTGCATTCTGGTGGCAAAGTGAGATGATACATGGATGGACATTACTTTGCCAGCAGCTAGGCATGCAGTAAAGTATTAATAATAACAAAAATGTTTCAAAAGGTGTGTGCCCTGGGGAAACAAATCCAAGTCTCGAGCCTTTTCCTGGGATCTCTTTTATTTATTTTATTTTTGGAAAATGTAAAAGCCTATTTAATGGTGACATACTTCTAAGAGCTAATATTATATACATTATAACAAAATTTGGCATTGAAAACCACTTCTTTTTCCTGAAATCTCTTCTAGTTGCCTTTAAAATCTTCCCCCAGCCGTTACCTGTGTTGCTCAGTTGGTTGGAGTGTCGTCCTGTGCACCAAAAGTGCACGTACCCAGGTTGCGAGTTTGATTCCTGGTCGGGGGCTCAGTGTTTTGCTCGCTCTCTCCCTCTCTCTGTAAAATCAGCTTAAAAAACCTTCTCCCCAGATCCTTCTTTGCTTGGGCTCCAAGGCGCATTTCAGGAGCCCAGGTCCCGTGCTCTGAGTGGGAAGCTACACTTGTTAGCGTTGCAGTGTCGGGGACACTGGGTAGTTGCTCGTGGCTTGTGGAGAATTGCTGACTGGGGAGCTCTCTGAGGCGCTCAAGCCAACACGGCAGTAACAGTCGCTCTGGGTGATTCTTCTGGGGGCAGTGACGGGCAGGTTCTTCCCTCAGAGCAGGGAGGGGTCTGAAAGTGCCAGGGCACTAGCAGACGGTCTGGTCAGGTTCCCGGGGAGCTGGGGTCTGGACGTGAGGGGTCACTGTGGTAGAGGCCTGCATCCTCCTGTGTGGCTGGGAGAGCCCCTCAGAAAGTGTCATGAGTGCTGATAGAGCTGTCCAGGGGGTCCAGCCCAGGCCGCCGACAGGTGTGGGGCCAGCTGGGCTCTCCTCCTGGGCTGACTGTGTGCCTGAGTTCTGCCAGGTACCGATGCGGAATGCACCTGTGAGGCAGCCCAGAGCCACTGCGGTGGTGGAGCAGGGTCTGCAGTGAGCCCTCGCCAGGTCCTTGGTGTTGCATGTTCTACTGATGCTTTATGTTCGTCCACTCGTGCAGTGCAGCAGGGGCAGGGATACCACTGTGGGCTCGGTGCGCAGTGTCTTAGAATGCAGTGAAGCAACCCGCCGTAGAAAAGAAGGACCTCCCGTCGGTGCATCAAAGGAGAGATGTCAGTGCGATGAGAGCAGAGGACTGGGACTTGACCTCTCCCAGGGACTTGTGACAGGCTTCACAGAGGAATGTGCTTCTTAAGCTGAAACCTAAAGAAAAAGAGTATGGGCTGGGTTTGCAGATGGAGTGAACAGGAGCTTCCCAGACAGAGGGCCCAGTGTGTGACCCAGGCTCAGGCAGGCAGCCCTGTGGAGCAGGGAGCCAGGCAGGCAGGTGTGCGGTGAAGCGAGGAGGCGGGGGCAGGTCCCGCAAGACACTGGAGCTGGTGTGTATCCCTGTGGGGAGCCAACGAAAGCTCTTTTGAAGCGTGGGGTTGACATGGCCAGAGGTGTATGTGTGTGTGAAAGGTCGCCCTGGGTGAGTGTGGAGAATGGACTGCAGAGGGCAGTGGTGAGGAGGGAAGGAGTGGTGACCGTCCTCCGGTGTGCAGGCAAGGAGAACCCTGGGAGGCGTGCTGGTCAGGTGTCATTTCCAGGGGTGTTTGATCTCCGTGAACACCTGCTCTGCCTTGTATTTACTGGAGGACCCCCTGGCACCTGTGGAGATGATGAGTGCGGGCACAGGGCTCTCCCCTTCCCTCTGTGGTTGACTGTTTTGGATGGGCTTCCTGGGCCCCCTGCAGGAAGAGTGAGTGTGTGCAGGGGTGGTGGAGCTGCCTGTCTAACTGGGCCTCTCTCCCCACTCAGGAGCAACTGTACAAGATGCAGCATTGGCCACAGGTGTACCCTCCGCCCTCCCACCCACAGCGCGCCTTCTACGCGCACCATCCTCAGATGCTGGGCTTCGATCCCAGGTGGATGATGATGCCTTCCTACATGGACCCACGGATCACACCCGCTCGGACCCCAGTGGATTTCTACCCCTCAGCCCTGCACCCCTCAGGTAAGCTCCATGGGCTTGTGGCCCCGCAGGGGGTGGTGTGAGGGCTGTTGCCTCCAGGTGAGAGCCATGGATTGCACGGTGGCCCCTTCCACAAGTCACGTGACCAGTCTGAGTTTTAACTTTCTTGTTTGCAAAATGAGGGTATGATCATAGTGCCTGTCACAAAAACTTCTTGGGAGAGTCCTAAGGTCATGCGTAATGAATTGCTTTAATTAATTTCCCTATCACATCTATGTCGTTTTATCCTTTATTGTCATTTGTGTTCTTTGTGTCTTCTCCATTTTCTTTCCTTGATGAGACTTCCCCAGGTTTTAATTAATGACATTTTTATTTTTTTTAATATCTTTTCTTTATTGATTTTAGAAAGAGAGGAAGGAAGAGGGAATGAGAGAGAGAGAAACATCGATTGGCTGCCTCCTGCATGCCCCCCACTGAGGATCAGGCCCACAACCTGGGCATATGTCCTGACCCAGAATCAAACCAGCAACCTCTTGGTACGAGGGTTGATGCTCACACCGTCCGGACAGTTAATGACATTTTTATTTATTTATTATTATTTTTAATCCTTACTTGAGGATATTTTTCTATTTATCTTCAGGTAGAGTGGGAGGGAGGGAGAGAGAGAGAAACATTGATGTGAGAGAGACACATCAACTTGTTGCCTCCAGCACCTCCCTGACCAGGGCCAGGGATGAACCGCAACTGAGGTACATGGCCCTGACCAGAATTGAACTTGTGACTCTTTGGTCTTCAGGCTGAGCCACACCGGCCAAGGCAGTTAATGACATTTTTAAATAGCAGCTTTTGGATTTCTTAATTTCCCTATTTTAGTTGATTCTTACTTCATCAATTTTTGCCTTTTTCTATTTTCTTTGTAATTATTCTGTTTTTTATAGTTGTTTGTTTTGTTGTCACCCGAGGTTATTTTGTTGTTGTTGTTGTTGCTTTTTCAGAGAGAGTGAAGGGAGGGAGAGAGACAGAGAAACATTGATGTGGGAGACACATCAGTTGGTTGCTTCTCATAGCACGTGACCCTTCTGTGCTCTGGCTGCTGCTCTAACCACTGTGCCAGGGAATCATTCTGTTCTGTTCTAACTGATGCTTAGCTCATTACTCTTCGACTTTTCCGATACAAGTATTTAAGTGTCACCTGAGCTGTGAGCTCCTGTGAGTTTTATGGGAAAGCACTCTGTCATTGTACAGTTCTAAATGTTAGACTGCTTTTGATTTCTTTTCTGATTATGATTTTTTTAATGACGTGTTACAAATTTCCCAAATATGTAGAGCTTAAAGATTGTTCTTACGATGTGATTTTCTAATGTGTCTGCTTTGTGGTCAGATAAGTGGTCTGTAGGATAGAGATCCCAGGGGTCATCACCTTCCTCTGTCAGTGCCAGACAGTAAGTACTGTTGTAGAGCAAACACAGCTGCAGACAATAGTGAATGAATGAGCACCCTTGCTTTGCAGTAAAACTGTTTTTAAAACAGGCAGCAGGTCAGATTTCACTCAAGGACTGGAGTGTGCCAGCCAGGCCCCAGTCTAGATTGCTTGACACTTGTTGAGATTTTTGTTGCAGGCTATTACATGGCTTTTTGCTTTTAACATTCTATGTTTGCTTGACAAGAATAGGCATTCTCTAATTGGATGTAAATTGAGCGTGCTTATTGTGCTATGTGAATATCTATTTCTTTGCAGGTTTTTGTCCCTTTTCACTCACTCAGAGGTGTGTTCAGATCCCCCATGACGATCGTGGCCTGTCCAGTCCTGTCGGCCTGGCAGTGTTCGCTTCGTGTCTGAGCAGGTGCACCTGTGCTTCCTGCCTCACTGTCTGCCTGGTCTCACAGGAACATCATTCCCGTTTTCTTTTGATTAGTGATCATTTGGTATCATCTTTCCAACTTTTTACCCTTGGCCTCTCCAAGCCCATCTTGGGGAGTATATCTTTGTATACACAGTGTTTGGGGTTTCAGCCACTCCCACAGTCTCACTATATTGCCAAAGCTGGTCCTTTAGAATTACTGGGATTATTATGATTGGATTTCCCACTCTCCTATTTAATGCTTTGCTTGTCCCTCTTTTGTTTTGTTCTTGTTAATCCTCACCTGAGGATATTTTTTCATTTACTTTTTAGAGTGGAAGGGAGGGGAGGTGGGGGAGGCAGAGAGAGAGAGAGAGAAACATTGATGTTAGAGAGACACATTGATTGATTGTCTCCTAAACCACCCTGCCCAGGGCCAGGGATTGAACCTGTGACCCTTTGGTCCTTGGGCTGATGCTCTAACCACTGAGTAAAACCAGCCAGGGCATGTCCCTCTTTTCTGTTTTTTCTTTTACTTTTTTTTTGGTTCAAGTTTTCCTATTGTTTTCCTTCTACATTCTGTTTCTACAATCTTAGTAGTTACATTAAATTTCAACATGTGCCCTCGACTTTGCAAAGGATAATCAGTGGCTTCACCCTTAACCTGGACTCAGAGTACCTCCTGCCTAGAATTTTAACTCTTCCTTGTTCCTGTGCCCACCAGGCTAGTCCCTGCGTCTGTTGTTCTGTCCAGTGGTGCTGCTCAGACCGCCTGTGTCCACCAGCCTCCCTGCCGCTCTTCCCTCTTGCACCCACTTCCTTCCGTCTGGGTTCGGCCGAGCTCTCCGTGACGTGCATTCTGTCCAGCCCTTCCGGACAGGTTTTGGCAGGTTCCTTTGCCTGGAAAAGTGTTCATGTCCCCTTTCCTCTTGAGTGGCAGTACCGCTGGGTGTCGAGTCCGCAGATGACCGTTACTGTCAGTCTGAGGAGGGCGTTGAATTTGCATTTCTGCTGGCCCACCCGTTCCCCCAGCTCTGCGGGCCTGTCTGGTGTCCGCGTCGAGATGCGTGCCCGCGCCCACCGTGCTCCCTGCTGCCAGAGCTCCCGGTGCTGGAACCGCAGGACGGACGTCTGTCATCACTCCTGGGACATTCTCTTCTCATTATCGATGCAGATATTGCCTCGTCCTCACTCTTCGTATCCTTGCTTCCTAGGACCCCCCCCCCCCCCGGACTATTGTGCACTTTCTCATTCTGTCTTCCACGTCTCTCAATGTGGAAGACAGGTTATCTTGGGTGCCTTTGGGAAAAACCTCAGAACTGTTTTTCATTTCAGGTTTCTCTCCAGCTATGTCTAATCTGCTTTTTTTTCCTTGCTGTCCAATGAGTTTTAATTTCTTTATCCTTTTTAATCATTTAAAACATAGTTTTCTAGTGTTTAACAGATTATTCTATTATTGGAAGTTCAACAAAGCTTTATTTATTGTAGGGACCCAGTATGGCTTGGGCTGAGACTCGGTCCCTCTGGAGTGGTTCCCTGCCCTGGTGCAGGCCAAGACAGACTTAGTTGATTCCCTGTACAAAAGAGCGTGTGATTTTCTGATCCACCCTTTAGCTGAGGGTGTGGCCCTTTGTTATCAGCGGCGTCTCAGCTCATCTCTGCACTAGGCAGAAAAGCCCCGTTCTCTGTGCCGGGCGTGTGCTCAAGACCAGACCCATAGGTTACAGAGACAGACAGACGTGTTCCCCCATCCATCTCGTGGCTTAGGCCTGCGGCTGGGGTTTCAGTTCTCTGGGGAATCCCTATTTTCTAGAGGACACAGCTCTGCAAGCACAATTTTGATATATTCTGTCCAGCATGTTTGTGGTGGGAGGGTTTTCCAGGTAATGAGGCTTTGCCATATTGCCAAAAATAGGTTGATGTGTACAGTGTTGAGCAGTGGAGCCTGCCTCCATCAGTACTTGACAGATGCTGTGGATTTTAGGGTTCCGGGGAGCCCCCCCCCCAACTCAGCCTGGCTCCGCCGGGGTCTGGCATCAGAGCATTTGAGCAGAGCTGGCGACCCCGCTCCCCGGCCTGGGTCAGCGGGAACGATGAGCACAGTGGAGTATTAGCTCCTAGTAAGCTTTGTGAAGAAAACGTTTGAAAATCAGGTCTTTTATCCACAGACTAAAATCCCAAGGAGACCTTTAATATATCTGCACCCAGCCGACTCCCTCATTGAGGACTGTGGAGAGAGGCCATTAGGGGGGCAGTCTCCCTAACCACTTTAGATCTACTAGGACCCAGATACCACCTCATCCTGAACTCCTCGGGCTTGTTAGCATCTTATTGTTACTTGTGCTTCATGCCTCCCCTCCCTGTAGGAAAATGCGGAGTGTTGCTGTCACTCTTGGGGTTAGAAATGAATGGAACTAAAACCAAAATCCCTTTGTAAGTCTCCTTGCACAGGTTCTGAAGCAGGTGAGGGCCAGCTCGGTCCGTGTAGGCCCTCGGGCACAGCTCACCTGGCTGGGTCTGCACACAGACCTTCTGGCCTCTGCTCACAGTCTCGCCGCTGTGTGGCGGCCTCACTGGCCTTCTGCCAGTGCTGATGAACTCATGGCTAATACAGCTTCCATTTGCCCGTTTCGGAGACCCTTCATCGCAGGGGCCCTTTGTCTGGACACTGAGACTGGACTTCCCAGGGTTTGAAGAAGTCTTTCAGCACCTCGGACTGCAGGCTCTGGCTGCAGAGGTGCTGTGGTCAGGAAGGGGTGAAGGCCCTGGTGATGTTCACAGGGATGTGCCTGTCCGTGGGCGGTTTGGGGTCACTGTTGTCTCCTTTGAGCTTTTGGTTGACCCTGAAATTGGAGCCTGGCTTCTGAACCAGGTGACACATCAGTTCTTTCCTTCTTCAGGACTGATGAAGCCCATGGTGCCCCAGGACTCTGGCAGTGGGACCGGCTGTCGCTCTGAAGATCAGAGCCGTGTCCCTCCACTGCAGGAAAGAAAAGTGACCGCCATCGACCCCGCCCCCGTGTGGAGCCCCGAGGGCTACATGGCCCTGCAGAGCAAGAGCTACTCCCTGCCGCACCCGAAGTCCAGCGACGCTTTGGCCGTGGACATGCACGTCAGGTGAGATGAGCTTGGTCCCGCGCACCTACACCCGGAGCAGGGCTCTCCCGGGGGAGCTCGGGCAGAGCGCTGTCCCAGGGGACACTGCCCGCGGGCGCAGACGCCTGGCGAGGGGCTGCCAGCACCCTCTGGGCAGAGCCCCGAGGACGGTCCGGGCGCTCTCATGGGACTGTCTGGTGGTGGGACTGCAGGCCAAGGAGAAATCCTGGGTCAAAGGCAGGTCTGCACTGGGGCAGGCGAGGGGGTGGGGCTCGGGGCTCGGGGCTCAGCAGGGAGGGCTGAGCACGTGGGGGCTTCTTCCTGTGAAAGTGGACGCTTCGCGACTCCCAGGCTCCAGCTGATCGAACCAGAGGCGCCCCAGCTGCTGTCTCCGGGTGGCGTTCTGAGTCCCCCGCAGCCACTGCCTTCTTCACTCTGGACCCCAGGGCCTCCGACCAGTCCGTGGCCCGGCCGCTCTGAGACCTGTTTAAAGATAGAGGAAATATTGATGTTTATGTTTTTTTCCATTTTTATTTTTCTTTTTGTACATTTTTTTAATTTTTAAAACTAAGCTCTGTTCAGCATGGGAAGCAGGAACCAGGCTCCCATCACATTGACTGGTTTTTCTGGTTCCTTTTCAGGAATGAAAGCTCTTACTCTGCCTCACCCGGAAGGGCAGGGGCCATAAGTGCCCAGCGCGATCTCCTTGAGGAGAGAGTGGAGGAGTACTTGAGTGCTTTTGACAAGAAGGCCCGAGCAGACTTTGACAGCTGTGTCTCTTCTCAAAGAATAGGCCAGGAGCTTTTGTTTCCACCCCAGGAAAATGTACAGGAAGCAGGTGCTCCTGGGGGTCACGCCCCAAACCTCAGGTGTTCCCCGTTGGAGCCCGACTTTGCCCCAGCTGAGAAAAAGCCAGAGTATAGAAATTGGGACGTTAGCCAGCAGCCCAAGGCCGCTGACACAGCCAACAGTGTGGAAAAGGATACGCCTCGGGGGGAGCCCCCCTTTACCATCTCCTCCTGGGAGAAGGAAGGAAGCCCCCACAAACAGCCGTCCCTGGAGCCTGAGTGGAATCCTGAGCCCCGGGGCACCAGCAGCCAGCCCCCGGAGCAGACCGGCAGGACCCGGAGGTCGGGGCCCGTCCGGAAGCCCGTGCTGAAAGCCCTCAAGGTGGAGGACAAGGAGAAGGAGCTGGAGAAGAGTCGGCAGGAGCTGGGGGAGGAGAGCGCTCGCCGGGCCAAGGAGGAGGTGCCGAGCCACCAGGCCATCAAGGACGAGGACGAGGAGAACGACCCCATGCGGGCCAACTCCTCTGCCTCTTCAGCTCAGGGCGTAGCCCAGGCTCGTTCAGGCTGCTCAGCCAGCAAGTCCGAAGAGGACGAGAAGCCCGACAGGGCCTGGGAGACCAGATCCTCCCGGGAGCCCAGCGACACCCCCCCGACCAAGAGGAATAACTGGATCTTCATTGACGAGGAGCAAGCTTTTGGGGGCCGAGGGCAGCCCCGGAGCCGCGGCCGTGGGTTCCGAGAATTCTCTTTCCGTGGCCGGTGTGCAGGCGGCAGTGGTCCTGGCATCTGTGGCGGGGGGGTCCTTGGGGCGCGGGGCATCTACACCAACAGCCAGAGAAGTGGCCGTGGCCGGGGCCTGCGAGAGTTTGGTCAGCCCGAGGACTTCCCCAGAGCCAAGCCCCGGCGCCGCATCGCCAGCGAGACCCACAGCGAGGGCTCCGAGTACGAAGAGCTTCCCAAGCGGCGGCGGCAGAGAGGCTCAGACAGTGGCCACGAAGGCTCGCTCCTGGACAGGGAGGAGGGCGCCTTGAAGAAAGGTGACTTCAAAGACTCCTGGCGGTCCAACAAGATGTCCTCTGACGACCACAGCGGTCTAGAGGCGAAGAGCAGAGGCCTGCGGGCCTTCGGGCGAGCCCTCCCTCCCCGGCTGAGCAACTGCGGCTACGGGCGGAGAACCTTCGTGTCCAGAGAGCCAGCCCACTGGCAGAGCAAGGGTCCTGGCACCTGCTGGCAGGACCACGGCTCCCCCGACGCCTGCGGCTCCCAGCGACCCACGGACAGAGACCACGTCCCGGAGGCCTACAGGCCTTCTGACTCCTTCGGTGCCAGGGGCTTCGAGGACAGCCGCCCGGAGGAGAAGAGGGCCTTCTTCCAGGACGACCACGTGGCAGACTCCGACAACGCGGAGAGCCGGCCCTTCAGGAGAAGGCGCCCCCCGCGCCAGGACAAGCCCCCTCGCTTCCGGCGCCTCCGGCAGGAGCGGGAGTCCTTGGGCCTGTGGGGGCCCGAGGAGGAGCCCCAGCTGCTGGCGGGCCAGTGGCCAGCCAGGCCCAAACTCTGTCCTGGGGACAAGAGCGGTGCTGCGGGCCGCAGGTCCCCCGAGCTCTCCTGCCAGAACTCCTCCGACCACGCCAACGAGGAGTGGGAGACGGCCTCCGAGAGCAGCGACTTCAGCGAGCGGCATGAGCGGCGCGGCGGCCCCACGGCCGAGGCCCGCTCCCAGGCGGACGGCAGCCTGCCTGGGACCAGCATGGGGGAGAAGAAGGAGTTGGCCAAGAGGAGCTTCTCCAGTCAGAGGCCCCTGGTGGACAGACAGAGCCGAAAGCTGGAGCCGGGAGGGTCCGGGGAGAAGTGTGCTAGGCCCGGAGGTGGCGGCACCTCTCCCCGCGATGAGGACCTGCAGAGTGGGACGCCCGTGAGAGCCAGAAGGTAACACCACCAGAACCCGGGTCTTTCTGTGGCTGTTGCCCTGTGAGGAAGCCAGTGTTCTGAGCAGCACTTCATGCATGCGGGTCCTGCCCTGTGTCCGGTGCCCCGGCTCCCCTGCACCAGGGGTGATGGCCCTGGTGTGAGTGTCTCCGTCACTCGCCCTTGCTCCACTTGTCTGCTTTGGCGTTTTGTTGTGGCTTCAAAACTGAAACCAAAACTAGAGTCCCCAGTGGTCCTCTTGCGGTGGCTGTCCTGCACCTGCCCCAAGACTTCAGCCTCCATGTGTGCTCTTGGGGTCCCCCTGAGGGGCCACTGCGGCGAGGTGCCTGGCCAGCACCTCTCAGGCTGCCAGGTGCCTCTGCTGCGGGCTGCTGCCTGGCCAGCTCTGCTGCCCCCGGGGACCGCCACGGCGGCGGCGTGGTCAGACAGGCAGGAGCACAGGGAAGGCTGCCTGAGGCCAGTGACCCTCTCTGGCCTGGATTGGAGGCTTCGGTGTGTGGGTGGCCCACGTCAGCTCAGTGCTGCAGGCTGCCGGGTCAGGGAGGGCGGCCGTGCAGGTGTGCCGGCGCAGCACGGGCCACACCTCAGCATGCCGGTGAGACTGCTTCCACTGCCTCTCGGGGTCCAGGGCACAGGCGTGGGCTGTGACTCTTACCCAAGGGAGGAGCCACAGGACAAGCTGATTCCTTCAGGTGTCTGTCTAGTCTAGCTTTCCAGGGCCCGGTTTTGCTTCTGATTTCTGCAGGAGCCCGGTGGTAGGGTGAGGCCTGGGCGCCCTGCTGGTCAGTGTCGGGACAGGAGGACACCCTGCGGCTCTGGTCAAGTCCTCCCCACTCTCTCCTCTGTGGAGCCCTGCTGAGCTTGGCTCAGAGTGGGACGTACGGAGCCCGGGCAGGCCCGTGGCGGAGCAGCTTGCTCCAGGAGCAGGGAGAGCCGGGTGGCAGCAGGCGGCTGGAAGGGCCGTCCCTGTGGCCTGCACACAGCCCGCGGCTGCTGGGGAGCAGCTTGCACGGAACAGGCCGGTGAGGGCGTGGGCACAGGTCAGGGCACGCGTGGGGGCTGTGTGCTGAGGCAGTCTCCCTTCTCCCTGAGCTGACGAGGCCCTCCTTCCTCCACAGGCCCCCGGACGAGGCCTTGCCAGGGGCAGGCGGTCTCGGCTGCAGCAGTGGGAGCAGCCACTACACCCTGGAGCGGGCAGCCCGCGCCACCGCCGGCACCCCCGACGCCGCCTGCGAGGAGGCCGCGGAGGCCACGCTGGCTGTTCAGAGGGCGGGTGAGCAGGCGGAGGCCGCGGAGCAGCTTGGCCTGGACTATGGAAGTGAGTCTGTCGCCTGGGTTCCCGGGGAAGAGCCAGGCAGAGTGGGACCTCACTCGGGGCCGCCAAGTCTGTCCTCTCCCTGAGCGTCTGAGCCTTGGGGCGGGCCCTGGCCCAGTGTGCTGGGCTACTCACAGCTGGCCGAACCCTTGTAGCTGTCTGCAGCGCCCAGTCTTAAAGAGGGGAACCCGAGGCCCCGAGAAGTTGAGTGGTTCGTCCAGGACACGTGGCTGGTTAGTAGCAGAGCTGGGACATAGGTGTCTTTGTCTCCAGACTTTTCTAAGCCAAGTGTCACTTAGATCTCTTTGGTTTGAGTTAGCAGTTTGTTAGTTTGGTGTGAGAAAGGCGTAGAAATCTCAGCTGGATTCGTGGGTCCTGGTGAACACAGCACGGCTCCTTGGAGGTATCACGCCAGGCATTGCCTGGCCTTCGGAGCACAGCCACCCAGAGATGTCAGCTGCCTATAGGGCTGGGTTATTCTTGGCTCCTGGTGGGTGGAACACTGTTCCTTCTCGTGCACTCCTGGTTCAGATTCCATCATTGAGAACTGCGGGTCCAGCCCCGGGGAGGAGACTGAGGTGGGCTCCATGGTGGGTGAAGGCTTCATCGAGGTCCTGACCAAGAAGCAGCGCCGCCTGCTGGAAGAAGAGAGGAGGAAGAAGGAGCAAGCTGTGCAGGTGAGGGGCGCGAGGTGGGGGGGCGCAGGGCAGAGGGCAGGCTGATGCAGGGGAGCCAGAGCCAGGGCTGAGAGTTCTGAGTTTAGCCCAGCACAGGGCGGAGGGAAGTAGTGCTCCTGAAGACAGTGCCCAGTGCCTGCTCTCCCGGCAGCCCCATGGCGGTAGGTGGCCTCCTTCCTGTCCTCAGAGAGGGGCCTCGTCCAGTGACAGCAGCTGCAGACCTTCATCAGCCCCCAAGTCCCTTCTCCTTCCTCTGTGCCCCGGTCTGAGTGGGATAAGACTCGTCACCCTGGGAGTGACGAGGGGTGGGGACCCTGCTCAGATGGTGTCGGTGGGGCACTGCACCTTGTCCGGTTGTCAGAGTTCATCACAGCCCATTGACTGTCAGCCCTTTCCAGGTGTGCTCTGGTTGGCATTGAAGTTCACATGTAGCTGAGGTCTTGAGTGATGAGCTATCCAGCGTCTCTGGAGCAAGTTCTCTTGGTTTTGGTGCCCCAGAGACTTTTCCGGGGAGGATGACTTCTAGGACGGCCTATACCACCCTTTCTTTTCCTTAGGTGCCTGTCAAAGGTCGAGGTCTTTCCTCCCGTATTCCTCCTCGGTTTGCGAAAAAGCAGAACAACTTGTGCCTGGAGCAAGGCGATGTGCCTGTGCCAGGCAGCAGCCTGGGCACCGAAATCTGGGAGAGCAGCAGCCAGGGTAAGAGCTGGGGTGTCTGGGCTCAGACGTGTAGCCCGCGGCTCTTCTCTTCTTACGGAACATCTGCTTTCAGGGCCTTGAGTGTAGGTAGAGTGTAACCTGTTTCCTGGCATCCCCTGCTGAGCCAGAGTATGTTAGATGGCCCTTAGTGCCGTGTGTAGCTGTAGTCCCTGAACGGGTTGACTTTCCTGCCTTGTGTCTGGCTGAAGAGCTGGCATCCCGAGCCCGGCCCTCCTGCTCTGGGCCCTTGGGGGCGGGCTTGACTCCCTTTGCCCACGCCACATACCCTTAATGAGACTGTGGAAGTCGATGATTGGCTGCCAGGGAGGGAACCACAGTCCACAGCTTCCTGATCAGCTCCTTGCCCTTCCCCAGCCTGGTAGGAAGGTTCTGCCAGCTCCCCAGACGCTCTTTCAGAAGACAGACCAGAGTAAGGTGGACCTCGCTTTTTAGAAAGTTTGTTTCCCTGAACTTATTTCTAAAATTCTATAGTCGATGCTATTTTTCTGGTAACTTTAAAAATACAAAAGCATCTTAACTAAGCAGATTCTTCTTGAATGCCCATTTTGACCAGGGCCCTGCAGGGTACAAAGATGCATAAAATCAGGGCACATGACACCTCCAAGGGTATCCTGGAGAAATCACCCACTTTCAGCTTGTTTTTAAACACAGCAGCCAACGGTTTTCAGAATGGAGGGACTCGCCCTCAGAGCCACGTGACAGACAGCTGAGGTTCTGGGTTCTGGGCATGGATTCTTTCAGGTTCACTGCACGGCCTGTCCTCACTGCAGGATAACATTGGGAAGGACCCAGCTGTGATGGAACGCGTGATGATCTTGCAATGAAATGTTGATGTCAGACAGTCTGGTATTTTGTGAGTGTGTGTGTGTGACAGGTATAATTGTGTGAGTGTGTGTCAGGTATCATAATGTGTGTGTGTGGCAGGTATCATAATGTTTGTGTGTGAGTGTGTGTCAGGTATAATGTGTGAGTGTGTGACAGGTATAATGTTTGTGTGTGTGAGTGTATGACAGGTGTCATAATGTAAATGTCAGTCTGGTATTTGTGTGTGTGTGTGTCAGGTATAATGTGAATGTGTGTGTGTGACAGGTATAATGTTTGTGTGTGTGAGTGTATGACAGGTGTCATAATGTAAATGTCAGTCTGGTATTTGTGTGTGTGTGTGTCAGGTATAATGTAAATGTGTGTGTGTGACAGGTATAATGTTTGTGTGTGTGTGACAGGTGTCATAATGTAAATGTCAGTCTGGTATTTGTGTGTGTGTGTGTGTGTCAGGTATAATATAAATGTGTGTGTGTGACAGGTATAATGTTTGTGTGTGTGTGACAGGTGTCATAATGTAAATGTCAGTCTGGTATTTGTGTGTGTGTGTGTGTGTCAGGTATAATATAAATGTGTGTGTGTGACAGGTATAATGTTTGTGTGTGTGTGACAGGTGTCATAATGTAAATGTCAGTCTGGTATTTGTGTGTGTGTGGCAGGTATAATGTAAATGTGTGTGTGTGGCAGGTACAATGTTTGTGTGTGTGTGTGACAGGTATCATAATGTAAATGTCAGTCTAGTATTTGTGTGTGTGTGACAGGTATAATGTTTGTGTGTGTGAGTGTGTGACAGGTATCATAATGTAAATGTCAGTCTGGTACTTGTGTGTGTGTGACAGGTGTCATAATGGAAATGTCCAGAAGTGCCTGCCCAGCAGTTGGGGTAGAGTGGACTGGGCACGGGCGATGGCTTCTGCCATCAGGACTTTTCCTCCAGGTTCTATAGTGCTCAGGCCAAGGGCCCGGGAGGGCCTCAGGGAGCCCCTGGATCCTAAGGTCACGTGTGAAATTTTGTGTGCATACATAAGGTCCAAGGCTTCTTTGGAACCTCAGAGTAATTTGAGCTAACAGAATTTCAGACATTGTAGCAGCTCCCAGCTTGTAGAGATAAAGAGCTGGCTTAGGTGAAGGGAAGCCGCACTCAGCGGAATGAGTGGCAGTGCTGGCGGGAGCGGGAGCGGGGAGCGGCTGGCACGATCGCTGCTCCATCCGATCGGCGCGAGGCGCGAGGACAGGACTGTCGGAGGGTGCTGGGGAGGCGGGGGAGGCTCCCGGGCCAGCTCCTGTGTGTCGGGCCTGCTCACCAGCCTGCCGGTGGTGGGCTGAGGGGACTTGGTCTGTGTGCACCTGTGCTCGTCCTGGCAGCTGGCTGTCCTCCCTGCTGTCCTGATTCTCTGTCTCCCCTCCCGGCAGCCCTCCCCGTTCAGGCCTCGACTGGCGACTCCTGGACTAAAGCCGCCACTGCCTTCAACAGCACCGAGCCTGGCTCTGCTGAGGTGAGTGCCGTCCCCATGGCTGCCGGCCTGGGCCTTTCATCCTGGCGGCTGCCTGAGCTCGCCCTCAGCCACAGCAGTTGAGCCTGGACCAGAGGCCATTTCCACAGGCCCTGCCTCGTTGCTGGACTTCATTCTCGGTTTTCTGCCTTTGTGGGATGCCTGTGTGAGAGGGAAGAAGAGAAGGGATTACCAGGGAAACCCACCCCCAGTGTAGGACAAGCGATTGGGGGACTGTCCTTCAAACCTGTGTCACTATCCACTCAGTTTGGTTTGGGACACAAAGGAAATGAGATTGGCCAGCTTGGCCCAGGCCTGCTGGGGATCCGAGGTGGTGAGCTTGGGCAGGGCGGTGTACTCGGCCGCTGCCTTCAGTTGTCAGGTTAGGACTAGGCTCGGGACAAGACTGCATAGCACGGGCAGTTTGGGGGAGCTGTGTCTCAGAATTCTGTCGTCGTTCTCGGCTGACTGCGTTCTGGAGTCGGGGCAGGGCTCTCACCGTCTGTGCCTCGCACAGCAGGGCTTTAAGAGCAGCCAGGGGGACAGCGGTGTTGACCTGAGCGCTGAGTCTCGAGAGTCGTCTGCAACCTCCTCTCAGCGCAGCTCGCCGTACGGCACTCTGAAACCAGAGGAGGTGAGCGGGGCTGGCCTGGAGCCCAAGGCTGAAGGCCACAAGGAGCAGGCTCAGAAGCAACCTGAGCCAAAGGTAACCTGGGAGTCCCACTCACGGGGGTCGGGGCCTGGGCAGGAGGGCTTGTTGTCTTTTGTCTTCTGCCCTGATTGCTGGGTGTTCAGAAGCTATAGATTGGGGTCTAGTTTGTGTTTCAACTTCTCTGCTTTCCCATCAAGGATCCGGAACAGGGCTCAGGACAGAGCAAGGAGCACCGACCAGGACCCATCGGCAACGAGCGTTCTCTGAAAAACAGAAAGGGTTCAGAGGGGGCTGAGCGGCTGCCTGGGGCTGTCGTCCCACCTGTTAACGGGGTAGAGATCCACATGGACTCCGTGCTCCCGGTACCGCCCATCGAATTTGGAGTCAGTCCAAAAGTGAGTTCTTTCTTTTTTTTTGTACTTGGAAAGGAAGCAGGGGGCTTGGACAAGTTGTCCCTTAGAAAAAGTAGGGAGATGGTTACTGAGCAGCAACACTCTGGAGGGAGTCTGCCAGCGTGGGGTCGTGGACGGGAGGTGGTAGTGAGCTGCCCTCCAGATTTCCCCGACACTAGCCGCTTGCCAGAGGAGTGGGCAGTGGTCACAGGCAGGGAGGGGGATGAGGGTGGTATCCTTTTCTTGGGTGCTGTCAGGCAGCATCTGGCCAGGTTGCTCCCGTGGTGAATGCTGCTTAGTGGATTTTTTGAGTCGCTGATACTGTGAGCCAGGAGGATTTATTTCTGTGGACCCTGTCCCCTTTTCTCAGGACTCTGACTTCAGCTTGCCGCCAGGTTCTGCCTCTGGTCCGGCAGGGAATCCGGTTGTCAAGCTTCAGGATGCCTTGGCCAGTAACGTGAGTGTGCTCGTGCAGCCAGCTCTGCCCCGTGGGGCCAGGCAGACCTGGGTGGAGTCACGGTGCGGTTTCTAGCTGGGCACCGTGCATCCGCGGGCGGAGGCTCTGGGGTCTGTCGGGGCCCCGTGGCATGTTGATGGGCACCGCGCATCCGCGGGCGGAGGCTCTGGGGTCTGTCGGGGCCCCGTGGCATGTTGATGGGCACCGCGCATCCGCGGGCGGAGGCTCTGGGGTCTGTCGGGGCCCCGTGGCATGTTGATGGGCACCGCGCATCCGCGGGCGGAGGCTCTGGGGTCTGTCGGGGCCCCGTGGCATGTTGATGGGCACCGCGCATCCGCGGGCGGAGGCTCTGGGGTCTGTCAGGGCTTCGTGGCATGTTGATGGGCACCGCGCATCCGTGGGCGGGGGCTCTGGGGTCGTCGGGCCCCGTGGCATGTTGATGGGCACCGTGCATCCGCGGGCGGAGGCTCTGGGATCTGTCAGGGCTTCGTGGCATGTTGATGGGCACCGCGCATCCGCGGGCGGAGGCTCTGGGGTCTGTCGGGGCCCCGTGGCATGTTGATGGGCACCACGCATCCGCGGGCGGAGGCTCTGGGGTCTATCGGGGCCCCGTGGCATGTTGATGGGCATCCGCGGGAGGAGGCTCTGGCGGCCGCGTTTCTGAACGTGTCACCAGGGGCCTCCTTCACACTTTCTTGGAGGCCTCCCCATCTTTGTGGTGACGGCCAGTCATTTTTGTGTTGCTGGCACATGGCCGGAGTCCTTGCTAGATGGCTCTGGAAGGTGCAGGTGTGGGGGTGGCTCTCCTGGGTCTTCTGTCGAAGAAAGTCATGACGGCAGCGCTTTGCAGGAGATAAACTGCTGGCAACTTCATCTTGGTGGTCGTCCGTGCACACAGTCAATCTGAAGGTGATTTTGACACGTTGTCTCATTTCTTCTGTGCCTGTTTGTTCCATGGCTTTCTGTCCCCGCAGGCCGGGTTGACACAGAGTATTCCGATTCTGCGGCGTGACCATCACATCCAGAGGGCCGTCGGCCTCTCCCAGATGTCCTTCCCCACTGCAGACCTCACTCTGAAGGTAACGCCGCCCTGAGCTGGGCAAGTCCCACACTCGCTGCCTTGGCTTGTGCAGAGGCAACGCTGAAGAGCCCTGTGGCATGTTGATGGGCCTCCACCCGTCCTTGAGGCCCAGGTCAGGGCTGCCGCTGCCTCGCCCTGCAATTGTCCCCCTCTCTTCTGGCTTCCAAAGATGGAGTCTGCGCGGAAGGCTTGGGAAAACTCGCCCAGTTTGCCAGAGCAGAACTCTCCGGGCGGTGCTGGCTCAGGCATCCAGCCCCCATCCTCGGTGGGAGCCTCCAGCGGGGTCAACTACAGCTCCTTTGGCGGAGTTTCCATGCCGCCCATGCCCGTGGCCTCTGTAGCACCATCTGCTTCTCTTCCAGGTACCTCAGCCGAGCCTGCTTCATTCGCTGCTTCCAAGGGGGGCACTGCCAGCCCTGAGCACCAACCCCCCCTTGACTCACAGAGTCTCCGAGTGGGAGTTTGTTCCTAGGCTGGGTGGGCACAGCTTCCCACGGGCCGCAAATAGCTCGCACTTACTTCGTGCTTCCCTACTCTCCACCTGCTGGAGGGAGGAGGGAGCAGAGATCGGCTTTGAGTTGGACCCTGGTCATGTGGGGGCTTTGCCACCTCCGCCAGTGAGCGGGTCAGCTCGGAGCCTCGGTCCCCTGCTCTGTAAAAGCAGCCGGGGGCAAAGATGGCGCTCCCTGGGGTAGCTGCCCTGATGGGAGGTCCTGCCTGGGGAGTGCTTGGTCTCACTGGAGTCTCCAGGCAGTGGAGGCCGTGCTTACCCTTCCTGTCAGAGTCTTGGTCATTGTGTAGTTGCCCAAAGGGGCAGGGGTGTTGGGGATTTTGAGGTCCCAGCTGTCGAAGTCTCAGTGATGCAATTCCAATAGATCCTTCTGACCCTCCACTGTGGACTCAATAGCAGGGAGATGAAGAGGAAAGTGACTGAGAGACCGAGGCAGCCCCGTCACAGTGCGCTCCTGGGTGTGGGCGATGGGCGAGTGGTTAGGTGGAAGGGTGGGCTGGAGCTGCCCCTCCTGGGCCCTGGTGCTGTGGCTTCACCAGGGCCCGCAGCAGGGGACTGAGCAGGCCCTGTGCACACTCTCCAGGAGAGAGTGGCCACACACGTCCCCTAAAGGGACCTCAGGAACAGTGAGACCTGATGCTGTTCTGCCTCCTGGATTATGTCTCCAGGCAACCACCTGCCACCTCTCTACCTGGATGGCCATGTGTTTGCAAGTCAGCCCCGGCTGGTTCCTCAAACGATACCTCAGCAGCAGAGTTACCAACAGGTGATGGCAGCAAGCCAGGTGGCCTGGTGGGGGACGGGGATGTAGTATCATTACTTCTTTCGTTTGTTGTCTGTCTCTTTCTCTGTGTCCCTCACATGTAAGGCCCAGCGCATGGCATGGCATGCAGCCAGTCAGTATTTGTGGAACAAATAAACGAGAGACAAAGAAGAGGACTGGAGCTCAGTGTTCTAGACCTGCTTAGTTTTCCTCTCTCAGAGTTCTTCCTGTGTCCTAGCTGGGGAGTTAGCTGAAACGGAATTCTCTTTGGTGATCAGGTATCCTTCTGATGAAGAGAAGCAAGGCCTAGACTCCCAGGCACGGATGCATTAGAAAGAGGTAGTTTTAGAAATGAGCAGGTATTTGATTTTATGCAGGATTGGCATATTTTCTCTGCTGCAAGGGGAGGATTTCTGGAAGACTCCTGAAGCTGGTGTGGGGCCTTGCGAATGGTCCGGCACCCCCAGACCTGCACAGACAGCACCGCGCGCTCCTGGGCGGAGTGCTGTTAAGTGCAGATTTGGGACGGAGGATAGAGGACTTGGCCTGTCCTGACCTCTCTTTAAACATGACCTTAAATATTATATTGTCCAGTTTTGCAAGATTTTTGGTCTTCATATAACTGGATAAAACTGCATGTGTTCTTTATGTGGTTGTTCACTCACGTGATGTTTCTGTGGCCCACCTCTCTCGATACGTGTAGTAGGAAAGCATCTGATACATGTAGAGCAAAAGAAGCACAGGAAGGATGTGCTTGGATTTGCATTTTGGGCGGTATTCCATCTGCCATGAGGGGAAGGGAGCTCCAGCTTGGAGGCACTGCAGTGACCTGCCTTGCTTCCCCCACAGGCTGCCGCTGCCCAGCAGATCCCGATTTCCCTTCACACGTCTCTGCAGGCTCCAGCCCAGCTGGGACTGAGGGGCGGACTCCCAGCCTCCCAGTCACAGGAGATCTTCAGCTCCTTGCAGCCCTTCAGGTGCGAGGAGAGGAGGGCAGCTGGCAGCTCACAGGCAGAGCTCAGACCTTTGTGGCCTGGGCACTGTTCCCTTTGCTCTGCTGTGCTCCCCCCTTCTCTGCTCTGGGGGTGGGGTGTGGGTGATGATGGTCACTTACAGTTCCCCTGCCACGCCCATGCCTTCTCCAGGGCCTCTGGTTGCTCCTGCTGTGTCTCATCCAGGGCCTTTGCCATCACACGTTTTCCCATGGCCTGTACGTTTGCCCAGTGGTGCTCACCCTGGGGCCAACAGCACTGCACCATCTAGGAAGTTGTTACAAAGTAAATTCTGACTTAGACCTTCTACGTCAGAAACTCTCGGGGTGGGGCCAGTAGTGTGTCTTCTCAAGCCCTCGGGGGCTCTGATGCAGGCTCACGTTGCAGATCCAGGAGTGTGTTCATGCACCTGACCCCAACCATCTGCCTGGCTTTTGCAGATCTCAGGTGTACATGCACCCCAGCCTGTCACCACCCAGCACCATGATCCTTTCTGGAGGCACAGCCTTGAAGCCTCCGTACTCGGCATTCCCCGGCATGCAGCCTTTGGAGATGGTGAAGCCGCAGTCCGGCTCCCCCTACCAGCCCCTGAGCGGAAACCAAACCCTGGTCTACGAGAGCCAGCTCAGCCAGGCTGCCGGTCTGGGTGCCTCCCAGATGTTGGACTCTCAGCTCCCACAGGTCAGGATCAGTCACTCCCACCCCAAACTCGAGGTCTTGTTTCCACATGACTGCTTCTTCCTTGTCTGCCTCTTCATGTGTGCTGACCTACCTGCTGTTTATACCCACTACGACTAGTCCATGGGCCACCAGAACCACGGCCAAATGGTCAGCCCCTTCTGAGTAGTCCTGTCACCTCCCTATCCCCCAAATCCAGCTTCCTTTGCGAGAGCTACTCGTCCTGCAGCTCCTCCTGCTGTCCCCACCTGCAGGCTGTGGGGTGTGACGATGGTGAGTGCGTGTCTTTTGCATACTCACGGGTGCCTCCCAGTTCTCCCAGAGTGTATCTTGAGTCCCATCTGCCTTTGGGACCTGAACCCAAATCCAGTGGGCTGCCCACATGTTGCTCTCGTACCTCACGGTGTCTCCCACTTAACTAGTGTGTTATGTTCCTGGCACTGGCGCTGTCCAGTCCGCATCGCCCGCTCCTCCAGCAGGTCTGTCAGCTCTGATCTGGGAGGTGTTCAAGTGCAGCCATTTCTCACCCCTCAGCCACCTCCTTGGCCAGGCTCCTGCACGACTCCCGCCCCATCTTCCTGCTCCTGCCTTTGGGCCTGACACACTGTTCTCAGCATAGCAGCCGGGGCCCTTTAACATTTTCTTTTCAATATTTTTTTTTTTTTTCTGAAAGAGAAAAAGGAAGGGAGAGAGAGAGAAACAACGATAGGCTGCCTCCTGCACGCCCCTCACTGGGGATCAGGCCTGCAACCCAGGTTTGTTCCCTGACCAGGAATCCAACTGGGACCTCTCAGTCTTTGGGATGATGCTCAGTCCACTGAGCCACACCGGCCCGGCAGCCAGGGGTCCCTTTAAAACACAGTACCTTGGCCCGGCCGTGTGGCTCAGTTGTTGAGCGTCGACCCTGCACCAGGAGGTCGCTGGTTCAATTCCCGGTCAGGGCACATGCCCAGGTTGTGGGCCAGATGTCCAGTGGGGGGCATGCAGGAGGTGGCCAGTCGACGTTCTCTTTCATCAATGTTTCTTTCTCTCTAAAAAAAAAAAAAAAAAAAATCAGTTAAAAAACAACAACACAACATCCTGAGTCGGCTCTGTCCCCCTGGCCTTCCACGCCCTGTTGTGTGCCAGGCAGCCTGGGCCTGGAGGCTCTGGCTGCCACGTGTCTCGGTGGTGTGATCCCAGCGGATCCTTCTGACCCTCCACTGTGGACTCAATAGCAGAGACATGAAGGGGAAAGTGACTGAGAGATGAAAAGTGGCCCAACCCCATCCCCTTCCTCTCACCCATCTTGTTCTGGACGTTAGAAGTGGTCACTTAGGCCTTGTAGTCGCCCCTGTTCTTCTGTCATAATGTTTCAAGAGCATCCAAGAGGCTTCAGTGTGGTTCCGAGACCCTAACCCCCCAGCCCAGTTGAGTCTCGTCCTCTGGCCTTTGGAGGCTAAGCAGTGATCGGCTTGGCCTCCCTGCCGCACGAGCCTCCAAAGGTGCCTTTCCTGTGCTGCTTCTGTCGTCTGACTCTCGGGTGGGCGTCACTTCCTAGGAGCCTCCCTGAGCTTCCCTAGCTCTTCTCCTACCCCGGCCCCACCTGCACGCGGGCTCTGGCACCCTGCGGCTGGGTCTGGCAGTGTCGGGGTGCTTCCCCCGCACAGACTGCATTCAGTGAGCCTTTGCTGGGGGGGGGAGCAAGGCGGACTGGGGACACACGCCCTTTGCCCAAGGTGGAGCGGCACACTCCCCATGGGGCCCTAGCCAGCTGCTGCCGCCTTGCCCTGCTTCCTCACCGCCCGCTCCATTCCAGCAATAGGGGTAAAGTGAGGGTGCCCTGCGCAGCTCCGATGGAGATCCAGGGTCTTTACTACTGCGTGAAGCCCAAGAATCTGACATCTGATGGGTGGTTGCTCCTGGGCACGTGTGTCAGCTGTGGTTTGTGGCTTTCTCCCCACTTCCATTCCTCCTCCTGACTGTCCCTGTTGTCAGCAGCTGACAATGCCACTGCCTGGCTCGCAGCTGCCTCTGCCGCGGTACGGCTCCGGGCAGCAGCCCCTGATCCTGCCGCAGTCCATCCAGCTGCCTCAGGGGCAGAGCCTCTCTGTCGGGGCCCCCCGCAGGATTCTTCCGCCCGGGTCCCAGCCTTCGGTCCTTAACACCAGCAGAGAGGTGAGCATGACTCCACCCTGCTGTGGTCCTGGGGAGGGTCCTTGTCAAACCTTTCAGGTTAGTCACCACCACTGTTAGGCTAGAAAAGGCCAGCAGTCCGGGGTGCAACCTCCTGGGCTCCCCACTGCTGATTCCCACTCACTGCAAAGTCCTCTCAGAACGCAGGAGCCCCTGTGCGTGTAGCCAGCAGTGTAGATGAACTCAGGCGTGGAGATGCCCGAGCAGAGGGGACGGTGTGTGCACTTGATGCCTTGGTTCCCTTTTGGCGGCTGAGGGAGCATCTGTGGAACCAGTTCAGGTGGGGTCCCAGGGGCCCAGCTAGAGGGTGTCTGGGGCTGGGCTCCAGGGACCCGCACTCCGCTAGCTCCCAGGCTCTGCTGAGGACTGCTCCCCTGGGGCAGAGATGTCCTGGGCACAGGCACTTCCTGGCCCCACTGAGAAGGAAAGACCACACCACTCTTCTGCAAGCAGGCTTCAAGCTTGAACCCTCCATCCAGCAGCTCTCCTGGGCCCTCATGGCCATCTGCTCTGCCCAGGGTGGTTCAGCCAGGGCCGGGCTGCCTCCCGGGCACCAAACAGCACCTTTTACTTCCTGGTCTCTTCAGTCCTCTCAGATGGAGATGAAGGGCTTCCACTTTGCCGACAGTAAACAGAACGTTCCCTCAGGAGGCTCCATGCAGTCACCACAGACCTACAGGTGAGAGACGCCCCGGGGCGGATGTTGCAGGAGCCAGGCTCTCTGTAGTCGGGGCTGGGGATTCAGAACCATCAGGGCCCAGGGAGGGCTGCACAGGCACTGCGGCTGGCTCCCCTTCGTAAGCTGATGTGTCCTCATGAAGTTTCGGTCCTGGGACACATGTGCTGTAGCTGACCACAGGGACATCAGGAGCCGGGCTTGGTGCGTAACGGGCATCAAGGGCTGTGCGGTGGGAGAGTGCTGGAGAGGCAGGGACGGGACGCGGGCGGCTGCTGTGCGAGGGCGGGCCTCGCCCTGACCATTCACCACTTTCGCACCAGCCTTTAGAAGGACTCAGTGGCCAGGAAGGCACAGCCCTGGGCGGGGGGCAGAGTCCCTTGGTACTGCTGGGCTGTGGGGCCTGGCCTTACCTTGGCGGACTGGCACCTTGCCTCCTCTGTCTGCCCACCCCCAGTGATGGTCCCGGGCCCCTTAGCAGCATTCGGAGACGGCTCTGTGGGAACTGAGGCGCCAGAGAGCTCTGGCTCTGCTGTCTCACCTCGAGGAAGCGCGTGCAAGGCTGGGCAGGCAGCGTGCTCCAGCTCTGGGTCCAGGGTGGGGATCCCTGGAAGTCCCTCCTCTGGTGCACGAGTCATGCAGACGCCGTGGCCGGAGTGCCCTGGGAGAGGTCAGCAGCAGGCTCCGCGCCCCAGCCTGCCTGCCAGGAGCCCGGTGTCTGGCGTGGGCACCCTGCTCCGCTGCTGTCGGAGTGTCCGGGCCTCAGCCTCCTTCCAGCTGCAGTTCAGAGCGAGGGGTTTGGTGGGTTTTTCCCCATTTCATCATCTCTTCTGTTCTTATTTTCACTCTCTCGGCTTCACTTGTTTTTGTTAGTTTGCTTTGTTTTCAGTCATATTTTCCACATAGGCCAAAGCAGCACAGCTGTGAGAAGGGGGTGTGGGTGCAGCGCAGAACAGCGCGTGGGGTTCAGGGGAGGCAGGGGCTCCGCGTGCAGGCGGGTCCACAGCTCTGTGCAGACCTTCCCTCCCTGACCAGGGTCGCCTGTGTCCGTCTGTAGGAATGGCAGTCGCTCTCACCAATGGAGACTGTTCAGGAAGTAGAATCCTTAGCTAAGTAGCCTTTGGTTGGTTGGTGACTTCATTGGGGTTGGGAACATTGGTATATTTTTATAGAGAAGTGTTTCCCACTTTTCTGGAAAAGGCTTCTGAGGCATGGGCCCCTGGTCAGGCCCTTGGGGTGCCCTGTGTGGGAGACAGCTTCTCGGGAGAATGTTCCTAGGCACAGGCCCCTGTCCTGAGTCCTGTGAACCCTGCACAGCACTTCACGTTTTTTACCATGAAATCTTTTTCTCCCCTCCCACATATTACCCAATTAACATACCAGGGACTAGTTGTTTGGGCCATGGAATAGATTTAGAGAGATGTTCTGTAGTTTAGTTCCTTTGGGTATTTCTCCACCCTACCCCCACGCCAAAAAAGGGAAGACTAGACAAATAATCGTCATAATTCTTATATCAGGTTTAGAGACCTTTTGTCTGGTCATAGAATCAAGTTGGTCCAGACCCTCCAAGCCCTTAGAGACGGTTAGTGTCTGTCCATCTGTCCATCAGTGTCTGCCCGCAGCGGGGACCTCGGCCTCTGCCCCTCAGGTGCGTCTCCATGCGCTGCGTTGGAGGTGCCAGGGCTGGCAGTGACCACCGCGCTCTCCCCTTCTGTGCTCTGGCTGGCTAAGGTCTCTGTTCTCCGTCGGAGGTCTGCGCCCGAGCGAGGGCTGCTGCGCCGGGCTTGTCTCCGTTTCTGTGGCGACGCGTGTGTTCTCACCCCCTGCCTTTGGTTTTTTCAGGCCTAGCTCTGCTAGCCCCAGTGGGAAGCCCTCTGGATCAGCAGTTAACATGGGCTCTGTGCAGGGACACTACGTTCATCAGGTAGAAGATGACTTTCCAGACCCTCCAGCCCTGGACGCTTAGGCCCGTCTCCAAGCGCCAAAAGAGAAGGGACTGTCCACCCCATTTGTGTGCTCCTGTTATAAGGAGAGATGTTCCCTAGCGCTTAGAGCGTGGCGCCGGGAGCCCGAGTCCCTCCTGGCGAAGGCATTGCTCCTCTTGACAGGCATCTGGATCCTTCCTTGTCCTGCAGAGAAGGGAGGATGCGGAGTCCTCGGGGGAGGTGATGCCAGAAGGTGGACTGTCCCTCCGTAGCGATCTGGGCTGTGACGGCGCGGGGACTGGGCGGGTCTGTGGGTCAGCTCTGGAAGCCGGGGCATGTGTGTGCGCGTGCGTGCGTGCGTGCGCGTGGGCTAGCTCTCGTGAGCGCTGTGTCTCATCTGTCCTGGCCGGGAGGGACTACGACGGAACGGAACGACCTTTCCTTGCCTACAACGAAGGGATCGCTCAGTGTCTTTGCCGCCGGGCACTGTCCTCTTCGCGGCTGCTCTGAGACGTGCCGGCTGCAGAGCTCGGCTGTGTCGGGTGTGGGTCTTTAAGAAAGCAGCATTACTGGCTGGCGGAGCTGGAGGGTTGGCCACTCACTTCACTCTTTCTGGCGTGGTTCCCTGGGGGGCCGACCCTCCAGTTGCTTGGATTGAGCTTCTAAAGCTTTCTTCCAGAGCCCACACCATGGTGTGGGGCAGATTGAGGCTGGTCACCCTGACAAGCTGCACAGTACAGACCTGCAGGTTAATGGGAACCCTGACTGCCAATCTCGAGGTCAGACTTGGTCCTGGAAAAGGTTCCCACAAAGTGCGAGTCAGGAGGGTCAAAGGTGCGGGAGAACCAAGTCTGCCTGGAGGCCCCGCCCCTCAGCACACAGGCAGGTCTGTGCAAGGGCTTTGTTACCTGTGGGCATGGGGTGCACTGATTTGAAAAGGTTCTTCCAGTCGGCCTTGGATGTGCCGCCCCTGCAGAGGCCCGCGGGCATCACAGAATGCTCCCCGAGGACCCGGCGTCTTTCTGCCTCTCCGAATCACTGCACTCAGCACCCGTGGGAGGGGACAGAGCAGCGCTTCCTGTGTCCTTCCTAGGAGAGTCGCTTCTAAGTCTGTCCTCCACGAAGGATGGACTCCTCAGGGTAGCTTTTCTCTGACTCAGGAGCAGGAAGGGGTGGTGGGCACTGTGTGTCCAGACAGCTTTCTCTGTGAGGGTAACTTCTTTGTCCCCATTCATCTGTCCAAAGGCAAAGCCACGAGTGGATGAAAAATCCAGCCTGGGAGCCGTGAAACTGCAGGAGGCCCCTTCAGCCGCCTCCCAGATGAAGCGAACTGGAGCAGTCAAACCTCGGGCAGTGCGAGTGGAGGAGAGCAAGGCCTGAAGGTGCCCGGCCGGCCTCGCCTGAGGACAGTGCTGCCCCTCGCCCTGCACCGCCATGGCCGGGAGTCTCGGCAGCTTCTCCGTCCGACCGCCTGGCCCTGGCGGAGAGCCGTCCCTTCTCTCCTCCACTCCTGAAAGCGCTGATGCCTAGCCAGCTTGCACCGTGGACATGTGGCATTGACCTGCTTGCTTTAATACAGACAGCAGAGGACCCTTCCCGGCTCCTCCTCACCCGCGGGCTGTGAGCCTCCGTCCAGCTCGCCCCGTGCAGAGCAGCCCGAGCGGGCGCTTTTCTCAGTGCTTGCTTCCCTCGCGGCCCGCGCAGCCCACGCGGCCGGCAGCAGGCTTCTTTCAGCTCGCAGCTTCCTGTTCTAAAAAGCAGCTGAGGTTTTTACAAAGGAGAAAGGAAAACAAAACACAAGCTATGTCTGTGTAGCTGAACTTTGTGTCCTTCGCCAGCCTCTCCCTGACCCCTCTCGTGTTCGGGTAGTTCCCTTCCCCCCTGTTCAATCTGATCATCACTGCGACCCTCCCTCCTGCTGCCTCTCAGTTGGTTAACCTTTGAGGTTACTAAGACACCGTTATGAGCGCCCGTGCCCAGCTGCGGGCTGGGGAAGCAGTTGGTCCCAGCCCTGGCCTGGAGGCTTACGGGCAGCCCATTGAGGTTGACGACGTTTTTAGCATAAGAATTACCCAGAATTTCTGTCCTGGACTCTTCTAAAGCCAGTGGTTATGTTGCCCGCTGGCCCCTGAGGCAAATCATGGAAATACCAAGTCACTGGTGTTTTCCAGTTTGGCCTGGTCGTGTGAGCAGACAGCACCACAGGCTCCCTCTGCGTCTCTGCTCGTGGGGCTCCGGCACCCGCAGGGCTGCTGTTTCACACACACTCCCTTTCCTAGAAGCCTTCCATGATACGCCCTTCTCCTCACCCCTTCCCGTCTGGATTCTCCTGTCCCTCCACCTACACAGCTCATGACCAGAAACCATGAGTCCCTCCCCAGACAGCCATGTGCTTGAGTCTGCAGCAGGGCCTGTGGTCTGGAAGGCTGCTGGGGGGCTTCCTGTTTCTCCTTTTTTTCTCTCCCATTAGCAGACCCAGATCATTGGGCATCGCTTGTCCAGCCGGCCAGGGCAGGGTCCAAGGGGAGGCTGTGTTGCAGGGCTGACCGTGGTTCTAAAGCAGCCCGGGCAGCCTTGTCGCAGAGCTGCCTCTAGCAAAATGTCCATGTGAGCCATTTTACACTGTTTTGTTTTTTAAATGAGAACTAGAGTCATCCCAGATTCTGTCATTCCAAGGAAGGGGCACAGGAACGTTCAAGTTTTGTACGTACCCTTCAGGGAACTAATCAGCCCTCTACCGAGAGGGGGTGCTGCCACTGGTTCCAGGGAGCAGGAGTGGTAGTGGGCGGGGACGTCGGCCCTCAGTGTCACCACGGTTGTGTGCCAGCCGCTCAGGCTGTGTCTCAGTGTGGAACACGGCAAAGGCGCCTTGGGCCTTCTGAGTGACTCGATGTTGCTGTTCACCGCTTTAGGGATGTGGGCAGACAGGCCCCCATCTGAGGTCGAGAGGGCTAGTTTCCTTGGAAGATGCTCGCTCTGCAGCTTTAAGCACCCCCTTCTTGCCTCCACCCTCTGTCCTCTTCACTGGCTTCTTTTTTTTTTTTTCATCCCCCGAATCTTGACTCAAGTCCTTTCTGCACTCGCCTGCCCCTGTGCTCATCTGCCCGGCCCCCTCCTCCCCCAGAGAGGGGCCAACTGCCCTCTGCCTGCAGCTCCGCTCCCAGCTGCCCCCATCGCCAGCCGCCCCTGCAGGCCACACGCTCGCCGCTGCCTGTCACCCGGAAACCTGGCCAGACAGAGCCTCACACCTGGTTCCAGTGCGCACTGTTTGTCTAAAGGGAAACTGATCTCATTGTGAAAGTCAACAACAGTCCTGGGTGCTGTTACAACTCAAGATGTGTCCTTCAGGCGTCCTGCCAGTGACAGTGACAGTACTCGTGCTTGAGAAACAAGAACAAAGGAGCCCCTGTTCTCCAGCCCTTTTCTCTGCCCTGTATCCGCCCCTCCAATAAAAACAGAAAACACTAGAATTTATTTATATGTATTGATGTTGTAGGTCTAGGTGAAGAAAAGTAAATGTTTCACTGCTCTATTTATATATCATGTCTGACGTGTTCTGTGCAGGAAAGGCCCGGAAATTGCATGTGAACTTCAGTGCTTTCACCGTCTCCGTGTGCCCCGCTGCAGGCGCCTTCCACCGGGACACATGTTCAACGGACTCGGGGCGGACGGCGGCCTTGCCTGCCGCACCCCTCCCTTCCTTGGTCTGATTAAATGCAATCTTTAGTGCAGAGATGTTTAAGGTGCAGTCTTTTCCTTTCTCGTGTTTTAGAGCCAAGCTCAAGGTCGTAGGACATTGGGTCTTATTTTGGTTCCAGACGACATCCCCCCTCCCCCCCTTTCAGAGAGCAAATTCATACAGAGGACTCTGCCAGGATGTCTTGGGCCCTTTGGCGAGAACAGTTGAAAACCCGAACTTACCTTTTCTGCTGCTGAGATGCGGTGGTATCAGAGGCCTCTCATGCACCTTTGCCTGCTAAAGTCGCCCTCCTGATGCTGGCAGTTTTGCCCCAGCTATTGATGGTGCAGCCCACTGCTTGGCACCCAGGGGCCTGATGTGGTGTCTGTACAGCATCGACGACTCAGTGGAGTGAAATTCCAGCATGTGGGGTTGTGTGTCCGAGGTGTCGTCCACCCACTGAAGATTTCTCTGCCAGCTGTATTTGGTCTGGTTTTCTTTATTGTTTCCCCCCTTTTTATCCATACTATTGTTTTCAAACTTGGAATTCATATACTTTGGGCTCTAGTTCCTTTAGGGGGAAAACAAGGAATAACTGTTACACATTCAGAAAAATCAGTTTGTCTACTTCCAAAGCTGTGGTCATTCCAGCCACTTCTAGGCATACTGGGGTATCTTGTCATTAAGTACTGGCAACTGTTCTCCCAGCCCTCACCCTCCTGTCTTCGGGGTCTGCCTTCTGGATGGGGGTGAGGTCTGTGACTGATGCTCAGAGCCAAGGAGGCTGAGGGTGCACGTGCGTGTTCCGAACTGGCCCATTGTGTGGCAAGCTGGTGCAGCTCCTCCTGCTGATCGGTTCCCCTCCACCAAGTAGTTGCACGTTGCCTCTTGTACTTGTCCTTTTCACCTGCAGAGCAAGCCTGGGTTGGAAGGTCTGTTGAAAATGGCCTTCGGCAACCAAGGATACTCAAGTGTTTGTGCTTTGTCGTGTTCTGTGATGAGTGGGAAATGCAGACTTCTGAAAACCAGCCCCTCCTGTTTTAGAACGTGAGAGGGACCTAAGACTAATAGATCACCCAGGACAGGAATGGCTCCGTGTTGGGGTCAGACACCATTGGTCCCCCAGTGACACTCTCCACCCGGACCACCATTGTGTATTTGGCGAGTGATCTCCTGCTCACTGTCTCCCGCCCCAGTTGGGTGGCCTGTCTTCAGCATGCTACAGAGCCTCCAAGTGGAAACTGCTAGGAAGGCTCTGTGTGGATGACTTTCTTCCATTGTTTAAAGGGGATACTGTACTGTAAGCTTTGGACCTCATGCCTTGCATAGTGAAAAGGGTTTGGGGGTTTTGTGTTGTTCTTGAAAGGGTTGTTTTTGTTTCCTTTTGTTTTCATTTTGGCTTTTCCTCTTTGTCTTTTCATGTAGACCAGATATTTGAAAGGGCAGACGATGGCTAAAGGTGTAATGTGCAGCTTGTTCATACATTGTTTGGGGAAGCTTTTACCTTGGTGGGAAATGGAATCATGGGTTCACCAGGCCATGGTGGCACACTCGCCCTTTGCCCTGTCCCTTCGGATCAGTACCTATTGTTTCTCCTTTCAAATATGTGATTGTACTAACTCTTTCCATGTGAAAGAATTCTCCTTATTTAAATAAAAAAAGTAAAAAAAAAATCACCCTAAAATTGAACATGCGTTCTCATGCTGTGTGTCCTCGGTTTCCTGTCATTTCCCTTTGAGAGAGTTGATAGGAGTGACTTGGCTGAAGAGCCTTGAAGCAACGTGCAGGGGAGAAGGGCCTGGGACGGAGTAAGGTGCATCTTCCAAATGGTCCGCATCAGCAGTCCGGCTCCACCCGAGGGCCTGAGGGTGTGCGCCTCGGCCTGCCCGCCGGCCCCCTTGGAGAGGCAGCGGGTGGGTCAGGGGCGAGTGCTGCTGTGCTGCTGCGCTGCTGGGTCGGGTGCCCTTTTCTGCTGGAAGTAGGAGGGCTGCGCCGCCCTGCGGTGCAGGAAACAGGAAGGGCCAAGAGCCTGGACCTGGGCTCGGGGGGCGGTTCTCAGAGGAGACGTCGTCAGTCATTGCTGCTCACCTGAGGCGGGTGGTGACCGTCCCTGCTCCCGGGCGGTGTGGGATCAAAGAGGGCGCAGCACTGGCACAGCGCCCGCACTGGGGGAGAATGTAGGCAACTTCGGAACTGCTCCCACGTAAGGGCAGCCCCTCCGCGAGGAAGCCCTGCCCTGCATTCCTTCTGAACCTCCAGACTAGGAAGAAGGGCACCCGGGCCCGGTGCCCCCCCCCCCCCCCGCTGCCCTGGGCCCGCGGGACACGGGCTCACAGAGCTCCCGGGGCCCGCGAGCCCGGGTGAATCACCTAGTGCGGGCAGGGTGGCCCCCACGTGGAGACGAGCCGGCACACGGCAGACCCAGGCAGAGGGGGTGGTGACGGCCGCAGCAGGCCGCCCGGGTCAGCACGCGCGCGGACGAGAGGTCAGGAAGGGCCGGCGAGGGCACGGCGGGTCCGCGCCACACCGCGCGGAAGGCGGGCGCGGCCCCTCTGCTGTTGTGCAACGTAAACGTGGCTTCCGGGTGCACAGGCGCCCCCAAAAGCCAAAGCGCTTAACGAGCGCGTGCGGCGCCCGCCCAGTGCGCACGCGCGCCGCTGCCCGGCCCACCCCGCAGGCGCAGCGAATCGAACGTCGAACGGGGCGGGGGGCGGTGCTGATGCCGAGTGGCCTGGCCCCGCCCCGCGCGTGCGCCGCAGGGGCCCCCGAGCGGCCGCACACCCTCCGCCCCTCCGACGGGTCCCAGGCGCCGCGGCGGTGGGGAGCCTCTCGGCGGGGACCGGAAAAAACTCGAGTACGTCTGCGGCGCCGGGGACGAGAGCCCAGTCGGGGCACCGGGGAGAGTCGGGCCGGAGGCGCGTGCGCGGCCTGCAGGCGAGCTGGGCCCGGGGCGTCGGGTGTTGTCCGAACAGGGGGCGGGGCCGGCACCGGGGTCCCGGGAAGGGGGACAGGCGGAACTTTTGGTAAAGACGGTGGCCCGGTACAGGTGCCGCCTGCGGAGAGAAGGGGAGCGCCCGGGGCAGACGTAGCCTTAGAGAAGTGGAGCTCCAGGGGGGTGGGCCTCGGGGTGAGAAAGGGGGCGACAGGGTGCTGCCCCGGGAGGGAAGGGGGCGCGTGGGGCAGAGAGGGACGCAGCGTGCGGAAGGTGAAGGTCCCCGCGCTGAAAGCCAGCCACACCGCCCAGGTGCGGAGGCCTGCCCCCAGGAGCGAATCCTGAATCCCCACCTTGGTTGGCTGGCTGCCTCCTGGTGCTCAAGGGCCCACAGCGTGGTTCTCCCTGGCGCGCCCGAGGTCCTTTTCACCGCCCCTGCGAGCCTTCCTGGTGGCCACCCGTTTCCCGGTGACAGCTCTTCTGGTCTTTTCCAGGGACTCCTCCCCGGCTGGCTGGCTTTTCTACAAGATGCTGGGATTTTTGCAGCGGCCGGTACTGGTGAAGGCTGATGTCAACTTGAACGTTGTGGCTCTGACTGTGATGGGGTTACTGAGCCGACTGTGGGGACTCACCTATCCCAGAGCTGTGGTGTAAGCCGAACAATGCCATTCAGGGTGAATCAGAAAGAACTGGGATTTTTCGGTGACAGGAAGTGCCTTTTAAACAGAGTGAATGGGAGAGTGGAATTCTGGGCTTCTTGGTGAGGGGTGCTTTGGGCCGTTAGAGGAGAGGCTGGTTGGCCCCCAGGAAAACCCCTGCATAGTCCATTTGCCCCATCTTGCCCCCTAGGTTTATGGCAGGAGCAGTAGCCTCAGGTGACCATTGAGAACCTGGAGATTGGAGGGCAGAAGGTTGGGGAATATGGGAGTGAGTCCTCATTGACCTTAGAGTATGTTCTTTGTCACAGTGGGAAATGATTCCCGTAGTTATTAAAGGGCTGTTTATGATCTAATGCATGTGTTGTTTTTCATTTAACTTTTTCTTATGGAAAACATCAAACATATAAAAAGTAGGGAAAACAGTATGATGACCCCCTCACCAATGTATTCACCACGCAGCTTCAACAGTTACCAACTCATAGCCACCCCCTCCCTGCAGTGGATTTTTTTTTAAGCAAATCATAGCTGTATTTTATCCATAAGTAATTCAGTATACATATATTTCCAAAAGAGCCGATCTTAAACAAACACACGCAACCACAGTAGCATTATCACACCTAAAAAAGTTGACAGCAATTCCTTCATGCCGTCACCTGAAAATGTTTTGTTGCAGTATGTGCCTTTGTTGTGCTGGTGGACAAGGGGATTAGCCTCGGGTCCGTGAGGCCTTTCAGGGGCCTGGATAATGGCACACCCCAACATTGGGAACTAGGGAGAGAAACAGAACCTGTGTCGGGATGGCCCGTCCCTATGGGTGGATGCTGCTGTATGGGTGTCTTCATATCTGGGGACCCAAACTTTGCTGATCACTCCCTGAAGCTGTTGGAAGCACAGGTGTGCATTTATCCTGACACCTTTTTACCGCAATGATTTATAGTGAGCTATAACGTGGGTTTGTTTTTCAGTTTCGATGAAGTCTATTATGGGCAGTACATCTCTTTTTACATGAAGCGGGTCTTCTTTTTGGATGGCAGTGGACCGCCATTTGGTCACATGCTGCTGGCCTTAGGAGGTAGGATCTTATAGGTGCAATTTCTTGAGGGCAGAAACCATATCTTATTATTTATTTACTGTTGTTTCCCTATTGGCTGCCACTGTTGGGCACTCCTGAACTATTGCTGAACGTGATCGTTACTGATTAATCCTGTTTTAGGTTATTTAGGAGGATTCGACGGTAACTTTTTGTGGAACAGAATTGGAGCAGGTAAATGGCCATTTTCATTTCCATTGTTAATGTGCACTTAATGAACAACTGTGGTTTATTAACCTGAGTCCAGGGTATGATCAGTTGTTTGGGTACAAGTGAAAGGCTTTTGAAAAATCTGGTAAATATCTTAGGGTTTAGTTACAATTATTATTTTATTTCTAGTTCTTGGTACACACAGTCTTCACGTGCATCCGATCCCAATGACCTTTTGTATAAGTGGCGTGTGTTGTCACAGTGGTTTAGGAAATAGGGCAAATTTATAAAGAAGTAAAGCACGAACTGACTTCAGACCCGTGGTTATCCCTGTGTGTAATGAGAGCTGGTTCCCGCCTAAATCCAGCGCGTCTCAAAGACCGACTCCTACTCGGTGCCCAGTGAGGTCCCCAGTCTTGTAAACTTTCAGCCTGGAGCCTACAAATGTGACACTGGGCTGGGAAACCTGGGGTGCTCAGCTGTGCTGTGGTGGCTTTCTAGAATACAGCAGCAACGTGCCCGTGTGGTCCCTGCGCCTGCTGCCGGCCCTCGCGGGGGCCCTGGCGGTCCCCATGGCCTACCAGATCCTGTGGGAGCTCCACTTTTCTCACTGTGCCGCCATGGGAGCGGCCCTGCTGATACTTATCGGTAAGACCCGGCCTCTGCCCGCTGTCACTTCTCCGTGTGTGGCCCAGGAGCGCTCAGGGTTTAGGGCACAGGCCTCCCGCAGTGGCGTCTGCTCACGGGATGGAAGGAAATGCAGGCAGTGCATCTGCTGTGGGATGTGGAGGTGGGTAGCCCAACTGCGTGTGGAGGCGTGGCCATGCACACCTGGGCTGCCTAGACAGCTGCCTGCTGTGAGCACCTCCGCCTGCACCCGGCTGTGTCACTGACAGCCCGCCTCCTCCCACCCGCCTCCCAGGCCCCGCTCCTCCCCAGGGTCTCTGCCCAGGCGGTGCTAGCGGTACTAGTGCGCGTGCACAGGCAGACTGTCGAGGAGCAGGTGGGTGCCTGTCCACAGCTCTGGGGAGACTGCCAACGTGAGTGACGGCCTCACCGCGGCTCCGAGAGCTGGTATTTCTTCTGCAGATGAGAAAAAGGAAGACTCAGAGAGGTTCAGGGACTTGCCCAAGGTCGCAAGGGTCTCAGTAGGTGGGACTCACACCTAAGAATCTGCCTTCGTGGTTGTGGGGCGGGTGCCCTTCCGGACACCCCAATTCCGAACACCCGGCCTTCGTGCTCCGAGCCATGTGGAACGTTTGCTGCTTTGTGGACGTTTCCGTCGTCACTCCTGCCCTTGCTCCCTCACAGCGGACCGTGTCGTCTTTCCCACAGAGAACGCGCTGATCACTCAGTCCAGGCTGATGCTTTTGGAATCGCTGTTGATCTTCTTTAATCTGTCGGCCGTGCTGTCCTACCTGAAGTTCTCCAACTCCCAGAAGCGCAGGTGAGGCGTGTGGGGCCTGTCCTTCCTCCTGAATGAGAAGGAAGTGTGGTGGTCTGGGGCTGAGGCCTCTTCCTCTGGGGCCTGCTCACCGGCTGCCCTGCGGTCAGCCGCCCAGACCAGCCTTTGGCTCATGGCTTCGCAAATACTCCTCACTTTCTAACCGGAGAGACGTTCTGGCCATGAAGAAAACCTGCCAGGACCGAGGTTTGGGGGTGAGGGTTCATTTCCCTCGTCCCTGAAGCCGTGCAGCCCGCTGGCCCGAGAGAGCTCAGACCTGTCCCAGCTCCGCTGTCCTCTCTGCCCAGGCCCTTCTCTCCGAGCTGGTGGCTCTGGCTGACGCTGACGGGAGTGGCCTGCGCCTGTGCGGTCGGGTGAGTCTGGCGGGTCTGAGGCAGCGCCCACGCCCCACGCGTCTGTCTTATTCTAACGTCCTCTCCACCGGCCTTTCAGCACCAAATACATGGGCGTCTTCACTTACTTGCTGGTACTTGGAGTCGCCACTGTTCACACCTGGCACCTGATAGGAGACCGGACCCTGTCAAATGTGGGTGCTGGTGGTGTGCGCGGCACGAGGGTGGCCGCGTGGGGTAGGCAGGGGTGGGACGGGGCATTTCAGGGACAGTTCAGGAGGGGACAGGAGGGCGGGGCTGCGCTGTGGAGATGGACACGCCCACCTGTGTGCCAGGTCTGTGTGCTTTGCCACGTGCTGGCCCGAGCGGTGGCCCTGGTGCTCGTCCCGGTCGTCACGTACCTGCTCTTCTTCTACGTCCACTTGACGCTGCTCTGCCGCTCTGGACCCCACGACCAGATCATGTCCAGTGCGTTCCAGGCCAGCCTGGAGGTGAGAGGGGTACACAGCCACCTCAGAAAGAGGGCCGTAGTGGGCTCAGCGTTTCTTACGTAAACACTATCAAGTTAGAACTAGAGGAATAGCTGAATTGCCCTGGCTGGTTTGGCGCAGCGGTTAGAGCGTCGGCCTGCAGTCCAGAGAGACCCGGGTTCGGTTCCCGCTAAGGGCATGTACCTTGGTTGCAGTTTGTCCTCGGCCCTGGTGGGGTTGTGCGGGTGGCAGCCACTTGATGTGTCCCTTTCATGTCGATGTTTCTCTCTCTCTCTCTCCCGCTCCCACTCTATCTGAACAAAAATGGAAAAATGTCCTCAGGTGAGGATAAAAAAAATAAAATAAATAAGAAATGAGGAATTTACTTCAGTATTTTAAAAAAATGTTTTCTTTGTTGATTTTAGAGAGAGAGGAATGGGGAAGGAGAGAGAGATAGAAACATCGATGAGAGAGAACATTGATTGGCCGCCTCCTGCACGCCCCCTAGTGGGGATCAGGCCCACAATCTGGGCATGTGCCCTGACCGGGGATCGAACCGACGACCTCTTGGTGCCACACCAGCTGGGCCGTTTCTGTATTTGAAACTAGTTCTGAATATACCAATGGTGTAGAAATAAGCAAAGGGTTAGCTCTCGTCCGTGTGATCCCCGGAGACCACTGCGAAGTCCCCATCGGGCGGGCGCCTGTGGTCCAGGGCACACTGGACGTGATCTGGTCGTGGGCCCAGACCCGACTCTGGTTCATTCTCACGAACTTTGCAGAGGAGTGAAATGCACCAGTTGCGGTCGTTGGGATGGTGGCCCGAAGTCGCACGGGCCTGTTTGGAAGTGCTGGCTCTGTGTTTTTGGACAACTTTCACTCAAGTCTGTTTTCTCATTTCTGAAACAGACATAATTGTCCTTTCTCACAGGACAGGGTCAGAACTCAGTGAGGGTGTGAAGGGTGAGCCGAGTGCCTGGCCCCGGAGGCGGCCTTCAGTCGGGGGGCTGCTGGGTCCTGTCACGTGTAACTGTCTGCGCCACCCTGACCGCCCCGGTGCAGAGCGGCTGCCAGAGGCCGGGCCGTGTCTCACTGCCCCTTTGGCTCTCGTCTAGGGAGGGCTGGCGCGGATCACGCAGGGCCAGCCGCTGGAGGTGGCCTACGGGTCCCAGGTCACTCTGAAGAGCGCCTTCGGCAAGCCCATGCCCTGCTGGCTTCATTCCCACCAGAGCACCTACCCCAGGATGTAAGGACAGCGGCCGTTTTCGTGGGAAGGTTATAAAATGTTTTTCCATAATTTGTCACCACCTTTCACATTGTATGAAGAGGTTTGTGAGACAGAAAGAAACAGCTCTTAGATCTGATGATCACAGTGTCTTGTCCTTTCTGCGGTGAACCAGTGAGGGTCTCGCTGAGCAGAGGGCCCTGACGGGTCTGCGTGACAGCCACGCGGCGCCCACGCGGTCGCTTTCTGCTCCTGGTGCGTGCTGCATAGGGCCACGCATTCTAGTCCCTCGTGGTGTGGACTTCTTGTTTTATCGTTATTTCCCCAAACACCTCGCTAGTTAGCGTTCACAGGAGCCCGGGGAGAGAGGCTGCGGGCCCCTCGCCAGCCCCCTGCAGACAGCCCCTTGCTGACTCCACGCAGCTACGAGGACAGCCGAGGCAGCTCCCACCAGCAGCAGGTGACCTGCTACCCCTTCAAAGACGTCAACAACTGGTGGATCGTCAAGGATCCTGGGAGGTGCGTGCAGTTCCTGGGCCTCCCGGGCAGGGCCCGCCTCCTGGCCTGGCTGGGTGGGGCCTCGGGCAGTGCCAGGCCCTCCTCTCTGTCCACACTCCTTCCCTCGAAGCTTGGAGTCCAGCGCTGTGCTGGTGAGCCCTTGGTCAGGGTTAGCTCGTCCACAGTGACTGCCTGCTGTCTCTCCTGGTACTTTACAGGCCTGTCCCAGCGCCTCCTTTTTCTTTCTTTTCTTTTTGTTTAATATGTTTTTATTGCTTTTTTTAGAGAGAGAGGAAGGTAGAGAGAGAGAAACACACTAATGTGAGAGAGAAACATCCATCCGCTGCCTCCTGCCCGCCCCCTACTGGGGATCGAGCCCACAACCCAGGCATGTGCCCTGACCAGGAGTCGATCCGGGACCTCTCAGTCCAGAGGATGACGCTCAGTCCACTGAGCCACACCAGCCGGGCTAAAACCATTTTCTTGCTCAGACCTCACAGATGGAGGTCTCTCTCTCACTCCCCACGTCCAGTGGCTCAGCCAGTGCTAACAATTTTGCCTCTGAATGCGCTCCACCCAGGTCTCTACCTCCCGTCTCCCTCCTCCCCTCCCCAGTGACCTGTTTCCACTCCGCACTCCCCAGCTTCAGAAGCTCCCCAAGTGGTCCTTTAGAACATAACCTATGTTGGTCACCCTCCTGCTCAGACCCCTTGCCCAGCTTCCATTGCCCCCGAACCAACTCCAGACCCCACATGGTGCCCACAGGCCCAAACCACCTGCTCCAGCCCCGAATTCCTGGAGCAGGCAGCCTCTGCCTTGGGCGACGTGTTACTACCTGGCTGGCTCCTCTGTGAGTCAAGTTGGGAGGTCAGCTCCTCCGTGGCCTACCTTGGCCACCCCAGGGCCCCCTCCTCTCTGCCACTGTCCCATTGTCTGAGTCGTTGCTCACGCACTCACGGATGCACCCTTGCTGCAGTGACCCGGGGCAGGGCCGCCTGGCTGTTCAGCCGTGTGCTCAGCCCCCGTTAGGCCCCGAGGACCTGTCACTGGGCAGGCACAGAACAGAGGTCTGTCTGTCCGAGAAGGATTTCGGAGAGGGTGCCGTGCATTCGTCCGTAGCACAGCAGCTCAGTGATGTCTGGAAGCTGGGAGAGAGACCGCAGGTCTCAGAGCTGAGCTCCGGGAAGTGCTCTGCCCTACAGGGGTCGCCTGTGTGGGGGCAGATTGGCTGGGCGCCGCAGTCAGCCCCCGGGAGCTCTCAGAGCCCTGCTGGTGAGGCCGCAGCTCGGGGCAGTGGCCAGCACGTCCCGCCAGCCTGTCCCCTGTCTCCAGGCACCAGCTGGAGGTGAGCGCCCCGCCGAGGCCGGTGCGGCACGGAGACGTGGTGCAGCTGGTACACGGCATGACCACCCGCTTCCTCAACACGTGAGCCCTGCCGCCCTCCGCGTTGGGAGGGGCCCCGATGGCAGCTGAGGGGGGAGGAAAGGAGATGGCCTCAGTGAGGGACCGGGAGCCCCGAGGGTGCAGGTGATGGGACACCGCCGGGCTCGCCCTGCGGGGTGCAGTGGGGCCCCTTCATCGGTGGGGCCCCCGAAGTGTCAGCAGGACTGAAGCGGGGTTCAGTGGGGTCCGGAGGGTTAGGACATGTTTGGCTCTCAGCCCTGACCTGACTTGACCTCTGAGCAGCCCTGTATTTCGGGGTACCCGGCAGCCCCGACTGTGCCGCCTCCCACTGTCTGCGGTCTGCGTGCCCTGCTTTCCCTGAGATGCGGCTCCTGCAGCATCCCTTCCCTTTCAGTCTGTTTCTCCACAAGCCTCCAGGTGTGCGTCCTCGGGCCGCAGCGGCTCTTCCCTCAAGGAGGCAGTGAATGGGGGACTCCTGCGAGCGTTGTCTGCTTGCAGGCATGACGTGGCGGCCCCCCTGAACCCCCACGCGCAGGAGGTGTCCTGCTACATCGACTACAACATCTCCATGCCCGCCCAGAACCTCTGGAGACTGGTGAGTCCTGTGGAGCGGGCAGCCGTTGCGTCAGCACCCCCTCCCCCCTTCCGCAGGATGTTTGACCCTCAGCCAGCCAGGGATCCTCCGGTCATCCCGGCCGGTCCCGGGATGTCCCGGGATGTCCCAGGAGAGGCGGCGGTTCCTGGGGACGGCCCCTTCCTGAGGCTGGCGGGATGGTGGCCGCCTTCCACTGAGTGACTAGGGAATGAGTCTCACTCTCCGGGGCTGCATGTGGAGTCCTGGGAAGGGCAGCAGGAAGAAGGTTCTAGGGTTGCTGGGTCATTGGACCATCTGAATTCAAGGACACGAGCTAGTCAGGGCTCACAGATGGCACTGGGGTCACCGCCCTGAGGGTCAGACTCGGACCTGCAGCAGCAGCTCCCCACTAACTCCAGCCCCCACCCCGTTCAGTCCTCGGCAGATGTCCGTGTGCTGCGATGTGCGTGCGCCTGCTTCCCCGTCCCCTCCCCCTTCGCGTGTGACAGACGTCCGTGTGCTATGATGTGTGTGCACCTGCTTCCCCGTCTCCTCCCCCTTCGCGTGTGACAGACGTCCGTGTGCTATGATGTGTGTGCACCTGCTTCCCCGTCCCCTCCCCCTTCGCGTGTGACGGACGTCCGCATGCTATGATGTGTGTGCACCTGCTTCCCCGTCCCCTCCCCCTTCGCGTGTGATGGACCTCCATGTGCTGCGATGTACGTGCACCTGCTTCCCGTCCCCTCCCCTTTCACGTGTTACAGACGTCCGTGTGCTATGATGTGTGTGCACCTGCTTCCCCGTCCCCTCCCCCTTCGCGTGTGATGGACCTCCATGTGCTGCGATGTGCGTGCACCTGCTTCCCCGTCCCCTCCCCCTTCGCGTGTGATGGACGTCCATGTGCTGCAATGTACGTGCACCTGCTTCCCCATCCCTTCCCCCTTCGCGTGTTATGGACGTCCATGTGCTGCGATGTGTGTGCACCTGCTTCCCTGTCCCCTCCCCCTTCGCGTGTGACGGACGCCCGTGTGCTGCGATGTGCGTGCACCTGCTTCCCCGTCCCCTCCCCCAGCGTTCCCACCTCAGTGGAGTTGTTTGTGCTCCTCCCTTCACTGGGAGCTCTGGAGGGAGCCTCTGCTGAGAGTCTCGCTGCTGAGGGCTCAGTGCTGATCCTTTTCCTCCACCTCCTCCTCCTCCTCCCTGCTGGTGGCCCCCTCGGCCCCACACGGAATAGGGGGGTGCTCACCGCAACCCAGCCCCTGGCTTCCTCTGGTTCTTGTCAGTAGCTACGTGACCTCACGGGGGCAAAGTTCTGACAACGCAAATGCTCTATAGATGTTAGTGCTCAGTGTCGAAGTCAGGGCCCTTTTCAGGGAGGGTCTGTCGCCTGCACTGCATCGTCTTTGCACTTGGGCCGAAGCTCTGAGCCCTGGGTGAGCAGGCGTTCCAGAAGCACAGAGAGGGCACCGTCCTGTGGTCTCTGCCACGGAGCCCCGAGCTGCCCCTGCAGGAGGGCACCGTCCTGTGGTTTCTGCCACGGAGCCCCGAGCTGCCCCTGCAGGAGGGCACATGTCCCTTCTGAGAACCAGCCCCCCGGCGCCCCCCGTCAGTCTCAGCACCTGCTGCCCGGTCTCATCTGTTCGGTTAAGGAAATCTGAAAACGGAGCAGGACGGGCAGGTCTGCTCCTACAGGACATCGTGAACAGGGAGTCGGACGCGGAGGTCTGGAAGACCATCTTGTCGGAGGTTCGCCTCGTGCACGTGAACACCTCCGCCATCCTGAAGGTGAGGGCGCCGCTGCTCGGGGGCCTGCGGAGCTCCGGGCCCACAGCCCCTGCACCCAGCTCCGGCCGAGCCGGCGCCCCCAGCCATTTGCCTCGTCCTGCCGCCACCACTGCAGGTGGGAGGGCTCTGTGCCTTCTCGGAACTGGGCCCCACGGAGGGCGGTCTGTGCCCTCGCGGGCTGCTGACCAGCGGTGCGGCCCCTCCCCGCCGGGCTGAGCCAGGGCCGGCTGTCCCCTCACTAGTCCTGTCTCTGTCTTCCAGCTGAGCGGGGCGCACCTCCCTGACTGGGGCTTTCGGCAGCTGGAGGTCGTTGGGGAGAAGCTGTCCCGGGGCTACCACGAGAGCACCGTGTGGACCGTGGAGGAACACCGCTACGGCCGGAGTGAGTGCGCCTGCGCGTCCCGGGCCGGCGGGGCCCTGGTGAGCCACCGCCGAAGGCTCGACTCCACGCTCTGTCACCACCCGCCCCTCTGTGCCCCACTGAGCTGCCAGCGACCAGGGGCACTTCTCCGCGCGGTCGTGGGCAGGCGGTGCGCGGAGCTGTCCACGGGTCTAGAGATCCACACGTGCCGGCAGTTTCGCGTGGGGAGACTGGGGTGCTGTGGGTCGCCGTGGGGGTTGGAAAGCAGGGAAGTCGCCTCCGGACCAAGCCGGCAGCTGTGCTGAGCTCCCTGCCCTGAGCCCGCTCATGTCCTGTTGGGTTCTGGTGTGTTGCCAGGCCAGGAGCAGAAGGAGAGGGAGCTGGAGCTGCACTCGCCTACTCAGATGGACGTCAGCAGAAACCTGAGCTTCCTGGCCAGGTTCTCCGAGCTGCAGGTGACACGGTGGAGGGAGGTGTGGCTTTGCTCCCAGAGCCGCTGTGGTCGGCAGCATGCTTGCCTTCCGAGGCTTCAAACTGGGCTCTGGCCGGGTGGCCTGGTGGATTGTAGCGCTGGTCCACTCACCAATAGGTGGCAGGTTCGGTTCCTGGTTAGGACACGTATTAGGTTGCAGGGTCACTCCCCAGTTGGGGTGCATAAGGGAGGCAACCGGCTGATGTTTCTCTCTCCCCCTTCCCCTTTCTCTAAAACGAATGCATGTCCTTCGGTGAGGATTAAACAATCATAATAATAACAAACTGGAGCCTCAATCAGCAGTGGACGCATGTGTCCCTTCCTCCACTGTAAGCAGCGCCGCAGCCCTGCGTCCCAGGCCTGTGGCTTTGCAGGCAGGAGACTCCGCAGCCCACACAGAATTGCCACCTTGCCGGGGTACACTTTGAGGCTCCCAGGGCAGGGCAGAATGGGCTCTGGTCAATGTGAGGGAGCCCTAGAGCCATGGGAACCAGAAACATGGGTCCCTGACTTGAGGACAGTCACTTTGTCTGCAGACGAGGTGACAAGCCCCTGGGAGGCCACGTTCCGGGGCTACCCCCGGTCGGAACCCAGGTCTCCTGACAAGCCCGCCTGCCAGGCCGGCACGCCCTCTGCTGCACGGTTCAGATGAGCCTGCGGTTGGACCCCTCCCATGAAGGGGCAGCGTTTGCTCCAGCCCAGCGAGTGCCCGAGCAAGGACAGCGTCGGGCTGGCTGACTCCGAGCCTCTGCTTTGTCGCAGTGGAGGATGCTGACGATGCGGAGCGACGACTCGGAGCACAAGTACAGCTCCACGCCTCTGGACTGGGTCACCCTGGACACCAACATCGCCTACTGGCTGCACCCCAGGACCAGCGTAAGCAGCCTGCATCGTTCCCTGAGGGCCCCTCTGCTTCCCACCTGGTCCTGCACTCTCCAGGGCCGTCCTCACCAGGCCTGGGCCCCTCCCACCTCCCTCCAGGGCCGTCCTCACCAGGCCTGGGCCCTCCCACCTCCCTCCAGGGCCGTCCTCACCGGGCCTGGGCCCTCCCACCTCCCTCCAGGGCCGTCCTCACCGGGCCTGGGCCCTCCCACCTCCCTCCAGGGCCGTCCCTCACCGGGCCTGGGCCCTCCCACCTCCCTCCAGGGCCGTCTCACCAGGCCTGGTCCCCTCCCACCTCCCTCCAGGGCCGTCCTCACCGGGCCTGGGCCCTCCCACCTCCCCCAGGGCCGTCCCACCGGGCCTGGGCCCTCCCACCTCCCTCCAGGGCCGTCCTCACCGGGCCCTGGGCTCTCCCACCTCCCTCCAGGGCCGTCCTCACCGGGCTGGGCCCCTCCCACCTCCCTCCAGGGCCGTCCTCACCAGGCTGGGCCCTCCCACCGCCCCCTCCAGGGCGTCTCCACCAGGCCATGGGCCCTCCCACCGCCCCCTCCAGGGCCGTCCTCACCAGGCCTGGGCCCCTTCCCACCGCCCCCTCCAGGCCGTCCTCACCAGGCCTGGGCCCTCCCACCGCCCCCTCCAGGGCCGTCCTCACCAGGCCTGGGCCCCTCCCACCGCCCCCTCCAGGGCCGTCCTCACCAGGCCTGGGCCCTCCCACCGCTCCCTCCAGGGCCGTCCTCACCAGGCCTGGGCCCCTCCCACCGCCCTCCAGGGCCGTCCTCACCAGGCCTGGGCCCCTCCCACCTCCCTCCAGGGCCGTCCTCACCGGGCCTGGGCCCCTCCCACCTCCCTCCAGGGCCGTCCTCACCGGGCCTGGGCCCCTCCCACCTCCCTCCAGGGCCGTCCTCACCGGGCCTGGGCCCCTCCCACCTCCCTCCAGGGCCGTCCTCACCGGGCCTGGGCCCCTCCCACCTCCCTCCAGGGCCGTCCTCACCAGGCCTGGGCCCCTCCCACCTCCCTCCAGGGCCGTCCTCACCAGGCCTGGGCCCTCCCACCGCCCCCTCCAGGGCCGTCCTCACCAGGCCTGGGCCCTCCCACCGCTCCCTCCAGGGCCGTCCTCACCAGGCCTGGGCCCTCCCACCGCCCCCTCCAGGGCCGTCCTCACCAGGCCTGGGCCCTCCCACCGCCCCCTCCAGGGCCGTCCTCACCAGGCCTGGGCCCTCCCACCGCTCCCTCCAGGGCCGTCCTCACCAGGCCTGGGCCCCTCCCACCTCCCTCCAGGGCCGTCCTCACCAGGCCTGGGCCCCTCCCACCGCTCCCTCCAGGGCCGTCCTCACCAGGCCTGGGCCCTCCCACCTCCCTCCAGGGCCGTCCTCACCAGGCCTGGGCCCCCCCACCGCCCCCTCCAAGGCCGTCCCCACCAGGCCTGGGCCCTCCCACCGCTCCCTCCAAGGCCGTCCTCACCAGGCCTGGGCCCTCCCACCGCCCCCTCCAGGGCCGTCCTCACCAGGCCTGGGCCCTCCCACCGCTCCCTCCAAGGCCGTCCTCACCAGGCCTGGGCCCCTCCCACCTCCCTCCAGGGCCGTCCTCACCAGGCCTGGGGCCCTCCCACCGCTCCCTCCAGGGCCGTCCCCACCAGGCCTGGGCCCCTCCCACCTCCCTCCAGGGCCGTCCTCACCAGGCCTGGGCCCTCCCACCTCCCTCCAGGGCCGTCCTCACCAGGCCTGGGCCCCTCCCACCGCTCCCTCCAGGGCCGTCCTCACCAGGCCTGGGCCCTCCCACCTCCCTCCAGGGCCGTCCTCACCAGGCCTGGGCCCCTCCCACCTCCCTCCAGGGCCGTCCTCACCAGGCCTGGGCCCCTCCCACCTCCCTCCAGGGCCGTCCTCACCAGGCCTGGGCCCCTCCCACCAGCACCACGGGGTGAGGTCAGGTCTGCCTGTGGAGGGAAGCCAGGCTTTTCTGCTTTTGTGGGAGCACACTGCTCCCCTCCTCTGGCAGTGGCTTTCAGAGTGTCCCTGCTGATTTGTGCACCTGGCGTCCGAGCCTGCAGAGCTCTGTCCAGGCAGGTGTTGCCTCACCTGGTAGCAAAGGCGGTGGAGTCACGCGCAGCTGTCACTCACGGGCGACGCCAGCAACAGCGCTCACCGACCTGCCCCGACCCCGAGTGGCAGAGCAGGGCCCAGGCGCCACCCTGAGCTCTGTTGCTCTGGGGGTCCCTCTGCGAAGGGCTGTGCTGCTGAAACCGGACTCCTGGCTGCTCCCAGTCGTAGAGAAAACCTCAGCGCTTTGTAGAAAGGGTCTCATCAGGAGCGTCTGGTCCGTCCCAGCCACAGGGCTGGGGGCGCTCCTTCCACGGAGACCCGCTGACGGCGTCTCCTGTCGCCTGCAGGCTCAGATCCACCTGCTGGGAAACGCCGTGATCTGGGCCTCGGCCGGGCTCGCCACCGCGCTGTACACCCTGCTCTTCTGCTGGCACCTGCTCAGACGCCAGCGACGCCTGTGCGACCTCCCAGAGGGTGAGTGCGCCTCCCCGCCCTGCACCAGCCCCCTCGCTCCAACCTGAGCCCCGCTCCCCGGCAGCTCTGCCTCAGGCGCAGCTTGGTCTCTGCATGGAGGGGACGTAAATTATTTGTGTCCCCCAGAGACAGTTGGAATTCAGCTCCTACGTGGCCTTGGAGGCTTCTCCAGGGAGTGTGGGTGCTGGGCAGGGGCTGCTCCGTGAGCCCAGGGCCTGGAGCAGCCTCGGGCCGTTCCCAGCTGGCCCCGACCTGGCTGGACAGGACTGAGCCCACAGGCGCGTCAGGGCTGGTGGTTCGCTAGTGACAGACCCACGTCAAACCCTCTCAGAACAGGAGTAAAGCGCAGGCAGGCCGGCCCCAGGCACCTTCGCACTGCTGGGCTCCAGGGACTGGTCCCCTCCCCCGGGCCGCAAGGCCCTCCACCGCTCCTGATGGGCGGCAGCCAGGGGACTGACCGGCTGGCAGAGGCTGGCCTGGCCCCCAGGGGACAGCTGTTTCTCAGGAGAGGGTCGTGAGGACCCAGCAGGAAGCTGCGGGAGGTTCTTAGTCTGATTTCCTGGAGACGTGGGAAGGGGGGTGAGAAATCGAGAGCCGACTGCTGGGGTGTGGCTGAGGGACGAGAGAGCCAGCGTCAGACTGGGCTGGCAGAGCCTGGCCAGGTGCGGCCCCAGCCAGCCAGGCTGGCTCACGAGGACTTTCCCCCAGACTCCTGGCTGCGCTGGGTGCTGGCCGGGGCCCTGTGTGCTGGCGGCTGGGCAGTGAACTACCTGCCGTTCTTGCTGATGGAGAAGACGCTCTTCCTGTACCACTACCTGCCTGCGCTCACCTTCCAGATCCTGCTGCTGCCCGTGGTCCTGCAGCACGTCGGCGAGCACCTGTGCAGGTTCGGGCCTTCGCGGTCAGTGTGGGGGTGGGGTGAGGTCCCCAGAGCACGAAGCTCTGGCTGTCTCGCAGACGAAAGCCCTGGTATGGGTGGGAAACGGAAGGACGTCTGTGGTCCACAGAGGACCAGGGGCGGAGGCGAGGAGTGGGGAGGCGTGGGGTGTGTTCTCGACAGCCAGTGGCCACTGGCCAGATGGCATGGGGCACAGAGGAGACACACCAGAAGCTATGTAGACTGGAGCCGCTGCTGGAGGCCCGAGGAGGGCACTGACCCTCCCGTAGCAGGGTCTTGAGGTCTCTCAAGAGGGAGTCTGCGTGTAGACAGAGCAGAGGCTGTGGACCGAGAAACAGACGAGTGAGGACTGTCACGCTCAGCGCGTCGGGCAGGATGCAGCAGGGCTGGTGGTGGGGTGGCAGGAGGGACAGAAAGGCGGAGGTCGGTGACCGCCAGGCGACAGGTGTGAGACGCCGTGAGTGGAGGTCACGGTGAGGACAGCCAGCCTCCCTCACACCTGTGCTGCTCTGGCACCCGCAGGTCCGAGCTCCAGAGGAGCGTCTTCGGCGCCCTGGTGGTGGCGTGGTACTCCGCTGCCTGCCACGTGTTTGACACGCTGCGCCCACTGACCTACGGGCACAAGTCACTCTCTCCCAGCGAACTCCAGGCCCTTCGCTGGAGAGAGAGCTGGGACATCTTAATCCGAAAATACCAACAGGACCCGACACAGTGAGCGTCTGGCGGGTCCGGACTGGGCAGAACCACCTTGGCTAGCTGTGTTTACAAGCACAGTGCAGACGGCCATGCCTGGAAGGCTGGTTTCGTTCTCAAAGCGGCCCTCTGATGAGCACCTTGTGTTTTAAAATATGTTCTTACTAATTTAGAGACGGAGAGAGAGACATCCATCGGCTGCCTCCTGCACGCCCCCTACCAGGGATTGAGCCTGCAACCCAGGCATGTGCCCTGACCTGGAATCGAACCAGCAACCTCTTGGTGCCTGGGACGCCGCCCAACCAACTGAACCACACTGGCCGGGGCGAGCACCTCATTTTAAGCAGGTTGTTTGTTTTTGGTTTTATTGACGTTTTAGAGAGGAAAAGAGAGAAACATCAACATGAGAGAGAAACATCCATCGGCTGCCTCCTGTACGCCCCCTACTGGGGATTGAGCCTGCAACCCAGGCACGTGCGCTGACTGGGAATCGAACCGGGACCTCTGTCCATGAGACGACGCTCAGTCCACTGAGCCACACTGGCCGGGCTTAAGCAGATTATTTTATGCAGGCAGTGAACACGCCCAGGTCCACCAATTCCTAGGAGCCTAAACTAGGACACGTGGAGCATCGAGTGGCTAGCGTGGGACTCGGCGCCGGGGAAAAGGCAGGGAGCAGGCAGACGGGGCTGGTCTCAGTAACAGGTGTGTTGGCGGGTTTGGTGACGGGCCTGGTCCTCCCTCCCGTGCCCCACTGGGCCTGCTGAGCTGGAGCCTCTGTGCCCAGTGAGGCGGAGGAACTCCTGGGAGCAGGTTGCCACTCAGTGTGCGTGAGCAGGGGCGTGGCGGACGTGGACCTCCGGCCCGTGGAGCCTGCCACCCTCTTCACGCCTGTACTGGCTAACCCTCGGGCACCCGCCACGAGGTTCCGCTGAGCGAGTATCGACCTCAGCAGTCAGTGTGTCATCTGGATGCTTCCTCGCCCTGGAGTTGCCTTCCTGGTGTAATTAAAGAGGGACGCACTGGGTTCCTGTTGGTGGTTATTGACTCTCCAAAAGGGCACCGCACGTGTGTTGAGTGTCGCAGTCCTCAGAAGCCAGCCACGGAGCTCAGGCGAGCCCAGCCACGTCAGCTGTGTAACTAGTGCCCCTGGACGGAGAGGAAGTGCCCTGGTGGCAGTGGGGAAGGACCCCTTCACAAACAGCCACCGCACGGGAGGGGAGACACCCCGGGACGACAGGCCACGGGTTTGTGGGGCTTGTGCTCAGATGAGCGAGGGAGACAGGCCGGCTTTGGCCACACCACTCGCTGTGCCATTCCCGGTCAGCACACACGTTGGCTGGGGGCGAGCCCTGGACTTGGCCCTGCCACACTCGGGAAGGCCAGTCCACACAGCACCTGGCTCAGGGACCCACGACAGACCCCACAGGGGCCAGGCGGGCTCGGGGCTGGGTGAGCAGGCGCCCGCTTTCTCTCTGATGCTGGTTACAGAGAGGCCTGTCGGGGGGCTCCTTCCCCGCCCCGCCCTGGAGCACAGGCCAGGGAAAGGGGACATCTCTGTGCACCGCAGTCAGCATGCACCACGCTGGACCAGCGCCCACGGGCAGCTGCCAGAGTGGGTTAATAGACCACAACTAGCCCGGTGTTACAGAATGACACAAAACACTGAGATGAGTAACAAAACAATATTTCAAAGGGTCAGTTGTACGTGTGTGAGGACCAGATCACACCAGAAAACTCACTGGGAGATCACGGTCGATACACTGGACAGCAGCGTGTCCAGGCCGTTTCTCCAGTCCTCCCCAACTACACAGCCTGTGTGCTGCCCGGGCACGAGCATCCAGGCTGCCACCTGGCCATCTGGCACTGCTGAGTGCCTGGAGGCGTCCAACTCCCCGCACCCCAAGGAAGCAGGTGCAGTCACTGTCCTCACCCCATCACAGAGCTGGGACATGTGTCCAGGGTCCCTGCTGCTGAGGTCGCCCTGACCCTTACACCATGGGCTGTCCCAGACGCGGAGAAGTGGCAGGTGTGTTTTGGGGGCAGGTGGGCACCTGAGGGGACCTGCCGAGAGGCCCAGCGCCACGCCTCAGTGCGGTCTGCTGCTGGACTCCAGGTGTGACCGTTTGCCGGCGGTCAGCACCCCGGGATGGTCTCCCGGCTCAGAAAACGTCCTCTTGTAGCTCCGCCCGTTGGCCCCAGCACGGTGCCACTTGCAGATGTCCCCGTTCAGAATGTCCTGGATGTGCTGCACAATCAGGTTGATGGCAACTGCGGCGAAGACAGACAAGAGCGTGTTAGCTGCCTGCACCCACCAGCAACACTGCCCAGGAGCCCCCCTCGCTGAAACCCTGCGGGGACACCTGTCTGGCACCAAGTCTCAGCAGAGAAAAGGCACATCTGGACCTGAGCACATTTGGACCTGCTGGCTTGGTCCGCGAGGGTTTCTGCTAACAGTGACTTTGTCAACCAGTTCTCTACATGTCTCTCCCGCCAGCTTTGCTGAGGCGAGCTGACAGGTGACACTGCCGGTGCCGGTGCCGTGCTGGGGTGGGGCGGGGCAGTGCCTGCCTCGTGGCTCTGGGAGCAGACAGGAGTCGGGCAGCCGTCAGGCCTGGTCTTACCCATGTTGTCAACCCCGCGAGGGATTATCACGTCGGCATACTTCTTGGTCTGCAACACAAAGCAGGCTCTCGTCAGGATCTGTCCACCCCCCAACCCAAGGTGACGGACTTGGGGAGTGATCAGCCAGGTGTGAGGAACAGTGCTCCAGGGAGTGAGGCAGAAGGTGGGTGAGCATGTCTGAAGTGCTGAGCTCTTGCTCAATCCTTTGAGCAGCTGCAGGGACAGTTATCTGTGCCAACAACTTCGTTCTCTGGGCCAGGAGAAGCACGGCACCCTCCACCGCTCGTGAGGTGCTTCCTCCGCCACCAGGGACCTCCTGCAAGCACCCCGGAGGAGCCAGGGGCGCACTGCGTGCAAGGACGGCGCCGTGCTGCTGCCAGCATGCTGGGCACCGCTCGCTCTCGCCAGGCCTGTGCTAGGGCGGGGCGGGGCTGCCGAGGGGCACACACTGAACCTGGCAGAGCACAGGGAGGGCAGGGAGAAAACGGTGTAGCCCATGGGATGGACCTGTGAGCTGTTTGGTGGTACTGACACGTGAATCTGGGCAAAGGCAGTATGTCCCGAGATGAGCACAGAGGCAGGCGGGGAGGAGTCCTGGGGCAGCTGTGTCTGTAGGAAGGGGACACCCGTGAGGGCCCGGCGCTCCCCTGGGCAGGCTCACTGCTGAGAGGGCGGGAGAGGTCTTCCTGCTGGCAGGGGTGGGAAGGACCGGTCAGCTTGGGCAGAAGCAGTGGCTCCACGTGAGGGTGAGGGAGAGGGAGAGGGCAAGGGAGAGGGCAGTTCAAGGAGGGTTCTGGGGGCTCTGGCGAGGCCGGTGTTGCCCCCACACAGGGTCACCAAACAGATCTGGTGTCCACTGTAACAAGTTAAGTTTTCTAGTATTTTTCAGAAATGTCAGAGAACATGAATGTAAAGTTAAAAGGGTTTTCTTTAACCAGCAACACACAGAATTCATGTCCTACTACCTAAAGCAGGAGACCTGGGGCCAGTTCCCTTGGGCTGTACTTTTACCTTTACATACTGCTCGTCTCCCTCTACAACACTCCAGCCTGAGCAGAATCAGGAGCCCTGTTCAGTTACAAGTGGAAGGCGGAGGAAAAGACAGGCATCTGCGCAAGCGCGAATCCCTTCTACTCCGGCCGGACCGGAGCACGCCAGCCAGCACAGCCTAGAGACGGCCGGTGACGTGAGGCCCTCACTCCTACTGTGCGCCAGGGGGCGCTTGTGGCCTGAAGAGACAAACCCCTGCCCTGAGTTTACCCTGTAGGGGGGGAGTAAGCAAGACAGACGGTGCTGTCAGATGACCAGAACACCCTGGGAACACAGCAGGCAAAGGCCAGAGCAGAGGGGTCTTTGGGGTCATGCTGCAAAGGCAATGCCGGTGACCTGGGTGAAGGCCTGAGGCAGGGAGGAGGGAGGCTATGGAATGGGGGGACAGGGCTTCTCTAGGCAGAGGGAGCAGCAAGGGCAGGGGGCCTGGAGAGCTGAGAACTGCCCTGGGTAGCTGGGTGCAAGCTGCACTCTCTATTTATAAGTCAGACCACGTGCATCCACGACCCAGCTCCCGTGGAACCGGGTATAGTGTCTTTGAACAGGGAGGAAAGGCATTCCCAAGGCGGGTACCGGCAGGCAGAACTCCTCGAAGGCTGGCTTGACGAAGGTGGTGTACTGGGTCAGGATCTGCTCCAGGTCCCTCCCGCGGTTCACGTCTCGGAGAACTGCAGAGACAGGAGCCAGGTGCCACCTTCAGACCCGAGGACGTGCGCCCAGCCTCGGCCCCAGGCAGGGAGGCTGAGCCCACCCTACCTCTTCTCGACAGCCTGACGTCCGAGTCCGTGTCCACAAAGAGGCGCAGATGGAACATGTCCCGGATCTCCTGGCTGTAGAAGACCAAGATGCCCTCAAACAGGACCACGTCTGCAGGGTATACCACCGTGGTCTCCGGTAACCTGCAAGGCGACAGCAGGAAATGGGCCCTGTTGCAGAGAGGACCTCCGGGGCACTGACTCCACAGGAAACAGATCACGGTGGGAGAGGGGTGTCCACAGAAACCAAGGGAGGGGTCAGGGCCTGCTGCGGGGTGGTGTGTGTAAGCCCTCGAAGGGACGCCCTAACTGGCTCCCAGGAACCACCTGCTTACCTGGAGTGAGTCACAAAATCATAGGTTGGGACCTCGACAGTTTTGCCCTCCATGATGTTTTTCAGTGTCCTGTGCATCAAATCATTATCAAAAGCATCTGCAGGGATGGGACAAAAGGCAAGGCAATCCAGGTGGCCTGTGCTGGGAAGGGAGGGGACTTCCTTTGCCTTGGGGTCAGCGGCCACAGCTGGGTGCTGGTGGTACCAAGGAGCCTGAGAAACTGGAGAGCTGCCCCAACAGCTGACATCTGCAGAGCCCTCTGCAGTCCTGCACACCACAGCATGGACCTGTCCTTGCTGACCTCAGGAGTGCCACTGCCCAGGCTGCTGTCTGCTCAGAGGTCTGAACACGGGGGTTTCCTGACCAGGTAACGCTGAGAGATTGGTGGGTGTAGGCAGGTGGGTGCCAAGGCCCCTAAGGCCCTCTGCAGGCAGACTGGCTCCAACCAAGGGAGTCAGCAGCTTCTATGGGCCTGTCCAGGGTTCAGCCAGGTCCATCAGCTCCACCAGGAAGCCCCCGGCCCGCCCCGCACCCTCAGGGCCTCCGGACCTACCTGGGTGGTCGAAATTGTACTGTCCCTTCAGGGCCTTGGCCTTCTGCTCCGCGGTCAGCACCTTGTAGAACCGGTCTTGGCTCAGGATGACCAACTTCCGCTGCCGGTGGTCGACTTCGTTCTGTCCCAGCAGCTCCATGATCTTCTCACACACAGTTGACTGGGGACAAGGAGGGCGGATCCCGCCTGAACCCCGCCTCCTGCCGGCACCCGGGCCTCCTGGGCGCCCTGCTCGGCGCTGGCTCCCGAAGACACCGGCCCGCGGGGCAGCAAGGACCCGGGGCCCCAGGGCCGGGCCAACGGGGGAAGGGCGGGCGCCCCGCCGCTGCCTGCGCCCCGGCCCGCCCCGCCCACACCCGGAGGAGCACCTGGGCCGCCGCGGTGGGGTCTCCCCTCCGGGCAGCGTCGAGCTGGCACGGGCCGCCGGGCCGCCCGGCCCTTACCTTGCCGCTGGCGGTGCCGCCGCTCACCCCGATCAGGAAGGGCCGCTGGTGAGGCCTGTCCGCCTCGGGGCCGGCGCCCTCGTCGCCTCCAGGCGAAGCCATGTCCGGCCCCGCTCGCTCGCATCGGGTTGTTCGCGGCCGCCGCCTCCCGCAACCAGCCGGCTCGCTCGCCCCCTCGCCAGGGTTGGAGACGCCCCTCCGCAGCTCCACTTCCGGGGGCCGCGCGGGGTGTGGCGGGAGTTGTAGTCCGAGGCGGCTGGGGGCGCTGCGCATGCGTGGGCCGAGCCCGGCTGCCGCGCCTCGCTGGCGCCCGCGTGTCCGCCGCTCTGTGTGCCGCATGTTTGCTGCAAATTGCAAAAGGCATTCGGCGTCGCGCTCGGGAGCTTCCAGACGCCAGCGGCCTCCTCAGCAGAGGGCCGTGGCCGGGGAGCTTCCCTCCATCCACATCTCCGGTGCCTGGGGTGGGGCCGTCGGCAGGGATACCCCGGGACTGCAGGGCTGGGGTGGGGACGTGGGTCGGCGCGTGGGGCTTCCGAGGTCACCGGAACTGGCTTGGCCGCCTCGAGTGCGGTCACCCCGAGAGCAGGGCATCCACCTCCGCCCCTCCGCACCTGCCCGCTGCCGTCCGCTCCCGGCTCCACCGCCGGGCTCTGCCCTCTCATCGGGTCACTGCCTTAGCCCGCCAAGTCCATTCCTCTCCAGGCCATCCGCACATGGGCCACCTGTCTCCCAGCATTTCCCCAACATTTCCCGGTCGTGCCACCCAGCCGCTCCCCCGCTAGAACCTTCATTTGCTCCCCACTGTCCGCACTCTTCAACCCCTGGGCTGGTGGTGGGTAAATGTTGTGGGATGACTTTTTATATGTATTTATTTAATGCTCACCCGAGGATATTTTTACATTTATCTTTCAGACAGAATGAGAGGGAGAGAGAGAAACATCAATGTGAGAGACAGCGATTGGTTGCCACCGCACTACCCGGTTGGGGCCGGGGTCAAACCGCAACCGAGGTACATGCCCTTGGTCGGAATCGAACCTGGGACTCCTTGGTCCGCAGGCCGACACTCTAACCGCTGAGCCAGACCAGCCAGGGCAAGGGATGACTGTTTAGACTCATGCACCAGGCAGGCTGTGAGCCAAGAAGGCAGAGATGGGGTCGATTTGTTCCACCTGTGCCTTCAGTGCCTGGTGCAGAGAAGGCAAATACTGATGGACTCATTGTAGATTTTCCTCCGGGGCATCAAGACTCTTTGCAGCTCTGGTTCCTGATGCATTGTGAACACTCCATGAATATTTGATGGTGCCGAAGCATGATGCAGGAGAGAAGAGAGCAACAGGCAAACATCAAGTGAAATCACTGTTTATTTAACTTCAGAAGTATTCACCTCAGGAGGGGTTCCTGGCAGCGGCTGCCGGTCAGGCGGCAAGTGCAAGGGGCCTTGGGCCTCCTGAGCCCTGTGGACCTGCACTGAGGGAAGCTGATGAAGGGGCAGCTGGGTCAGCATGAGAAAGCCACCCCCTACCTGAGCGGAACAGGCGCTCAAAATGGGAGGGCCATGCGCCCGCCCGTTCAGTAAGCCTGGCAGGTTTAGGAGCCAGGCTGTGGGGTGAGAGTTGGGTACAAACCTTGCCTCTGCTGAGTGACCTTGGGCAGTGACGTGATCGCTGTTTCCTTACTTCCCAAAGGGAGGGGACATCATGACTTTGTTAAATTAGTATCTGTTAAGTGGCGCCCAGCCGGTGTGGCTCAGTGGATTGAGCATCATCCCATGGACTGAGAGGTCCCAGTTCGATTCCCAGGCAGGGCACATGCCTGGGTTTCGGGCTCCATCCCCAGTGGGGAGTGTGCCAGAGGCAGCCGATTGATGCATCTCTCACATCGATGTTTCTATCTCTCTCTCCCTTCCTCTCTAAAAAATCAAAAAAATTTAGAAAATATTTGTTAAGTGGAGCACAGGGTGCTGGAAAGTGAACAAGGTTCAGCAAGAGACCTGAGAGAAATTGCAGTAGAGACATTATTACTCACGGGTCCTGGAGGAAGTACACAGCCCGCCTCGAGGGCACAGTGCAGACTGCAGCCAGAGGCAGGACCTGGCGCACATCCCTTTAATAGGGCCTCTGGGTGGAGTGCTTTGGGGTTCCCGGGCTAAGGCTGGATTGGTCAGTTCAAACCAAAAAGTGGAGTTTTGGTCAGCCCCACGGGGTCTTATCTAAGGGTTGCAAAGGCAGACAGGCCCTGGGGGGCAGGGGAGACTTGATCTCGAAGGTTGTTGGAGAAATCCTGTCAGGAGCTTACATTTGCTGTGGCTGGGCTGCTGCCTGGGGCGTGGCTCCTGTGAGGGCTGGTGTCCCTGGAGGTGTGCAGGCTGGCAACACCGAGGGGTAGCTTAGCTAACTGTGGACATGGAAATGACAGGCGAGGTTCCCATGCCGCAAACACACAGAGGACTCGGCCTAGGGCCCGGCCCAGAGGAGTGCCTGTTGGGTGTTTTCTTTGATTCTGCATTTGTCTATTAACTGTATGTTCTTATCTTTTGTGTTTTTGGTACTCTGGCCTTTGTGGATCTTATACACCCGGGGGGTGGGGGGCCCTCCTGGGTCAGCCAGTTCATAGACACAGCCAAGGGAGCCCATTCTTCACACCCACACCAGCCAACACCCCACCTCATCTAGCTGACACGCTCCCACCAAGCCCAGGCCCGGACACCCTTCCTCCCGGAGCCCACCCTGTTCCCCGCTGACGCTTCTCAGCATCCCTTCCCCAAAGAGGCTCTGGCCCCTGCCTAGCTGGATCGGCCAGCCTAGTCCTGTTCTCAGCGCCTCGGCATTTCTCTTGGAAAGCCCCTAACACGCTGGTTACGTAGTAGATCCTGCAGGCTCATGTCTGTCTGGAGAGCATGCAGGCGGGGCCCGGCTGGCTCGTTCGGAGCCTTTGCCGCGCACTAAGCGCTGAGCAAGGGGGTTGAGACTTGCCGCTCTCGGGGTGCGGGTTTCTCAGAACCAGGGGAGGCAGAATTTGTAGAGTGACCTGTGACTACCCTCTGGGATTCTGCTCCTGTCTTCACTGCCCCCCAACCCCTCGAGTTCACATGCGCACGGGAAACAGGCCGCCCTCCTCTGTCACCCCCTTTGCCAATCCAGCCACCTGCAGAAACGCCAGTCCGCCCCAATCACATCTTCAAGCTTTTCTTTTTAGTTTTATTAAATATGTTTTTATTGAGCCCTGGCTGGTATGGCTCAGCAGTAAGAGTGTTGCCTGTGGACCAAAGAGTCCCGGGTTTGATTTCGGCCAAGGGCACATACCTGAGTTGCGGTTTGTCCCCAGCCCCAGTTGGGGTTGTGTGGTTGGCAACCAATCGATGTATCTTTCTCACATCGATGTTTCTCTCTCTCTGTTTCTTCCTCCCTCTCTCCCTCCAGCTCTATCTGAAGATTAATGTAAAAATGTCCTCAGGTGAAGATTAAAAAAAAATAAAAAAGAAACATGTTTTTATTGATTTTAGAGAGAGGAAAGGAGAGAGCGAGAGAGACATCAATCAATTGGCTGCCTCCTACATGTCCCCTACTGGAGGTCAAGCCTTGAAACTAGGGCATGTGCCCTGACTGGGAATTGAATCAGTGACCTTTCTGGTGCACGAGACAACACCCAGCCCACTGAGCCACACTGACCAGGGCGTTAAGCCTTTCTTGAACATAAGCTGAGGCTCAGCACTTACAGTTGACCGGGTGTCTGACATCTCAAGTAGCGTGTTCTGCCATTTTCCTAGTCACAGAAGTAACCCATGCCCACTGCAGAAAAAGATACAGATGGGGAAGCTAGACTCCCCCATCACCCGTCTTCCAGGGAAAACCGTGTTGTGTCCTGGTGTTTACCCTTCTGGTCTGGCGTGGCTGTGGCTGGATAGCATGGACAACCTGCCAAACATTCAGAAAGTAAAACCAACGAGTCACCGAAGTAGTAATCAGTCACAGTTTATTTTGCACACACCAGACAGTTCAGAGCCGGAAATTCTCCAACCAAAGCGCGGAACGAGGCTCGGAGGCGTGTTGTGGTAAAGAAGCTTACACCGTGAGCGGCAGTGACTTCTCCCCACTGCTTCGTTGCATTAGAATTTTCCTAAATAATACTAAATTGGTTAGTGGCTACCTTGTGTCAATTTTGGGAAACTATTTTTTTTTTTGCTTATGATTTCCAGAAGCATGAGCAAGAAATGACCCAGGTCAAGTTAGTCTTGCAGAACAGCTCAGTTAAGCTTAGCAGGACTGAGCTGGTTTAGTCTGCCCAGGGAGCTCTCAAGGCCGGTCTCTGCTCTTGGTTCTAACAAACGCTGTGATGTGGGTACCATCATTATCCCATTTTCCTGATGAGGAAATTGAGGAGCAGAGTGATTCCATGGCTCACCCAAGGCTCGCGGCTGCAAACGGACTTGCGGTCAAGAGAGCAACTCAGCAGGTGCAGGGAGTCAACGACCGGACTCACCCGCACGCACATTCTGACACAGAGAAGTGCCCGATTTGCCCGTCCAAGACAGGAAAGGGAAATCCAGCCACAGTCAACGCTACCCAGGCTCCTGAATGAAGAGGGTCCTGGAAGCCAACCAGTGGTTGGAGCCGAGCTGCCTATAAAGGGCCAGGACCAGCTCGTGCCTTAGGGGGTGGGAGTCAAAGCCACAGGCCCCACACAGCTGAGGGTTCTAGAACTGGTCGACCCATGCACCAAGAGGCCGCATGTTCGGTTCCTGGTCAGGGCACATGCCCAGGTTTTGGGTGTGATCCCCAGTGTGGGGCATGCAGGAGGCGGACAATTGATGTTCTCTCTCATCGATGTTTCTCTCTCTCCCTCTCCCTTCCTCTCTCTCTAAAATCAATAAAAAAATTTTTTTTAAATAAATAATATGGGTCTATAGCAATGAGGACATGACCCTTAAATACAACACACAACCCCGAACTGGGTTCTGCACTGGGGAGGGACGGGCAGGGCTTAGAAAAAACATTATCGGGTCACGTATACCATTCTTGCAAACTTTTTCCTGAATTTGAAATTATTTTCAAGTAAAGAGTTTTAAAAAACCGTTTGACAAGGAAGTACATGGATTAGACTGCATAACATCAGAGAAGACATTTTGAGGAAAAAAAAATGTAGATTTTAAGAGCCAAATGGAAATTCTAATTAAAAGGAAAGACATCACAGTGTTTTGGAGAGTGCCCCTCAACTCGGGCTTGCCTGAGGGTTGGTGTGATGGGGTGCATGCATTCTTGGGAGGGGTGCCACTGAGGAGAGGGACCGCCGCTCAGTGCACCACAGGTGTACACCGTGGCCTGTGTTCCACTAGTGATGCTGACCGTGATCACCAGGCTGAGGTGTGCCAGGCTGGGCCCTGTGAACTTGCTGCTTTTCCCTTCGTTCTGCCTAAGTATCTTGCAGGAGGAATTTTGTGCACATAATTCTGTTTCTGTTTAAACCACTTCCAAAGACCCACACAGTTCAGCTTCCACTGGTGGGTCTTGCCGTGGCAGCTGTTACTGTGCTGTTCCAGTGGTGGCTCCCTCTTTCCCTCGGTCCTTCTCGGGGCGTCAGTCGGGACTGCGCAGCCCTCATTCCCCGGAGCCTCGCGGCCGCGATGCCCAGCTGTGCGGGCCCCGTGGCGCGTCTCCGGCCGCTGGGCTCTGCACGCGTCGCCCTGCCCCGCAGAGCTGCCCGGTGGCTGCCCGCCCCCGCCCCCAGCTCGGCGAGCGCGGCCGGAGCTCGGGACCTGCCGGCCCCGCGGGTGGGCGGCACGCAGGTTCGGCCGGCGCCGGGCGCAGGGAGCCACCTGTTGACACAGCCGCGGGCAGCCCGGGCGGTCAATTATTAACCGGCCGCGCAGCCGGCACCAGGAAACCCGAGCCGGCGGCGAAAGCGGAGCCGGGCCCGACGGCGGCGGGAGGTGCCGGGCGCAGGGCGCTGCGCCGCCCCGCTCGCCCCGCCACCGGCCGGCGCCATGGACGCAGGTGAGGACGCGGGGCCCGTGCGCGCTACGCCCCAGCCCGGGTGCGCGCCGCAGGCCTGCGGGCGGAGGGTCGGGGGCTGTCTCCGCGGGCCCCAGTCCGGCCCTGCGCTGGGCACCACCCTCAGGACCGGGGGACCAGGACCTGCGTGGGAAGTTCGGGCAGCGTCGGCCTTGTCCCCCCCCAGCCCTGTGGACGCCCCTGAGGGAGAGTGAGGAAGAGGTGGCCTTTGGCGTGGCCCTGGGGCCCCTGCAGCCCCCCAGGTGGGCAGCAGGGGCTCGAGCAGGGGCGGTTTGGGGGCACTGTCCCCTCCCCTCCTCCACCCGCCATCCTTCCTCTGGGGACGGTTCACCCCTCTGGCCAAGCCCAAGCCCTTAGAACCAGGCCAGGGGGATTAGCAACTGGGCTAAAGGGAGGGAAGAGACCCCAAGACTGAATCGGGGACCCCGGGGGTGGGGCGAGCCAGAGAGACGGGCAGACAAGGACCGGACCGCGGACTGGCTCGTTCGGGGAAGCCCGACGCCCCCCCCCCCCCGGAACCAGGCCCTGGAAGCAGCGGGGAACCGAGCCCCCAGGCTGGAGGGCGGTGGGGGTGGTGGACGGTGCGGAGCCCTGCCCCGCGCTCCAGCGACATCCTTGGTGGCGGGGGACCTGGATTTGCTCCGCGACCCGCTCCTGGCGGGGGATGCGGCGGCGAAGAGGGGCGGGCCCGGGGATCCGCCGGCTCCAAGCGCCACCGCCGCCCGCGACCCTTGAGCCCCTCCCGGCCCTCCCCGCCGGAATGTCCCGCGGAGGCTCGGGTGTCGAGAATCCGAGCGCCCAGCCCGGCAGGCAGCGCCGCCAGCGCAGTTATTTACTCTGCAGCCCTATCTCCGCGCCATCGGGCCAGGTATTTGCCCTGGCGGGGCCCAGGGAAACTGCGGTTTTTGTTTCGATAACTGGGGCAGGGGCCCGGCGGCCCCTTGGGCATTCCGGTGCCGCGTCCGTGCCAGCGTCCCCCGGGGGCCGCCTCCCGCCTGGCTCTGCGGCTGAGGCTCCGGTTACCTGCAGTCAGCCTCGGTTCTCCAACCTGCGAAATGGGGACAGAAAAGCCCACCTGTGACACGAGCTCTCAGAAGGCAGCCTGGTCATGTGGTTGTTCCTGTTATCACCCTCATTTTACAGAGGAGGAGAGGAGGCGGTGGAGAGGCCAAGCCACGTTCCTGCCTGTAAGACCACCCAGCCCGGGCTCTGGCCATGGCTGCGCTGGTTCGGCATTAGCGCAGATGTCTAGGCACGGAGGGCCTGCCACCTGATAGATGCTTACTGATGGCAGCAGCTGACAGCACTGTCATTGCTAGCCACTCGGACCTCTTACCTGCATAGCCTCACCCTCTTAGCAGCCCCCCAGGCAGGGGAGCGTGCTCAAGCAATGGTATTTTCACAGGGTTTGTGTACAGAATGGTATTTCTGACCTAGAACACAGGCCCATAGCAGATGCTCAATAAAAACCACGTGGGATTGCTTCAGTGCCTGGCTGGCTGCTGCCGCTGTGGAGCCACATATTCAGAGGGTGGTTTGGGGCTTTGCGTCGCCGGGGTGGTGGATATTGGACCAGAACTTCATCACTAAGTCAGCCAGTGGCACCTGATGGCCCTCTGGCTTAGACAGCAAACAGTGCTTCTCATTCCCCAGGTTCCCCAGTGGCGGTGTGGCCTTGATTATTTTAAAACACCAGCCCTTGGCTGGGTGGGTGAGGTTGGGAGCTGCCCTGGAAATCCTGAGAGTCTAGCCAGGTCTCTACTGCGCGGAGTCTGGCTGGTGCCAGGGGGCAGGGATATTTAGGTCAGACCCCCCCTCCAGTAGATCAGCAGCCCCTCAGCCCCTTAGAGGGGTCCTCCTGGAAGAGCCCAGCTCCCTGGACTGAACAGTCACAAATCCTTCTGATTTTAAGGGTGGACCTCACTTCCCAGTGGCTTTCATCACACACACACACACCTCACTTCTTATAGGTTCATCAAACTGGCAGGACACCTTTGCATTTTCTTACCTTCTAACTTTATTCTTTTTTTTTTTTTTTTTAATCCTCACCTGAGGACACTTTCCCATTTTTTGTTCAGGTAGAGTGGGAGGGAGAGAGAGAGAGAGAAACATCGACGTGAAAGGGACACATCGAGTGGCTGCCACCCGCGTGACCCAACCAGGGCCAGGGACAAACTGCAACCGAGGTACATGCCCTTAGCAGGAACTGAACCCGGGTCTCTTTGGACCGCAGGCCGACGCTCTAACTGCTGAGCCAAACTGGCCAGGACCTTACCTTCTAACTTTAGATAGCAGTAGCCAGTGTTAATTAAGAGCCTGCTCCCGTCACACACATATACTCATTTCATCCCCACAACCCGCTAAGGTGTTTTTAAAGATGAGCTGCCTGGCCCCTGAGCTCCACTCCTGACCGTAGGAGACCCTCATCCCAGATCCACCAGCCCAGCCCTGCCCCGGACACTGAGGGAGGAGATGACAGAAGTCTACTCTGCCCTGTCCCTCCTGACAACTCCCTTCCCCTGCTCGCCTCCATGCGCTGTCAGGCCCTGGTACCCTCTTCAGTACTGCATGAGTCTGTCTGCTTGTCCACACCCCATCCACCCTTGCCTCCAATCTGGCTTAGGCCATTGTTGTCTCTCCCTTTGTGGCCCTCATTTGGGTCATTTCCAGTTCTCTGGACAAGCTACCAGAGAAGACTTTGTACCAGTTACCAGTTGGCTTTTGCTGCGTAACCACCCCAAAACTTGGTGGCTTAAAACAACAGCATCTGTTATTAGTCAAGATTTCTGCATCTGTTGAGATAATCATACTGTTTTTATCCATCTTGTTACTGTGGTATAGCATGTTGATTGATAGGTGGATATTAAACCATCCTTGCCTCCCTGGAATAAATTCCACTTGATCATGGTATATAATCCTCGTAGTATATTGTTGAATTCTGTTTGCTGATCTTTTATTGAGAGTTTTTTCATCTTGTGTTGATCAGGGATATTGGCCTGTAGATGATTTTTTTCTTTCTTTTTCGTGTGGTGTCCTTGTCTGGTTTTGGTCTCAGGTGATGCTGGCTTTGTAAAATGAGTTTGGAAGTGTTCTCTCCTCTTCTATTTTTGGGAAGAGTTTGAGAAGGATTGATGTTAATTCTTTGTGTGGTAGAATTCACCAGTGAAGCCATCTGGTCCTGGGTTTTTGTTTGTTAGAAGGTTTTTGATTGCTGATTTAATCTCCTTATTAGTAATTAGTCTGTTCAGATTTTTTATTTCTTCTTGATTCAGTCTTGGTAGTTACATATTTCTAGGAATTTATCCATTTATTCTAGGTTGTCAAATTTGTTGGTGTATTAATTGCTCACAGTAGTCTCTTATGATCCTTTGTACATATTTCAGTGGTATTAGTTGTAACATCTCTTTCATTTCCAATTTTGAGGTTTCTCTTTTCTCTCTTTTTCTTGGTGAGTCTAGCTAGAGGTTTTCAATTTTGTTTATCTTTTTAAAGAACCAGCTCTTCATTTTATTGATCTTTTCAATTGTATTTTTAGTCTGTATTTCTTTAAAAAAAATTTTTTCTTTATTGATTTTAGAGAGAGAGGAAGGGAGAGGGAGAGAGAGATAGAAACATCCATGAGAGAGAACATCTATTGGTTGCCTCCTGCATGCCCCCTACTGGAGATTTGGCCCACAACCTGGGCATGTGCCCTGACCAGGAATTGAACCAGCGACCTCTTGGTATGTCAGTCGATGCTCAACCACTGAGCCACACTGGCTGGGCTAGTCTGTATTTCTTTAAAAAAAAAATGTTTTTTTTTAATTTTTTATTTGAGAGAGAGAGGACGGGAGAGAGAGATAGAAACACTCATGTGAGAGAGAAACATCTATCAGCTGCCTCATGCATGCCCCCTACTGGGGATCAAACCCACAACCCAGGCATGTGCCCTGAGCGGGAATCGAACCGGAGAGAGAGATAGAAACACTGATGTGAGAGAGAAACATCTATCAGCTGCCTCATGCATGCCCCCTACTGGGGATCAAACCCACAACCCAGGCATGTGCCCTGAGCGGGAATCGAACCGGGACCTCTCAGTCCATGGGACAAGGTTCAATCCATTGAGCCACACCAGCTGGGCATTTTAGTCTGTGTTTTATTTATTTCCACCCTGATCTTTACTTCCTTTCTTCTACTAAGGGCTTTGTTTGTTCTTCTTTATCTAGTTCCTCGAGGGTGAGTTAGGTTGTTTATTTGAGTTCTTTCTTGTTTCTTGATGTAGGCATTTATTGCTATGAACTTCCCTCTTAAAACTACCTTTGCTGCATCTCGTAAGTGTTGGTGTGTTGTATTTCCATTTTCATTTGTCTCAAGATATTCTTTAATTTCTCTGTTTACCCATTGGTTTTTCAGGAGCATGTTGTTTAATCTACAGTTATTGTGATTTTCCCAGTTTTATTTTTCTTGTAATTGATACTGTCATGGTTGGAAAAGGTGCCTGATATAATTTTAATCTTTCTAAATTTTAAGACTTGTTTTGTGGCCTAACATATGATCTGTCCTGGAGAATGTTCCCTGGTCACTTGAGAAGAATGTGTATTCTGTTGGTTTTGGATGGAGTGTTCTGTATATATCTGTTAAGTCCATTTGGTCTAATGTGTTGGCTAATGCCAGTGTTTCCTTATTGATTTTTGTCTGGATGATGTATCCATTGATGTAAATGGGGTATTAAAGTCTTCCACTATTATTGTAATGCTGTCTATTTCTCCCTTTAGGACTCTGTATGTTTAAGTGTTCCTATGTTGTGTGCATAAATATTTATAAATGTTGCATTCTATTGTTGACCTCTTTATCATTATGTCTCGCCTTCTTCTTGTCTTAGTAGCCTTGGTTTTGAGGTCTATTTTGTCTGATATAACTATAACTACCCAGCTTTCTTCTGGTTGACACTCGCACGGAATATATTTTTCATCCCTTCACATTGAAACTGTGCGTCCCAGCATCTAGAGTGAGTCTCTTGTAGGCAGCATATAGATTGGTCTTTTTTTTTTTAATCCACTTAGCCACTTTGTCTTTTAATTAGATAATTTAGTCCACTTGCATTTAAAGTAATTATTCATAGGTATGTACTTATTGCCATTTTCTTAATTGTTTTTGTCTGCTTTGGTGATCTAGTTTTTAAAGTCTTTCTTATGCTGGGCCAGGTCTGTCCCCTACATACACAGTTTGTGGGGGAGTCTGAGACTGTGTGGATCCATTCTGGGGTGACGAACCAAACCATCTCAGCTGCCTGGGACTGAGTGTTTTTTCCGGATGTCAGATTTTCAGTAGTTAATCTGAAAAAGTCCTTGGCAAACTGAGATACATCGGTCACCCTGAATCACAGACAGAACTAGGGGATCCCCCTCTGCCGCTCCTTTCTCTCTGCGATTCCCCCACTCTGTCCGCTCGGCAGAGGCCCCTTCTGGCTCCTCTGGCCAGAATGACAGGGTTCCCGGTGGAGTTTTAGCTCCCACGCTGCGCCTGTCATGTGGCTCTGGGCTTCGAGCTTCCGGGAAATGAGAGGAAATGGGAAACAGCCTGCTGAGCCCGCTTCTCTGAGGCTTCACCCCACTCCACAGCCTGCCTGCCTTCGTTCCCTCCTTAGTGGCTTTGTGTAGTTTCCTTTTGTACTTTGCCTAAAGTTTTTAGTTTGAATCAGCAGGAGAGATCGGCTTTTTAAGAAAAATGGTAAAATAGCCCTGACCGGTGTGGCTCAGGGGTTGAGCATCATCCTGTGCGCCGAAAGGTCGCTGGTTCTGTTCCCCATCTGGGCACAGGCCCGGGTTGCAGGCGTGATCCCCAGTAGGGGGCGTGCAGGAGGCAGCCGATCCATGTTTCTAAAATCAGTAAAAACATATTTTAAAAAACTGGTAAAATATTCATAAGAATTACCATCTTACCCATTTTTAGTGTACAGCCCAGTGGCATTTAGCACAGTTACATTGCTGTAACCATCACCACCATCCGTCTCCAGAGCTTCATCTTCCCAGCTAAAGCTCTATCCCCATTAAACACCAGCTCCCATCCCGTCTTCTTCCTTGGGCCCCGGTAACCTGGAGAGAGAGGTTTCTATATTCATTTGTTTTTTACTCCTCGCCATGTTCAGAGAGAGAAACATTGATCAGTGGCCTCCTGAACACGCCCTGACCAGGACTGGGGATCGGACCTGCAACCTAGGTATGTGCCCTGAGCGGGAATCAAACCCTCGACCTTTTGGTGTACGGGACAGTGCTCCAACCAACTGAGCCACACCAGCTGGGGTGAGAGAGAGGTTTTAAAGCCTCTGGTTGCAAGATATTTATCAATGTTCCAGTGACCACGCCAGTCACGCAACTAAGTCCAGGTCCGGGGGTGAGAAACGGTCTCAGCGTGGATAAAGGCGTAGGGGCGCGAACCCCACAGCAGTCTGTGAGGCGCAGAGGCCCTAGTGAGGCCCCTGGCTGCTGGGAGGGGGTTGGGTGGGGAGCTCTCAGAAGCTCAGCACTCTCTGCCATTGGGGATCCCTCCCCCAGGGTGCCTGGCCCTGACACCACCAGCCAGCTCTGTTGGGGGTGGGGGAGAGGTGGGGGGAGGGGTTAGCAAGGCTCCTCCAGGCTGACCGGTCACTGCTGTATCTATTTTACTTATCTCTCCGCCTCCTATGGCCACAAGGACACTTCAGAAATGAACTTCCAAAGCCAATCCCTGGGCGGCCCACCCGTGCCGTGGGGCCTTGAATGCCAGTCCAGGTTGGAGGTCTGCCCGGAACACTTTCCTAGGCCCTTCCTCCAATGCCTGCCTGAGGCCCAGAGGTGCTTACCTGGTCAGGATGCTCCAGGAGGTGCAGGGGCCTTTGGGATTGGCTGAGGTCTGCTTCCAGGGTTTATTGTGTGGGCGCTGGGGGTCAGGGCCGGGGTTGCAAGGCAGCTGGGCCCTGCTTCAGGGTGCTCTCTCCAACCCCACTCAGGTTTGTTTGCTTTTTAATTTCATTTTTATTTTAATAAAATTTATCTTCATTGTTGAAAGTATACAGATGTTCCCCCTTTTTTCCCCCAATGACCCCCCTCCTTCCCACTCCCACCCTCCTCCCACCCCCCTCCTGCCTTCCCCACACTATTGTCTGTGTCCGTTGGTTTGCATAGATGCATGTAAGTTCTTTGGTTTATCTCTTCCTGCCCTCCTTCCTTCTGAGGTTCCTCAGTCTAACAACCAATTTGTACTTAATCCCTTCATCTTTTCACCCATCCCCCACCCGCCTCCTATCTGGCAGCCAACAAAAAGTTCTCAGTATCTATGAGTCTGTTCTGTTCTGCTTGCTCATTTGGTTTGTAGATTCAATTGTTGATAGATATGTGTTTATTGCCATTTTATTGTTTATATTTTTTATCTTCTTCAAGAAAACCCTCAACATTTCATATGATACTGGTTTGGTGGTGATGAACTCCTTTAGCTTTTTCTTGTTTGGGAAACTCTTTATATGGCCATTGATTCTTAATGGTAGCTTTGCAGGACAGAGTAATCTTGGTTGTAGGTTCTTGCTTTTCATCACTTTGAATGCTTCTTGCCATTCCCTCTGGCCTGCAAAGTTTCTTGAGAAATCAGCTGACCGTCTTATGGGAACTCCCTTATAGGTAATTAACTGCTTTTCTCTTGCTACTTTTAAGTCTCGCTTTGGCCCTGGTCGGTTTGGCTCAGTGATAGAGCATCGGCCCACAGATCAATGAGTGGCGGATTCAATTCTGGTCAAGGGCATGTACCTTGGTTGCGGTTTGTCTCCGGCCCTGGTAGGGGTTGTACGGGAGGCAACCAGTTGATGTGTCCCTCTTACGTTGATGTTTCTCTCTCTTTCTCTCTCTCCCCCTCCCACTCTATCTGAAGATAAACAGAAAAATATTCTCGGATGAGGATTAAAAAACAAACAAACAAAAAAGATTCCCTCTTTGTCTTTAACCTTTTGCATTTTGATGATGATGTGTCTTGGTGTGGACCTCTTGGGGTTCATCTTGTTTGGGATTCTCTGTGCTTCCTGGAGTAGTATGTCTGTTTCCTTCACCAGGTTAGGGAAGTTTTCTGTCATCATTTTTTCAATCTCTTATTCTTGCTCTTCTTCTGGCACCCCCATGATGCAAATGTTGGCACGCTTGAAGTTGTCCCAGAGGCTCCTTACACTACCCTCATTTTTTTAAAATTATTTTTTCTTTTTGCTGTTCTGATAGGGTGTTTTTTGCTTCCTTATATTCCAAATCAATGGTTTACTTCTTGGCTTTACCTACTCTACTACTGATTCCCTGTAAATTATTCTTTTTTTTTTTTTGTCTTTAAAATTTTTTTTTATTTTTTAATTAATTAATTTTTGTTACAGATGTTTCTCCTTTTTCCTCCTGTAAGTTATTCTTTATTTCAGTTGGTGCCTCCTTCATTTCTGACTGGTCCTTTTTTATGCTCTTGAGGCCCTCACTAAATTTATTGAAGTTCTCACTAAGTTCCTTGAGCATCCTTATAACCAGCATTTTGAACTCTGCATCTGTTAGATTGCTTATCTCCATTTCATTTAGTTCTTTCCTTGGAGTTTTGTTCTGTTCTTTTATTTGGGACCTGTTTCTTTGTCTCATTTTGGCTGCCTCCCTGTGATTGCTTCTACGCATTAAGTAGAGTTGCTCTGTCTCCTGGGCTTCCTAGGGTGGCCTATTGCAGTAGGTGTCCTGTAGGGTCCAGTGGCACAGTCTTCCCGGTCTTCCCAGCTGGTCCCTCGAGGTGCCCCCCTTCATGTGGACTGTACACCCTTCAGTTGTAATTGCGTCTTGATTGCTGTTGGCACGTCACTGGGAGGGGTTTACTCAGGCTGATCAGCTGCAAGGACTGGCTGTGCCCACTGACCACTGGGCTCTGACTCCCTTGGAGGGTCAGCTGTGCAGGGCCCACCACACAGAGCAAGACTGACTTCAGCAGGGCTCTGGTACCCCCTGCGCCCACCCCTTGAGTGTGTCGCTTGTGGAGGTGGTTGGGTGGTGGTGCTTCAGTGTGGTCTGAAGCTGTCCACTGGGTGTGCTCGCCCTGGGGCCTTCCAGGAGGCGCAGGCCAAGGCCAGCCACTGCCTGTGTCCTTCAGGAGCCCAGCACAGCCACTGAGGGTCAGGACGCATTGTGCCTCTCTCCCTGGAGGGGCTGCTGCGGGGCTTGGGGGAGGGCTCCCATCTGGCCCAGTGGCCTCTTAGGGCTCATAAAACCTGACATTTCTTCCCAGGAAAAGACACAAAAGAGACCACCAGCCCCTCGACCCCCGAGGACTCCTGGAGCCCCGAGCTCCCGCAGCTCCCACAGCTCCCGCGCTGCCCACAGCCCCTGGATGAGGATGGCGGGCCCCGGGAGGCAGCAGCTGCTGATGGGGGTGGTGCCCCCGCCCAGGAGAACCCCCCCGCCGACTCCCCGGCCGAAGCCTCGGGGGCGCCCCCCGCCCAGGCCCAGGCGGAATGCCATGCCAGGCAGGGGGCCAAGGTGGCCGCCGGCGGAGTCCCGAACATCGGCTTCGTGGGCGAGCCCCCTCCCTACGCGCCACCTGACCCCAAGGCCGTGCACCTGCTGTACCCGCCCTTCCCGCAGGGGCCTGTGCTTTTCCAGCCCGGGCCCTCGCCCCAGGCCCTGTACCCGCCGCCCACAACGCCCCTCTACCCTGCGCCCACCCCACCGCAGCTGTTCACGCCTTTCCCTGTGGTGAGTAAGGCACCCAGCCCGCGGTCACCCTCCTGTCCCCTGCTCGATGCCCGCTCCATGCCCAACTTACGTCCCACTTACTCATCCCCCACGTACCCCTCACTTGACGTCCACTCACCCCTACTGGTTCGTGCCTCGCAGTCCCCCTACTAGCCCCCGCCCTGGGGGGAGAGCGTGCTCATCGGTGGTGAGAAGTCACCATGGTACCCTGCAGAGGCGGACAAGAGCTGCCTCAGCCTGGGGAGCGGGCGAGCCCAGGAGGCTTCCCGGAAGTGGGGCATTTGAGCTGGGTTCTGAGGGGTGAATAGGAGCATGCAGGCAGGGAAGGAAGGGCACGCTGGTCGAGGGCACAGCACAGGCAAAGAGGCAGTTAAGCCTGAGTGTTTTGGGAATGGCGGTGGTCTGTGCAGCTCAGTGGGAGGGGAGGACGGGAAGGTGGGAGCCATTGTGAGGGCCTGGGGCCCAGGGCCTCCGGGTGGGAGATGATCGCATTAGACATAGAACAAAACAGAACACCAGGGCTGCCTTTGGAGGAGACCTTAGCGGTCCCCCAGGTGGGGAGCTCGTGAGGACATGGAGACACTAAACCCTGGACTGGGCAGTTGGCAGAAGGTGGAACTGGCAGTTCTCCTGGGGTCGAGGGACAGGCGGGCCGTGGGGAGGGCAGAGGGGGCCTGACCTGACCCCTCGGTGCCCTGCAGCCTCCCTGGGTGGGGGTGGGGGTGGCTGTGTCCTCACTCTGGTGTCGGGCCTCTGTCCCCACAGTACAACAGCGCCATGGCCGGCATGCCAGCCCCCACCACGGTGGAGCACAGGCCCCTGCCCAAGGACTACATGATGGAGTCTGTGCTGGTGACCCTCTTCTGCTGCCTGCTCACTGGGCTCATCGCCATCGTCTACTCCCACGAGGTAGGGCGAGGGGCCCCGGGGCCGGGGTCGGGGTCCACACGGCCCGCTCCCCGCAGCTGGGGTCTGTTTCCCTGGCAGGAGGGTGGGAACCGGGCCCTTGTCCAGTCGCTGGGCCCTTGCCCGGTCCCACCTCCTTCCCTCCTCAGTCTCTGCCCCCGCCACTCAAGCTCTGCTCTGGGAAGTTGGGCTGAATCACAACAAAGGTGCGAAGGACCCACAAGGCCCAAGGAGCTGCCCATCCCAGGGGCTTGTGTGCAGTGGGGCAGAAACCGCCCCCACCCACTCATTCTTTCTACCCATCCAGCTCTACCCCCCAGCTACCCACCTGTGTCCACCCACCCACCATTTCAATAGCTCCCTTCCTGCCCCCCACCCCCTCCCTTCGGCCCCCCACCGCTCGAACACTGCCGTGCACAGGGTTAGGCTCTGGGGGCGCAGTGATGCCAACGTGAGGATGTTCTGACAGAGTAGGCAAGCCTGGGGCATCCTGCCCAAGCCAACCTGGCTGCAGCCCTGCCCCCCACCGGTTACGCTGCCCAGGGACCAGCCGGCCAGCACTGTAGGGAGAAGGTGGGACTCCGGAGGCCATGGCCTGCCTGTGAATTCTGGCTCCACCACCAGCTGTGTGGCCCTGGGCGAGTCACTTAACCTCTCTGAGCCTTGGTTTCCTCATCTGCAAAGCGGGGGCAACCAAGATCCCAACATCGGGTGTTGTGAGACTAGATCGCGCCAGGCCCGCGGCGGGCGCCCAGGAGCCTGCACCCATCCCCGCACACTTCCCAGTGCGTCCCGGGGTGCAGTGGCCTGGCCAGGAGGGTGTTGCCCGGGAGGAAGTGGGGAGGACGAGGACCCCGGGTCGGCTCACTCGCCCCATCTCGTTGCAGACTCGGGCGGCCCTCAGCCGGGGGGACCTGGCCCAGGCGGAGGAGGCCTCGCGCAAGGCCCGCTCTCTCGTGCTGTTCAGCCTGCTCTTCGGGGTCTTCGTGTCCACCAGCTGGGTCATCTACGTGCTGGTGGCGCTCTACCTCCCGTGAGGCTGCCGGCTGCTCGGATGCCCGGATGCCAGACACCCACCTGGCCAGACGCCCTGTGGACCTTAATCCCTGTGTGGCCACCTGTTGCCCACCGACGGCCGGGCAGGGGGGATGGGCGCACTCGGCACCCCTGTGGCTGGGCCTCCGCCCCTGCTGTGGCCTGTTCTAGTCTGCAGTGGTCCCAGGCCCAGCTGCGGGAGGCCCCCTGGAGCCTGCCTCTTTGGTGACCCCCCTGCGGTCTTCCTGGGGCAGTGCTGGCTAGGCCCACGGTCCTTGCCTGTCACCTTACCCCGGGAAACCGTCAAGGAGCCAGAGCTCAGCGCCCGCAGGGCACGGCTGCTCCCCCTTGGGGCTGTTGGGAGTGGCCTCCTCCCTCCTTGGTAGCACCTGGCTGGTTGGTCTGTGCCCTGCCCTGTCCCAGAAACCAAGGCCCCCGTGTCTGCTCAGTAAACAACACCCCGGGCAGGACTTCGGAGGGTCCCTTCCCGGCTCCCCTGAGGGCGAGCAGCATCTGTCTGCAGCAGGGACCCGGCCCCTCACCAGCCCCTCTGGCTCACCAGCAGGGGGCACTGTGACCGACAGCAACTTTCTCGCCGTGTCCAGTCCCCAGCCCGAGCGCCGTCCTGGCCTCAGTGTGCGCGCAGGGAGAGTAGGTGTCCTCCCTTGTGAACTGGAGCAGTCGCGAGCCTGCCCCGGAGTTTGGGCGGGTGCAGGGAGGGGACCCGTGGTGTCCAGGGTGGCGCCTGGCTCACGGTGAGCACGCGGGGTAGTGACGTGGGGGCTTCTGAAGGGTCCCCCACAGCCAGAGGCGAGGGGACAGCAGGTATGCGGGCCTTTCGTGAGCGTCAGGACGGCCAGACAGGGGCCGATCACGGGCATTTTCCTGGGGAGGGTCCAGAGTTTCCTCAGATCCTCAGGTCTGTGACCACAGTGCACACGTCTGCACCGAGAGGAGGAGGCACCAGCTCGGGCCGCTGTGCAGCTCACAGCCTGGCCCGGGGGTGGTGCAGGCAGATGCCCCGACTCAGCCCTGCAGGTGCTGATGCCGGGAGCCGGGGGCTCGGTCGAGGCCCGAAGGGAGGAGCAACGGGTGACAGAGCGGGACGGGCCGTGTTCCAGGACACGGGGCTGGGCCAGAACCAGCTGTCCCAGACTGTCCCAGACTGTCCCAGACTGTCCCAGACTGTCCCACGTGGGACGGCCTCAGAAGAGGAGGGAATGTGTTTAAAGATCAGTAGATGTCGAAAAGGACCTGGCAGAGTCTCACAGCGACAGCTGTTCTGAATCTGAAGTAAAATCAGAGTGGGAAGGAGTCACCGAGACCAGTGTGCCCTCACTCGTGTGCATGAATCGCCCGGGAAACCTTAGGGAGAGGGGGCTGATGCGGAAGCGGCCGGTGAGGCCGTGTTCCTGATGAGCTCCCAGGGCTGCTGCGGCGCGTGGCACAGCAAGTGCGAGCGATTAAAACCATTAGACACCATTATAAGCAGAATCGATCCATTGGTCCAGGGGCGTTCTTTCCCTTAGTGTCTCTATTATTCAACTTTTTTTTTTTTAGAGAGACAGGAAGAGAGAGAGAGAGAGAGACACTGATGTGAGAGAAACCTCGGTCAGCTGCCTCCTGCATGCGCCCCACTGGGGATCCAGCCTGCAACCCGGCACGTGCCCTGACTGGGAACTGAACCAGGGCCTCTCGGACCATGGGATGACGCTCCGTCCACTGAGCCACACTGGCCCGGCTATTCAACACTATTCTAAGGTTCTAGCTAATGTAAAATAAAGTGAAATCTGTAGTATGAACATTTAAAGAGACAAAATGATTTTCTAGCTATAATATCCAAGAATCAGTGACAAATTAGAATAAGGTAACTCAGTAAAAATAGTTGGATACAAAATAAATTATGATCGTCAATAACAATAATCAGTTAACATGGAAAACTATTTAAAAATTCCACTCACAATAGTGATAAAAACAGTAAAATCCAGGAATAAATGTAATAAGAATGAGCTGGACCCAAGTGAAGAAAATTATTTTTAATTTTATTTATATATATAACTTTATATATGTATAATTATATATATATAAAGTTATATATATATTTAACGAAACATCCACAAGAAAACCAAGTTTTTAGAACTATGACAAAAAAGTTTTTAAAAATTAATATAGAAGGAAAATATGTTAAGACTTACAATTTCTTAGAAAGTTGAATACAGGGGACTTTCTTCACCAGGGACTGAAACTTCTCGTAGAATAATGATAACAGCATGGCTTTCCAGACAGGTTGGTGAGACAAAACGAACGCCCAGAGAACACCCCGAGTGTGGGGGAATTTCATACCTGATCACACTGGCATTTTAATTGGGCCAAGGAGGACTCATAATAAGCAGAGTTGGCTCTCTGGTTGGAAAAAATTACTCTCACATTGTATATAAAAATAAATTCCAGGTGGATTAAAGAGCTTAGTATGGAGTGAAGTCCCGCGAACAGGAGACAGGTTAGGAGCACATGCGCACAGCTTCGGGTGCTGGGGAGGCCTCTAAAACCTGGGAAACCGCCGGGGGAGCGGCTGACAAGCGAGCCCTGCCGACTGGAGCAGTCTAGCCTGGGGCCGCGCGCGGACTGGCCGGCGGCTGGGAAAGGCGGGACCGGCTGCCCCTCCACAGCGGAAGGACTGACCGGACCAGGGGGAGGCAGACTGATGGTCTCTGTCAATGATCTTCGTGCCGTGTCACTGTCCGCATGGACGTGCAAAGAACAGCCCGAAAGGACGTTCTGAAGGGCTGCGGTGGTTGCCTGGGGGACCGGCGGGGGCTGGGAGCTGCATGGCTGAATCTACACACACGGATGTACTCATGCATCACGTCATGGAAAATAACTGAAGAAAGTGTGCGTGCGTTGGAGCCTGCAGCCCATTTCAGGGTTCACAGGGTGGAGGAGACAGTCTGCTCCCCGAGGCTCCGGTCCAGGGTGGGAGACTGTATCCGACAGCGTTAGGAGCCGTGCAGAGGGGGCTGAGGGGCTGAGGGGCCCTGTGTGTGGCTAGAGAAGACCGGTGGGTTACAGCCTGGTTTCAGAGGCGGGAAATGTGTGTGGGGTCTGCCCGGGTGAAGGGGCCCCCCGGGGAAGCAGCGTGCATCCCGCTAGACCTGAGAAGAGGCCGTGGGGCTGCAGTCTCCAGCCAGTCGCCCCGCATCCGGGCACGCCCTGGGGTGTCTTCCAGGGTGGGGGGGTTCAGCAGCCCCGGGGCTGGAACTGTAGGGTATTTCCATGTGGCTCTGAGTGGCGGGTTTCTGACCACTAATGATGTTGAGACTTTTGTGCTTTTCAGCTCTTTGGATTCTCTTTGTAGAATGTGCCTGTTCAAGCCCCGTGCCTTTTTTAAAAAATCCCCACCCGAGGATATGTTTTACTGATTTTAGAGAGGGGGTAGGAGGGGGAAAGAAAGGAGGGGAGGAGAGCGGGAGAGAGAAACACTGATGTGAGAGAAACATCAATTGCCTCCCACATGATAGAACCTGCAACCTCGGTATGTGCTCTGACCAGGAACTGAACTCGAAACCTTTCAGGTGCCCCAGACCATGCTCCAACCCACTGACCCACCTGGCTGGGGCAAGCCTTGTGCCCATTTTTATGCCAGATTGTCTTTTTTTTTTTATCCTCACCTGAGGACATTTTTGCATTTATCTTCAGATACAGCAGGAGGGAGAGAGGGAGGAAGAGAGAGAGAAACGTCTACATGAGAGACATATCAACTGGTTGCCACCCACACGACCCCAACCAGGGCTGGGGACAAACTGCAACTGAGGTACGTGCCCTAGTGGTAACCGAACCCGAGACTCTCTGGTCTGCAGGCCGACGCTCTGACCGCTGAGCCGAACCGGCCAGGGCAGATCGTCTCTTCCTCCTCATCCCATGCTTCGTGCTCTACGAGGCCTGTGCTGGACACAGGTGTGCGAGCCTCTCCTCCCGCCCTGGAGCTGCGGTTTCGTCCAGGTGCCATCCATCCTGGGCAGGGCAAGGCCTCCCATCACCTTTAGCTGTTTTGGCCATTTCAAATCATTGTTTTTTAAAAATCTTTTTCTTTATTGATTTTAGAGAGAGAGGAAAGGGAAGAGAGAGAGAGAGAGAGAGAGAGAGAGAGAGAGAAACATCGATGAGAGAACACCGACTGGCCGCCTCCTGCACGCCCCCCACTGGGGATCGGGCCCACAACCTGGGCATGTGCCCTGACCGGAAATTGAACCAGAGACCTCCTGGTGCATGGGTCGATGCTCAACCACTGAGCCACATTGGCCAGGCTCAAATCATTTGTTTTTATAACAAATTCTAGAATTAATGTGTCAATTTCCACCAAAATAAAGGCTGGGTTTAGACTGGGATTGCTTCCCATCTATGAATGAACTGGGCACCATCGACTTCCCAGCAAACACAGCGGATTACCTTTTTCGTTTAGGACTTGGAACAGTTTCCGTCGATTTTGTAGTCTTTGTGCAGAGATAGTACACATTCTGTTCGTATCCCTGGGTATTTGATTTATTTTTTTGATGCTATTATAAATATGATCACTTTTATAGTTTCTCTGTTGTTACTGTTTCTGTAGAGAGATGCAGTTGCTTCTCAATCACTGATTTTGTATCCAGCGGTCTTTGTAAACTCATTGAACTATGACCATTAATCTATAGCTTCTGTTGAACTTTCTATTGACACAAGGTTATCGCTATTCAATGAGTTTTTGTCTTTCTTCCCAATTCTTCCCCATTTTGTGTTTTTTTCCCTGCCTCCCTGCACCGGCTGGGCCCCGGGACAGTGCCAGACAGACCATGTCTTTCTCTAAGTCCCAAACGGCAGGCTTTCAATATTATGCCTTAAGAAAAAATAGATATCCCTTTTTAGAATAAGGACTTTCTATTCCTAGGTTTGCTTTTTAAAATCATGCATGGGTATTGAATTTTATTACTTTTATGTATCTACTGAGAAAATTATTCTGCTATTGTGC